AAGGTGTGCATGACCATTCCACTTGTAAACCTTTGCCCATGCAATGGAGGCAGGCCGCTCAGAGCAAGCAGATCAAACCTGACGCTTTGGAGTGCAAGGCCGGGCGTGCCATGTTTACCGTCATATGACATATCCTACAGAACATTCACATACACACGTATATACATCTATGTGCGTGGGCCAAACGCAGGTCGCAAGGCTTGCACTTGAGGCTGATCGCATGCACCAGCTCCTCTGCAGAGAACACCCGGCTCGTGGCCAGTGACCTCACAGCAGGGCCGGGTCACTTAAAAGGACACAAGTGCCTCTATAATCGCCAAATCACCCAATCAGGATTTGTGTGTTTTCCTGCAATGTCTTGTCCATGTTTCTGTGGTGCATGGAGCCAACTTGCATGCGCTCAAACATGACTGGGCAATCCAAGCATAAGGAGGCCCGCCCGGGCTTCATCATGTTTGAATTGCCAGTCATGTTTGCAGGCTGCTGCCTGCTCATTGCCTGGATGCTCTTTATGATGTGTTGCTACTGCAAAGCAGTTGGGTCAGAGGAAGTGCACCCCACTCTTTGAAAAAATGCATTTCCTCATGGGTAGGGTCCATGCTGGCTACAGAAACACACGCTCACTGTGACCAAGACTCATCCATGTGCCAACACTGTGACTTGTGTGTGCACGTGCACTCTGAGGTTTGGTCAGCTTGCCATAGTCCACGTGGAGGCCTGGGCCGGGGGAAGGGAGGCACTACTACCAATGGGCAGCCAACACTGGCCCAACAAGGACTCGAGTAGAAGGATGCTCCATAATTGTTGAAGATGGTTCACTTGACCCCATGTATACATATATATGTATTGCCACTCATGTGATTTCAGCCCGGTGCAAAGTGCCCTTTTTTATCATCCTGGATCCACTTGATCTCTTGTCCTGGATCCACTTCCACTTGACAGGATCAGCAATCATGTGTAAAATGGAAAATGTAGCCAACGATCATCGTAAAGGTGATGCCTCCACCCAGGAAAGCCCACACAAGGAGCAGGGGCAAAGGAACTCGGGGATCAGGAGCTTCAAGCTGAGTAAGATCGGCCCTGAGACTGGCAACTTCCTCACGGAGGGAGCCTATGGCGTCCAACACCTCGCGGAGCTCATGTGCACTGTCGGATGATGCTGGGGCCGATGATGGCATCTCCATGGCTCCTGAAGTGGCACTGGATCCACTTGATGCACTGGATCCACTTGACGGCCACTGGGCACACATCATGCTCCCACATGCAAACCCAAGTGTCTGAAGCACTACTTAGGGTCGGGCCCTTAGAAGTTGGTCTGAAAGGTGTCCAGCAACCATCAGCACTCACTGGCCCACTCAACATGGGACCAGCGGACAGTCTTGCCACATTTAAGCAGGGGTCACCAGAGAGGTTGAAACTGCTGTGCAACTGCAGGGCAAGAATGAAATATTATGTTTTTTTTTTGCTGGGTGACCTTGAGAACTCAGGGAGGCTTTGCACTGGGGCCAGCACCCTGCAGAGCCGCTGGGACCAGGGTCTTCTTAACCTCAGGTGGACAATTTCAGCTTCTTGATGTGAGAGCTCCAACTGTGCGGCATGATGGTGGTCCAGCAATCCATGTAACAATTTCATTGTTTTTGGTGGCTGTACTTGCCATTAAGGGCTGTGATGGGACGGTTCCAACTGTCGCAAGGTGGCCCAGTGTTCCAGTGGTCAAGTGTTCCAGTGGTTTACTGGACCAATAGGTCAACAGGCAAAACTCCCAGTTGTATGTGAGGTGGCCTGGCAGTGCAACCCATGATGTTCTTTCTGAGTTCAGTGCTGTGCAGGCAGTAGCTCTGCCTTGCCTGGCGTGGGCTTTCAACACCATGCCTTTCCATGCGGTCCTGCCCCTCCTTCTCAAAGCTTAATTGATAGCAAAACAGTGGCTTTGCTTAGCACATGTGGCTTGGAGTTCCTGAGTGATTGGAGGTGTCTAGTTAAGAAACCATGCGCTCTGAAACATGTAGCTGTACTTGCAAATGCGCCAGGCAGACCTCCTCATGCTGCAGGGCAAGCCGCTGCAGCTGCTGCTTGCGCCAGGGCATGTTCCATGTTGGCATGTAACATGTGCTTTGGACATGCAACTCCTGTGCTCAGCTCTTCAGCACAGGAGTTTCATGTCAGAAGCACATGTCAATCTTCTCAGTAATATGAACATGCACACACAGAAGAAGCACACATGTAACCAATGAGGGCAAACAATGCACCACATGCGTGTCGCAACCATAGTGCCTACTCACCCAATGCTCACTGTATTGTAACCATATCAAGCACTTAATCAACGCACATGTGTGGAAGCTATGCAGGCAACTTACCAACCCTCATGTGTGTAGCGATGATACTGGATGTGCATGAGTCTGCGGATAATGGCTCTGTGCTCCTCACATGCTTCTCATGTGTTTGCTAGAAACACATGTGAAGCATCTGAGAAACACTGGGCACTGAAATGCGCATGGTTTTATGGCCAATTCTTGGCTTATGGTAAACACGTACATGGCATGATTATGCCGAATTGTTGTGCCAAAATGGTCTGATTTTCCCCCATAATGTGCGCATATGCTGTATACCAGTTACCTTTTGCTAGTATACCACTTCCATGGGTCAGAGTTTTTCTATAGTTTTGCTCTTGGGTGGATTGCTGTCCTGATGTCATTGGCTGCCACCCAGGTCCATATTTGCGGAATTTTGTGGAGGTCCACAACTGCCCGCTGTCTACCAACTCCGCGCGAAGTTGTTTCTCGGGGTATGATGGAGGCCGTGCTGAACGCTAATTGGTGTTTTGAGCTTTCTGCTTTCCAGTTTGGATGTTCAACCCTCTTGAAACTTTGCCGAGCGGGATTCAGAATCCTCTTTCAATCTTCTTATGGGAGGGGTTCAGATCCAAGGTCAACAGGGCGACACAAGGCACCAAGGGTCCAGACGGGGCCATCTTTTTGACCACCCTCCATCGCCTCCATCCCGCCCCCCCCCCCCCCCCGATCCGGTTTCTTGCTCCCTCGCTTCCCGGCCTTTGGGCGCAACGCCGAAGAGCATCTGCCGCAGCACGCTGCGCATGGCGTTCATCGAGGTCTTCTCCTGGCTTCGACGCTTCAACTCCCGCCCTCAACTGGGGTGGGGGTGGGGGGGGGTCTGGTTTCCTCCGAATTCTTGCAGCCCTCCACTTACACAGAACAGAACCAAAAACAATACACGCGAGTCACACGACTAGCACTGAAAGCTTAAAGAACATGCGATAAGTTCCCCTGCTATCTGCTCAGCACCTGCTCCGCAAACCACCCGAAACCCGAAATCGATTGGCTAAGATCACCTAGCCACCTCTTGTGGCGAGAACTTGCGCCTGGCGCCCAAAGCAACACAGAGCAAAGCGAACCCGAAAACACGTTCTCTCAAAAGTGGCATAGGCACGTGGCAATCCCAAAATAGGAAACGCCTCTTTTCGGACAACTGCAGCTTATCGCCACACATGCAATCGAGCATGCCGAGGCAATACAAGCTCCTTCAGTCCAATTTGCCAACCTAACGGCCCGTACCCATGGGGAAAGGACTGCCCACAGCAAGCAAAGTGCCCCATCTGCTGCTTGTAGTATGAACCGGCTATAACTGTCACTTCGTTTCCTTGCGCGCCACAGCAGGCTCTTGGCTTGCTCCGCTTCCTTTCTTGCATAAAATCCTGTCTACCCTTTGCAACGGAACGCTTCCTTTAAGCTCCGTAGCTCCGAAGCATCGCGCACGGTGTATTTCTAGAAGGTCGCAAGTGAGGACAAGTGAGTCCCCTGCATTTCCCACAGCTCGCGGCGGAGCTCACTTGCAATGGAAAGAGCATCCATCGACTGTGTGCGCGCGACCCATCAATCCCAAAACATCCAAGTGGATGATTCGGGGGTTGTCCCATTTTAGAAGTGCCCCTTTACTATCGCTCACTACCGGACAGCGCGAAACGGCTTCAAGGCGATCCTTCCGTCGGCAAAGCGTTCCCGCCCGCAGCTTGCCTTCAGGGAGGTGAGCACCAAATGCGCACCGTGCACCAGCGCGAAGTGTCGGAGCCTTTGGTCGAGTCTCGGGGCACGGAGCATGAGGGCTTTGGGCTCGGGGGGCGGGGGGGAGGGGGGGATAAATTTGCGGTTGGTTGGTTGGTTGGCTGGGTTTGCGGAAGTGGTTGTCTTAAAACGAAGGCCCCTCTTGACAGAAGGCTCCTGATCTTCTGCCACAGGCGCCGCCGCGCACGCAAAAGCCCCTTGTCCCAGAACTTCTGGGCGTGTTTATCATCGTGGCCCCCACTCTGCAACTAAATTGGAGACTGCTGCGAAGGACTCGCTTCAAAAGCTCTTGTCAAAGGGTTGCCATGTTGCCTGATCCCAGAGATTCTCCTTTGAACTGTAAGTCAGACCCTTCGTCTTCTGGTCTGCTTACTGGCTTGTGCTAATGGGCCCCAGACTTGCCCAGCTGTCGCGTTCCCCATACTAAGCCGTGGCCGGCTTAGCAAACGCAAGGTTTCCGCTCAACACGACAATTCAAGGACGCACCCTGCAAGTGCACAGCAATCAATGCCAAACTTTCGCCAACCCTCTGGACAAAGACCCTTTCACTGGGGCTCTTGGGCTCCTTGGACACCTGGCGCTCGGCACAGGTTCTTCCGCTTTTCGGGGTCAGCGTCAGCGGCGAGGACGTCCCACTTGGCCCCTTAGTTGCCAGACCGGCAAATGGCTATGCCGCTACTCCAGAAGTGATTCATGGCAGGTCTTGACTAAATTGAACAGTTAACATCAATTGACAAGCGCTCAGGAGTGCTTCCATTTGCTTTCCTTTTCTGGGAAACTCAACTATATGCGTTATCTTCACCCAGTGTTGGCTGCAGTTGTCCAAACAACCCCCCCCCTTGGACTGACAGCTGGTCGCCTCGACGGCCCCCATAGCCTAAAGAACCACTGATGACCAAAGACCTTCCCTCGCGCTCGCGGCCCAATTTGTCGCCATGTGCTGCAGGTGAGAGACTCCCGAAATGGTTTCAAAGGTCAAGCTCTAAAGTGGGCTCCACACCCAGCAAAACATGGCTCGCGCAAGTGGTTGCTGCCACAACAACTATGTTTTCCGGCCGCTTTGGGCCGACACGTTGCTCCGTGTGGGCCGGTTGGCCCGTGTCAGCTCCGACCAGCCCGGCTCACTGCCGGTAGCTACGAATGTCCTCACTCCTCAGAGGCAGCAATTGCCCACAGAACAACACAATTCCTGGCTCATGTGAAAAGCTCAGGCCCGGGACACCACTTCCACGTTGACCCTCGCAAAACCCGTTAGCAAATAAGCGTTTCTGGGAGAACGCCAGAAGGTTTTACTTTACCCGCACTGTGCTGTTACTTGATCCTTTGTGCAAGCCACAAATTTGCTGCTAGGCGAGAGCCAAGCACTCCCTGCCGTTTCGTTGCCGCCACAGCCCGGTCATGTCAGTGGATGTATGTCACTACAAAGTTACTATCTGTGACGACCTGGTGCCATTGCACTGTTTGGATCTGTGGGACAAGTTGACTGCCTGCTTGCTTATTTCAAGCCAAATTACCCCAACAGCCCGGAGCGCCAAAAGCACCTCCCAATCCCCCACTCCCGGATGTTCTGAGTTGCATTTGCCACTTGCTTGTGGTTCTCATCTTGGCCTACGAAATCAGGCTCGTTTGCGAGTTTCTCATGGAACATTTGCCCATCCCTGGCTAGGAGGGTTCCCCTTCTTCCTCCACTGACTGCTGAAATATGTTTACCCTCGCTGATTGTAGGGGTCCTACTTGCCGGAAAAAAGCCTTTCGGCTTTCTCACATTTGTTGGTGTGCAAGCAGGGGAGCAAGGGGTGGACCCTGCCATCTAACTGCAGTCCGTGTGGTTTCCAGAAGTTCCCCGCATGGCAACTTTAGCGTCCAAGGCTCAGCCGTTGGGCTGCCTCGGCGTCCAGCTGCTTCTGCTGTAGGTAGGAGGGCCGATGCAGCGCCACCCTCTCCTGGCAGAAGTCCCCGGCGCGGACGGGGGCGAACCTGGAAGTCGAAGCACTTCGGAGGGCGAAACGTCCAAAACAAAACATGGGCATCACGCGGGATTCGGATTCGAAGCCTCTTTTGGAAAGAGTGCGACACTGTGAGAGAGTAGCATCAACATCACCCTCGATATTGCGGGTTCAAAGCGACACAATCCCCAATAGTAATTAGGAGGACCCCTTAAATTGATGATTCTGGGCAGATTTTGGAGAAGCGCAAGGAAGGTCCCTAATGGGAATGGCGGAATGAGTCGGAATGAGCCCACCCAGGGCCATGCAAATGAGTGAAACAATGCAGCATGAATACGCATGCACCTTGAGCTTGTGAGGCTGGGATCTCAGCAATCATGCCTACGTGCCCATGCCAGCTCAAGATTTCTCACTGGCAGCTGCTTTGGGGACACAATGCACACTTTGTTACAGCATGTTACGCTAGGCGCGGTCAATCATCCAATTGCTCATGTCAGGCTGATGCACAAATAGTGTACTGTGAACTATGCATGTTGCATGAGAGCAATGTGAACAAAGATCGCAGCATACCCCACAATGAAGAGTTTCTGGAAGGCACACCCTTCGGAGTCGCATGGAACGGACCGTTCCCCCTTTTGGTTTTGATTGAAACCAAACCAAAAGAGGGGTTGTCAAAAACCTTGAACCCCCTCTCTGGACACCCTGAAAGCCGGCACTTCATGACACCAGGGTCTAAACAGGCGTTGGGCCCAGGCTTTTGGCACAGCCCCCCCTATTCAAACCCAATGCAATCAAGCAGCTTTTCGCCGGCCAGTGCGCCGGGCCCGCACGGCTCGAGCATCACATCCTTGCAGCCAGTTCAATGCAAACCGGGTTGAGGAGCCACTAATCGTCTACCCTCGTGGTTCTATCGTTGTGGTTTGGCGATTGCGTTTAGGTTCGGAGCATGTCATTTTGATTCCAGGGGTAGACCGCGCATTCAGCCATCACCCCGTGCCTCAGCCCGAATCGCATCCCCTTGAAGGCTGCGAGCTTCGGAACTAATGTCATCGGGTAAACCAACCAATGGTATTAAACCGACTGGCACAGGACCCCAATTTGAAAACTGGAATGCACCTAAATAAGCAAAAACAAACAAACAATGGAATCAAACCAGCCCCAAACAAACGATCCCAAATTCAGAACGCCCCACCCAAATCAAAGTTCAAATCCGCAAGAAGCCCTGGTGATGCAGCTGGTCTCATTTTTCATTTTGTTCACACTGCTGCACCTACCAGTTGCTTTGTAATGGCAAGAAAGGCTGCCAGTGCCAACTTTGCACTGGCACAAAGCGATATCAGCCAGAACTCCTTGAAATCCACAACTGTTTGGCTTTCTGGAAATGCAATTGCTTTCTTGAATCCCTTTCACAAAGTGATGGTTCGAGAGGGCCACATGAGGTACCCCACATAAGTGCCCAGCCCATGTCAATAACATGGGCCCCCATGCTATTCATTTTGCCTCCCTCAGGCCAGCAGCAAAAATCCACATCCAGCTTTGTGCTTACTAGCACATGTATACTAGCACAGGCATGCAGCATTGCCAAGCCAGCACAACCATCATCAGCACGCACTCCCTGAAATCCAAAACAATGTGGTTTTCTGAAAGTGCATATTTTGTCAAATCCCTTTCAAAAGTTATGGTTTGAGAAGGTCACATAAGGTACCCCACATGAGTGCCCAGGCCATGTTTATAATGTGAGTTGACATGTTATTAATTCGGGCGGGCTATTCGGGTCGCGCAGATTTTTGAGATCCAGCAATACTAAATCAAACGGAAAGTGAAATCCCACAATACTAAACTAACTGGACACTCAAATCAAAATCAAAAGGAAGTGCCAGCAATAGTAAATCAATTGGAAAGGGAAATCCCACAATACTAAATCAACTGGATACTCAAATCAAATAGAAAAGGATGTCCCAGCAATAGTAAATCAAATGGAAAGTTAAATTCCACAATACTAAAGGAACTAATCTCCAGCAATACTAAATCAAATGGAAACTCAAATCCAACAATACTGAATCAACTGGATACTCAAATCATCATCAAATTCAAAAAGAGATGATCCAGCAATGCTACATCAAATGGAAAGCCAAATCCCACAACTCAAAAACAAAACCCTGGCACTGAAATAATCTGGGTGGTCTACTTTTTTTGGGGTATTGGGCAATACTACTTTGGTGTTGGGCAATACTACTTCAGAATTCGGAATGAGGATCCCGGAGCTCCAGCTAAATTCCAAAAGGAGCTCCTTGTTTCAAAAGGAAGCTCCAGCACTATGAAATCAAGTGGAAACTCATACCCCACAATACAAAATCAAACAAGTGGAAGCTCAAATCAAATTCAGAAGGAAGCTCGAGCAATACTAAATCAAAACGATTGAAAATCCTTCTCGGCCTTCTCCAGCGAAATTACTAATCCGATATCAACATTATCAGGAAAACCCGCTGACCAACCTGGAGGGGTTGCATGCAAAGTTAAGCATAAAGCCGAAGCCAGCGCCAATGGCCACCGCTTCCTTTAGGGCAAGCTGAGGCCTCACGGACGCTTCACTTCGAGGCGCGTCGTCTGGCCGGAGGGCACCGCTCACGATGGACAAGCGCTGCCCGCGCTTAAACCTCCAGCCGGGATGACTTGAAAATACGTGAAAACACGTGAAAATCGAACCCCGATATGATGCCAATGTGGCTCGTCTCATTGGCCTCACGGCTTCAGCCCAAAACGAGCTCCCTCGTCTCCTCCCGCGTCTTGTCGCACACTGCCGTCTGGGGACTTTGTGTGTACCGATTACCCCTTCTACATCTCTCCTGGGCGAATGACCCGGAAGGCAAAAACGGGGTATGGGCCGGGGTGGTAAGCCAGCTGTAATTCTGCACTTCTGGATGCTGGGGGCTCTCAGGACCGTGCAGCACGCGGTGCACAGCAGCCTTCCAGTAGCCGTTGGTCCAGCGGGATAACAGGGCACCCACATTCAGCACGAAGGAGCCTCTGCTCAGAGTAGGTGTGAGCATGTGCATCTGTTTGAGGCTACTCTGATTGAGTTTCTTTGAAATGCAAACATCGATTTCCTCCATGTACCTGACAGACTCAGCTACCGCTCTGTGATGAAAACCCTCTGCGTGCCCGTCAACCCAGCTGCAAGCTGAGCAACCTTTCACCCACGGGACCTGCGCGAGATCAAAGGCGGGCGTCGCGTTTGTGAAAAGTCTAGGCATTTCTTGCTGGGGTTGTTCAAAATGGAGGGAATCAGAGATCCGAATCTGCAATCCGTAGCTGGGACACCATCAGCATGAAGGATAGGATTTTGAACAACCCAGCTGAAGTAGCTATAAACCTGGCAGAGGACAATGTCAGCCAGCGGTGCTGTCAAGCGTGGTGCCCGTGTACCATGTGATGAATATGCCTCTCAGACAAGTTGCGTCTACCCACTCCTCGCCAATCTGAACCTGAAGTCCTGCAAAGGCACACATCTCACACACTTTGGCTTTGTGATGTGGCTCATGAAAGCTAATGTGAGTGAGAGCTTCACGCCCTGAGTGGCGGAATTGCCCAAGGCAAGCAGCCAGTGTCCTTCTGGATTTGCAGGGTCCAGGTTGAGTATGGTCAGCCCGAAGCTGTCGACATGCTCGCCATACCTCATCCAATCTCTGCAGTAGCACTGCCTCGCGTAGAACTTGCAATCCCCTTTCGCAAAGCGTTACTTCAGCTTTGTCCGGGCTGTGTTCCGTGGCGACCCATCGCAGCACTGGATGTTTCGGACAAGAACCTCGAGGACAGCACCTGGACAAATCACTATTCATCGGCCAGAAAAAAAGCTAATACACTTAAGAACCTTCACGGATGAGCTCGTTTTAGGCCCCGAGCCCGTCGTAATTCGAACAAGTTGTGCGCCCAGGGCACCTCATCTGCCCATCCAGCAATGTCGCGCCCTCCTGCCACGCTTGACGCTGGCCCTCGGATTGGTTGAGGCCCCCAACCAACAACCCTGCAAATCAAGGTTGGCCCAGGGTTTCGGTGCACTCCTAGTTGGGGTAAACTTTGCCAGGGCAAAGCTTTGGCTCACCCACAGACATCCCCCAGCTACTGTCCTCCATGAAAAGGCAGGCAACTGACAATGCTGGGCGCAATTCTGAAACCCTGCAAAGAATTGGCGAACGTGGTAACGCTCAAGCATCCCTCGCTATTCTTCGCTATTATTCAATATCTCCAATTCTGCACAAAATTGTCTGTCTTTTCTTCGGCAAAACCAACTCCAAAACAGGCATAGGCTCGCCCACTTGAACGGGTCAGGATGCCAATAGTGGGCAGCTCTACGCCCAAGTGTCGACCTCGGGCTCCACTCTCCTGGATTTAAAGAAGGGGTCAAGCAAAAGCCACCGCTAAGAAATTGCAGGGCCTGAGCCAAACAAAAACCATGGAGGCATGAAAGTTTGGGTTGACACACCATCCCGCAAAAACCTGCCCTGACCGTAGCCTCATGCGTGCTTCCTGAGGAAACAAAAGCAAGTTGTATAGCTGCTTGCTGCTAGGCCCCACGGAGGAACCCCTCTCAAAGGAATCCAAACCCCAGCTGCTTTACCGAGTGCTCATCGGAATGAAATCGCTTGAAGGCCTCCAGGTCCGGGTAGAAGGCCAAGCGCAACGCCTCCCGGCCCTTGCCGCACTTGGACGCGAAGAAGCCCTCGTCCTGGCCTAGTGACCAGTCCAGAGGTAGGCTTAACGGTTGGAATGCGGCGGTTTTGGGTCTCAGTCTCCCATAGTGGGAACCGCTTCCATTGGTTGAAGGGTCCGTGACAAGCCCTTGGAGTCATTTCTTCCATTTCTGTTGCTTGGTTGCTGAAGTAGCATGTAGAATGAATTGGAAGCAGCACCATGTTTAGCTTGGATTCGGCACGTGTCTTTCCAGAGTGTACCCCGTGGAGTCAAATCCAAGGGCAAACGCCTCAGCACTCCATACATGTTTAACACTGGCCAATGAATATTCAACGGCTCCAAGCCGAATCAGCTTCCACGGCAAGCCCACGAAACAGGCCAAACCAGGAGCTTGAATTCAGATTCCAACAGAAAACTATCAGGATTTGAGGCCATGAGGACCAGTCTTGACCAAGCATGCGAAAAGACTAAAATCTAATTTCCCCCTCTTCTACTCCAGTATTCGGCGATTCCTCAAATTTTGATGACAAGTTGGAACCATTCTTTGTCGTTGTTTCTTCCGTGTTGAGTGGGACACGTCTTGGTGCCTTTCAGGGAACCTGCCAAACAAACGGAAATTTAGAGGGGATGTCCACTGAACAACTCGGCTTCCTATAGTTAAAGATTGCCTACACTGCATAGACAAAGAATAATGATCGTTGTGGTTGAATGTTACTTTCGCTTTATATGAATTCAGCTTTATTCTGTGTGTGATTTCATGGGCTATTCATATTAACAAACAATAATTACAAAATTAAAAAAGATGAAAGACTAACAAGAGAAGCTTATTTCATATCTTTCCAGTTTTTAATGGTATTATGTCTGAGGTTCCTTCACCAGACAAAAGATATCTAAAAGAAGAGAATTCTAGAGAGGAAGGAATCTCATGAATACAGACATGATCTAGCTTCGAATCAAGGATGTCCAAGTCGTCTTTTGCTATCTTCTACCGTTCAATTATGTATTCACATTGTTTATCGTGAAATCGTTTCCTATCTTACACTTTAAATATTCTGTAACGATTAACACTGCCTATAGGAAAGGAATGTCACCAACCCATCCAACAATCTAATGATAATGGGTTAGGGTAATAGGAAAACAAGACTAAAGGATGAGGAATTCATTTATTTCTATAATTATCCTTGCCAATTTTCCGGGCAAATTCAGGTGTTGAGCACTGACATGTTCTGGACTGATTAAAATTGAGGGCTGACCATCCTAATCCAAACCCCTGCTGAGAAACTTACGAATCAGATCGAATCAGCAGTTTTGAGGTTCCCGTTTGGTGATTTTAAAGGGAATCCAATACACAGATTATCATTTTTAAGGCCGCCTACAAAAACACACACCCACATCCCCTCACTGCCCATTGTCCATGTCATCTCCGACCGCAATGCACAAACTGTACAACAAGGTACAAGCTTGAGCCAGCTATATCCAACAGCCAGCTGAAGCCACAGCCTGCCCCAAGTTACCTAATTGAAAAGCGCCACGTTCCCAGCCCGTAGCCTCCACCGCCCAAACCCCGGCCCCGCCTAGCGCCAGGTCACAGGCACAGTTCAGCACCTGTGTCGGAGCCCGGTTCTCGACGAAAACATGTTTTTCTTTTTTAAAGCAATCCCCCGTAGGATTCACGAAGCAGCGTCCTTCGATTAATCTGCGGCTCGGCAGACGGGGGTGCAATTGCGGAGCAATTGCAAGCACACTGGAAACTGTTCAAGAAACAAATGCTTACACCACTGCATATTGTTCATGTCGAGGCTCACTCCGACAGAAACGCACCATGGACGTGCTTGATGCGTTCCAGGGCCCAGAAATTATCGCTTTGTGAGCCCCCTATCATTTCCTATCCGAACGTCCAAGGAGCTGGCAATCATGATACGTTCGTTTCAAATTACATCATACTGGCCCCATCCAATATGCAGGGCCGCCTGGCTTTTCTAGGGTACTTATTGCGCAACTCCACACCAAATAAAGCAAACCTTGATATAACCCCGGAGCTCCGCCGATACCCTTTTCCCAGCGCTTTGCACGGAGCTAGAACCGGACAAATGAAACTCCTGGTGCGAAAGCAGCAAGCATGGAACCAGCGGGCAACACGGATGAGTGGGAGATGTTGTGAGTTGTGTGTTCTCAAACGAACTGGATTTCAAAAGCAACATGAGTTGCAATGGGCTGCTGGGTCCTGTTAGGTTCACCTGACCGGGGAGCCCTTCAGCCAACGGAACCACATGCACCATAGTGCAGCCTTCTTCGCTGCAGTGACAGGATCTAAAAAGCAAGGACGTAAAATTCTGCCTGGTTGGTGCTAGCGTTTTCCAGCATGTGCAAAATTGCCGTCTTGCATAAGGATGGAAAGAAACACGTCCTGAGCACCATCCAAACATTGGCCATGCCAAATTCGACAGCCAGACTATCTGCCGCGGGCAGCACATTGGCATTCCAGGGCAGCGGCCTACGCATCCGCAGACGTCTCATCGGACGCTGCACTGTCCGCGGCGTCAGACGACGCGTCTTTAGGCGGACTCGGAGCGGCCCCCGCGTCTTCAGGCGGACTCGGGGCGACGGCCGACAAACTCTTGGCATCCACAGGCGGGGGCATAGTCCAGAACGGTGTGGATTGTTTCTCTACCTGGGACCAGCACACGCACATTCGACATCATCCAATTGTTACAAACAAACAACATACGTGCTCATTTGCCAAGGGCGCTGTGTGGAACACTCCATTCAGCAGGAAGTCCGACATGGTGTAGTAGGCACGGGCTGGGGTGAACATATCTTTTGACACCCAGAGCTGCAGATCCTCCTGGCAGGACACGTGATAGGACAAGTGAAAGGGAAAGGCAGCTAAAGGAAGTCAAAAGCAAACGGCACGTTTGTCTCATCACGACTTGACGTGTCCTGATAGGAGCACTTGAACCTTGGCTGTGGGCATTTGCACGCATCTCCTTCCAAACCAGAGCTTGTGAACAGACTACCGCAAATGACACAGCACGCCCCTTTCTCAGGAGCTTCGACAAGTTTTCGCGTGGCAAGCAAGCTAGAAACTTGCGCAAAAGGCTTGACCATGTCATGCCAAAGAAGCTCGTAGTACCTGCCAACGTACAAGCCCATCACAACCTCAGTTTCGCAGCGCTATATGTAACACTTTGGGCCCCAAGCGCAACAACCAAAACAAAATGTGATGCTCGTAGGAATGGAAGAACTATCAGAGGAAGCGGGTCTTGCACGCATTGCATTGCCTCGCCTGCACAGGTGTTGCATGCCAAGAGGCCAGCGCGCCGACGATGCGGAATGGAATCAGCTGCCTGGGAACATCTAGAAGCCCAATGCAAGACCAGTGGTTTGCTTTCATGAGCCCGAGATATGGATCCTGAGGAAGCCCACAAAGGCAGCTTGTTGTCAGGGGGCCATGTCAGGCGGCAGAAACGTGCATCATACAACTGTGGTCTGTGGTGGCATGCCACACCAGGCCGTGGCATGCGGGCGTCGGAAAGACGGAAAAACAGAAGCGTGCACCGCGCCTGATGAGCGCACCGCTGCACCAACTCGTCTCTTTGGCGTGGACCTTCCCGCCCTCCTGGCTCCCGATGGCTCGGGGATAGCCATAACTGATGGCCGCGGGAGCATGGGTGAACATACGCAGTGAGAACCGCAAAGAATTTACCAGGCCTTCGGTATTTGCAAGGCCTGATATTTGGCCATCAACGGCTTCACTCATTCACACCGAACGTAGGTGTTTTTGTCATGGGTGCCCCTTTTTATATGTGGTTCCGAAGGTGAGCCAAAGGACAACCAACCCTCATCCTGGCTCTTAGCGCAAATTCCGTTGATTTGGGCCTCGTCCGCCGTCACTTCCTCCGTTTCAAGGATAGCCATGGATTCGCTAAGCTTGCCCATGATGTGCTTCCCGGCACGGCTGTGCATCGCCTCGAACCTCAGCAGGGGCATTCGGGAGGCTTATGATTTGGATCTGGCACCCAGTCTTGAGGTCAGTCCAAAAGGGAAGAAAGGAAAACTTGTTGTTTTTGGGAGGAGGGGGTGAGGTTTTCCCCGTGTCGATGCTTCAGGTCTAGTAGAACGACTACCTGTACGAAGGGAGGGCGAGCTTTTTCAGGGCCCCGACTTTGGAGATGACAAAGAGAAAATGACTGAATACCATATATGGGCCGCTTGCGCCACACCTTACCCGCTCCTTCCGCGGCGGGCAAACCGGGCGTAGCACTTGCACGAAGCTGACGCCAGCAAGCAGCGGTTTATTTAATTTTGCATCAGTCTGCAATGGAGCCTGACAAAGCGGAGTTCGAAGTGGGGCATTTCAGGCACAGGAAAGGTTGGGGCTGCTTGCACAAGGCGAAGTACACGTTTCGTGCTGAGGAAAGGAAAGCCTACAGGGCCGCGACAGGCGATCCGAGAAGACTATGGGACCGCCACAACTACAGCACCATGAGAAGACCACGCGGAGCCTGCGGGAAGCCCCATGAGAGCGCTCAACTGACCCCACGTCACGGACCGGATGGCTGGCACCTGCTCCTCCCCCAGAGGCTTGGAGCCACGTCAAGCTGCCCTGCAAGCTGCGAGCGCAAGGGCGGAACATGAACAAGTTGAAACGGAACCTGGGACTGCGTGCGAGGGTTTTTTGCACATAAGTTCGACGTAGCACAAAGCTTGTCGAGCTTTCGCCACACCTCAGGAAGACCAAGGGTAGCCTCCTCACCTCGCTGTGAGAGCCTAAATTTCGGTATATATCTAACTTAGGGATCCCATCGCCACATGTTTGCAAAGTTCACACAAAGGCCACACACGAGATGTCATGGAATGCAGGAAGCTGACCGAGTCAAGAAGAGAAGGTGTTTTTCATCAACCGGTTGATTAATCTGCGGGTCTCCCTTCAAAGGGCTCTGGGAGTTGTTTGGAGGCATTTTGCTACCAAGCCTGCTTGCCCCAACTGGGCCATTGTTTTGCTTAGAGATTCACGGCTTATGCACTGCTGGGGCGGCTACGCGGGGGGCTTTGCGGGGCCAGAATTCGTGGAAGGTTTGGCTTCGCGAGGCTTCGCGGCAAGACTGTGGCTTCGCGGAGTGGACGCTGCTCCACAAACATCTCTGACGATTGTGGCTTGATGTAGGCTATGCGAAAGGGGGGCGATGAAAGGCAGCAAGAAAGACATACTAGGGGCATGGCCCAGCCCTCAAAGGGGCGGAGCACGGAAGTTGGGTCGCAGTGGTTTCGTCAAGGCTTCGCGGAGGCTTTGCGAAAACAGCCCATGGTTTCTAGCAAAACGGGGACTGAGACGCACAGTGCTCTTCCGGTCGTCTTCCTGGCGTCTTCCCATAATCTTCCGGCAGTCTGACTGTACTCTTGCTGCAGTCTTGTCATAGCCTTCCGGCAGCCATCTGGAGGTGATTCTAGACAGCAACCTTTGGCATGCTACTGCCATGAAAGCACATAACACACTCCAATCACGAAGTGGCTTCGCAAAGTGGCTTCGACTGTGTCCAGTTACCGGGCTACGCGAATTGGCTTCGCAAGGCTTCGCGTCGCACAATGTATCACACAAGTGCCTTCGCGGACCTTTCGGGAGTTCCCCACGAAGCTAACATCCATCATCTGAGACAAAAACGCTGCTCAACTGAAACCCCGAAAGGAGCATCTCGGGGCCACGGGGCAGCATCTCGTCCAAGGACAGGATGAAGCCCAGGGACAAAGCCCCCAACACGCAGTCCAGGATGCCGGCGGTGTCCATGAGCAGCAAGGTGCCCTCCAGCAGCACCTACAAAAGGGTACGATGAAGGACACATGCGCTTTTTTTGTAGGTGTTTCGCTGACTGTCCTGCGAACATGGTCTCTGAACGATTTTTTCAGCACATGGCCCACCAAATGCCGTCCTGATAAACTTGTTGGACCCTCCCGCCTCCCTGATCGCACTATCTTCACGCAAAGGTTAATGAAGGCGAACCCTCGAAAGTGGAAATTGCTGTCCATTGATTATAGCCCTGCCCCTCTTTCTGCACCACCCGTGCCGAGCAGCAAAGTGACAAATGGCAAGCTTGGGCAGAAAGACCAAAATGAAGGTAATGAGCTTCCAATAAATGGGCATCCCTCCAATGCCTGGCGAAACACTGGAACTTGCCTCGCCTCACAAATTGAACCTGGCTGAGCCTCAAGCCAAGGCAATCAGGGCCAAAGCTTTTATGCTATGGTCATGTGTCGTTTGGTTGCTGGTGTGTTCAATCCATTCCGGGCCTCAGCAATTCGGGTTGTTCCGTTCAATTTTGAAAAGAAGTGCAGAAGAAAGATACCACATGTTTAGCTCATGAGCTCCTCTCCGGACCTAAGGACATGAGCGCCTGCCCGGCTTGGTTGCTAGGTCTAGGGCGACTTTTGTTGATGCTCGCATTTCCACGCGTGAACATGTGCATGTCCTTGGCGGGGGCTGAACGGCTGAACTCCTTTCGGGTATGCACCAGCCAGCCCAAAACGTATCGTCACAGCCAGGATGCGGTATGAGACGCCTTTCTTGTCCTCCTTGATTTTCAGCCAGGAGATTTTGCTCTCGTCTGAGCTAGGCCTGCATTCTGTCATGCTCCACGAATAACGGTTCAACATCGGTACTTTATACCAAAAAGCTGTGCCAACAATACTTCCCTCCCTGAGCGAAAGGTACGCAATACCGAGAGTACTTTGTTGTTCGGCGAAAAACGGGCTGTTGGAGAAAAAATATGTGTTGCCGGGAACTTTTAAGCTGGTGGCTTCTGCACACCCTTTTACCAAGAATTGGCATCCAAACAAGCTGTCCCGGGAGTGGTACGGGGAGCGTTCCAACAGCATCTGAAGCACGGCCATTGCCACAATCACCCTCTCATTGCAGCTCAGCAGCACTGCACAAAGTAGAGAGAACATCCCAATGCACGTCTGGATCCTGGCATGGCCGAGAGCCAGCCAGCCAGCCCTGCCCATGGGTTTCGCTGCCATGAGTTTCAAGCAACATGTTTGATTGTTCAGCAAACCTTCAGCCCAAGTTGCTCGTGGATGACGGACATGGTGAACAGGAAAAGGCACACATAGCGGCACTTGTAGTTCTCCATCCCGTACTCCCCGGGATCCACATGAGCATCGATCTCGGCGGCCTGGCGAGAAAAGCCCTTCAGCTTGGTGCTGAGAAAAACAGTAAAATGCGAAACTCCACAACTGATTCAGGTCCGCTTGGCGTCCAATCAAAAATATACTCCAAAAAGGGATGAGGGGTCTTAACTCCTACTTGCAAAAAGGGGTTGCCCCCACCCCTACACATGCCATCCCATGCCCTCCCGCTTTAGCAACACAAGCATGCCCAGTCCTTGTCAGGCAGAACGTCCAGCAGCGCCTGCAAACATGGCGCATGGTGTGAAAGTGCCATTCAGCACGGTAACTGCAAAGGTTGTCACTCTCGTCCTGCGTCTTGTGACAGGTCTCACACATCTTTCACATTTTGCGCCCAACGGCCACCCTGTGTATTTCTGAAAGGGGTCCCCGAATCTAAAATCTGAATTCCCCTGGCTCTGTGCGCCGGCGCCATGCCAAGTCCAACCTTCGAGATACCCTCTTTCCAACATGGACCTGGACGAGGTGGCTTGGGAGGACTACCGTTCTCTGGAAAAAGGATGAAAAAGGCAAAGGGTAACATTGAACGCCGGTCTTTGTTGTTGAACTAGCTTTTTGTGAGCTGACTAGATGCACACGTTTTGTTCACTACAGGGAACCTCCCTTAAGCCACAGGGTCCTGTGCCGGCCTCCTTTTGAGCTGGGTGTTTTTTTGCAAGTGATAACTACTCCACTTGACTTTCTCGCGGAAAGGCGAGAGAAATCCAAGTCACACGCGACTGACGGGATTAAATTTGACATGTCATAATTATATGGCAACCGCATATCTCAGGCAAGGGCCGAGGGGTTGGCTTCATCAGCCCGCCTGTTTGGTAAATTTCTGCACTGCCCACTGGGTGTAGCCATAGAGGCGCGAAGGCGAGAACTGCGTTCCTGGCTGGGCCGAGTACAAGATCCTATGCAGAACAGCGCTCGCATCGCGCGCCAGATTTGGGAAAGGGTGCTGACTTTATTCCCTTTTGGTGGACACCATCGGGTGATTGGTGTCCACCAACCATTTGGGAGTGCATCCCCATTCGATCAATGCCACCTTCTCAACGGTCACTCTCACGGGCTGGGACTTTTTACAGCCAAACCCCTTTCACCTCACTCTTGCCGGATGCTCGCCTCCGGGTCCAACGCACTGAGGGTCCAAAGGGCTCCCTGGGCCCTCGCACGAGTCAAGGATTGCCCCGAAGTCGCAAAGGTGCATCCTGAGGCGCGGTACTTCATTGCACCTAATGACATGCACGGGGTTACAGAACAAACAACTGGAACATTCGCACAACACTGCTTCGATCTGCTGGGACCGGCGCAAATTCAGGGCTCCGCTTGCGTTGCTTTGGGGCTTCAACCGCGCAACTGCCCGAAAACATCTCTCCGTTGCTTCCCGAGACTGCACGGTGCTCCAAGGTGGAATGTCGTTCCGTTAGCTTTGGCAGGCCCGGCTTTGCGTTGAGCGGCTAAAGGATGCACAGTATGCAGCCGCATGCAAGCGAATGTCTCTGCGACAAACCTGACTCATATCACATGTCGGAGCATGTGCTCTTGCAGCTCTGGGTCTGTCCACCCAAAGGGTTCATGATCTGTGTCGCTTCGCCTGGGTCAACATTACGCAATGCCTTGAACTGCACACCTCCACGCATGCCACGTCAAAATGCCATCAACTGACAGCAAAATTGCATGCCCTCCCCTCTCTTCAAGCAAGAACAGGGAGACCACCCGCTCAAGGAGCTTCTGAGCCAAGGTGTCTGACTCCTGGCTGCAATCCAAGCGGCCAACGAAGACCCTTGGCTGAGAAAGAATGGACTGAAGCCCCATCACAAATCACACAACCACACGTCTCACACACACCCACACACACACACACGCACACTCGGAACTTCTACTGGCCAGTTGCAGATGGGGCGAGCCCCATCTGCAACTGTTCGCGCTCATCGACGCCCTGGGGTCCCGGCACCAAAGAAAGCTGCAGGAAATAGTTCAGCGCCAAAGCCATCCAGGAGCGGAACCACAAAGTAACATACCTGAGAGGCGAACGACGCCATTCGAACTCATGCGGCCACTGCGGTAGACTTTGCTCTTCATATCCTCTCACAGGCAAATGAGCGTATATAGGCTTTAATGAATGGATTCACCTTGCCCGCCGAGCAGCGTTTTCTGAAAGTGGCTGCTTCTGGCAAGCTGCGGGAACGCAATGGCACTTCCTGGCAGGTTGCCACATGCAAGTGGCCATTGTCAAATTGCTGAGGCGCCCGCCGTAGACTGACTCTGTCTCCAAAGTCACCACCTTGGCACACAGCCGACACCGAGCCTCAAGACGAATTCGCGCAGAAAACCCAACACCTATAGTCATGAGTAAAAGACCGAAAGTCAACCCAGTTGGAAATCTTGGACAGGACCTACTGCCCTCTGGCAGGTGGGGGCACGTCTGGGCGCGTCATACCCGAAGCCCCCCATCCCTCCAACAAAAAGAGGAAACTCTGACCCTGCGTTTTAAGGTCCTGGTTGACAACTGGCCTCTAACCCAACGCGCGCTGAGGCGCAGAACCTTACGTCTCCTTGGGAAGCGAAAAAGTTGCCTGACCGCCCGCGGGCACACAAAGACTGAATCGTTGTCGCGGGAAATCTGCAAACGCATTGTCGGAAACAAATGGGATGAAGCCCAATGCCTCCCACAATGGGATCCCCTTCTCCCCCGCGAATCCGAGATTTCACGCAACAAAGCCAATGCTGAAACGATACTTGAATAGCACTTAGGCCTGGCCAAAGACAACTAATGCAGCACCAAAACAACCCAACTTCGATCTTGTTAATCTTGCTTGAAAACGATGCATGTGTTCAGAGTTCACCAAATTCAAGGCAGTGTCAACCTCTGGGAAGAAAGCATGCAAAGAGAGGCCCACTTTGCACATGAACCCTGTCCACAAACACGTGAGCCCCCAAACTCGCTCCCAATTCCCCGGCCAAGGCTCACTGTGCTTGGTGTCCCGGTCGAGCAACTCTTTGGCTTCCGCCTCGATCTCCTGCCATGGTGCTGGAGCCTGCAATTGAGTTGCAAGCAAGGCCCCTCTTTCCGGGCCACGCAGAAAGGAAACGTGCCGAACACGGACCGGTGACGCCGTTGTTGAATCGGGAAATTGGCAATACAAGTGCAACCCAGACAATGAACCCCCAGCATCCGTTGGACCAATCATTGTGTCGAGTCCCCTTTTTGTGGGCTCCAAGAACCGCCAGAAGCCAAGAACCCCTCACCACACAACACTTAGCTCATCTTCCCTCACCTTCCCTCCCCATGGCAACCAGGCAGCGGGCTCCCCTTGCAAAACGCCCTTGCGATTCAGTTGCTGGCATCCAGTCAGGCTGCCCAAACCCGCCCCGCACATCGCAGTCCTCGCCCCCGCTGAGCAGAAGGCGGCCCGCCATGGCACCGTCGCTTCGCTTGCCGATGGCCGGAGTTACACTTTTGCCTCGAGCCTTGAGGTTCGAGGAGGCGAGCATGATGTAGGTTCGTCTCCCTTTCACTCCTCTGGAAGCCCCCCCCCCCACAAAAAAAAAACAACAAGGCGGCATCAACAGCAAGTGAGCCCAATAAAGCGGAACAAAGCAAACAGCCCGGACCTTTCGGCCACGCCCATGATATGGCACATGATCCCCCCTCATCTTTGCTGAAGGCCCCGGAAGGGCACGCTCAGATACCATGCCAGGCGCTGGGATTGCCCAGTTGCATGAGCTCGCACACGCAGTCGCATTCCCGCAAAGAGCGCATTGGGCACAGTTTTCAACCCCCAATCTGTCAGGATCCGCGGCACCTTGTCACGTGCACTCAGCCCGGTGCGCCTCCCGGAATCGGGCGACACGCTCGCCAAACTCCTGCCCCCAACCGATTTTAAGACATTGAGACCCGTCACAAGCCAACTGCCAGGCGGGGGCCCATCGCAACCGCGTCCTGCACAGCCGGGCGGAGCTCCGGTGGTCTGTCAGGCAGCCTCTCGAGGCCCTCCTCAGCTGAACGTGGGGTGTCAAATCCGTGATTCGCGATGAACTCCAGAGGATCCTGAGTTTAAAACACACTTAAGATGGCCGGCTGCGCACTTTTGTGCGATTTGCTTCGAAGGAGAACCGCCAGCTTGCAAATGACTTCGGCATTCCGGGCGACCTTCCCTGCCACAACATGAACAAAATTGATGTGAAGGGCTCGGTTCACAAGGGTTTGCTGCTTGTGCTGTCTCAATTTATCCTCATTGATTTCCAAGAGTTGGCCGACACACCACTCGGCCACACCCAAAAGAAACCCTAGTGCCCAAATAAATCAGAATGGTTTTGAACTTTGGTGTGGTTTGAAGATTCCCCAGCCTCAAGGAGGGTGGCCTAGCGCAGACCTGATCCATGTGGCCAAAGTCTTGCTGCAAAGCGTCATGGGGCCGGTACCTGGCGCAAAGCTGCAGCTATCAGCATTCCCTCACGCTGAATGGGCATAGCACGTCTGCACAGCGAGATGCTTTGACAACAACGTAAATTCAGCTTCCAACGCCAAGGGCACGATTTCATTGGAAAACGCACGGTTTTTTCTGCACACTTCACGATTGGCATTGGTAATGCCTTGCCTGACACAGCGTGCCGAATTCCTGATGCTGGCTAGCAGGATTATATTACGCCCGCCACCCCCCGCCACCCCCTCACCCCCCCCCCCCACCCCCAGCGCGACAGTACGAACACCATCTGACATCTGTTTGGCACCCGAACGAGATGGCGCGGCTTCTCAAAAACATCCCTCTACATCTCTATCTGCGCGCTCTTGCCATTGGGCACGTGAGGGACTCAACAAGGTCGTCCGGCTTCGTAAAATCGCCTGCGTCGAGCTAAATCTGGCTGCGTGACGCGTTATGAGGTTTCCAACGAAAGGGCCCCGTGTTTGAAGCACGCAAAAATGCAGAGCGTCCATAGCAGCGCTCACTGGATGCCACAGCGCCTGAATCTCCAACAGTTTCACAGGCCACCCATACAAATCAAATACATTGCCGCCCGCTTTTCATGACCCGGTTGTCCAGCGCCCTAGGAGCCGACACGCGCCTAGCAGCTGCGCCCCGTTCTCCTCCAGTCGGCAGTAGGGGCTGCTGCCATAGCCAGGGGCGCTGCCTGCTTTGGATTGCGCCAGGCAAGGGTCAACACTCACATCTCCGTGTTTCCCTCACCCGCCAAAAACAAAAAACTCAAATCTATGTCCAGCACATCCCATCCAAAGCGTTGCAGTATCCTTTGAAATTAGTTGAAGACCAAGGCTTAAACCACGGGATGCGCTTTGCACAAAAAGGGCAAGAAGCTCTCAACAATGCACAAGACAAGTTCTCGTACATTAAGGCCCCCCTCCGGCCCGCCTCGCACATTCGCAAAGGGGGGGGGGCTCGGATTGTTTGTTCCTGATTTTTTCCCAGGAATTCTAGGCATTCCAGGAGTGAGTTTTGGAATTCTAGGAATTCCACAGGCTTGTTCCTTGAATTCTTGGAATTCCTACAAAGGCGCACGGTGCTCATTCCCAAGAGTTTTAGGGGAGAAGTGTAGGTGGCCCTGCGTCGCGTTGCACTTTCCTGTTCCCTTCCATGAAGCCCAAAGCAAATCTCCATGGGATGGATCCCCAGAACTATTTTCTTGTGATGCCAATTCCATTCAAGTCAAGGGATCCCACGATTCCAGGGCCCTGCAGCAAGAACCCACAAACCCACACACATTCCACGAGCCCACACCAAGGGTCACTAAAATCTGCACAGGAGCCGACCCAGCGGGGATGCGAGTCTTGTCAAGTGCCTACCTAAAAGTGAGAAACTTCTTTGTGGGTCCCGCTGCTTGCACTGTGCTGCACTCCCTACCTTCGTTCACCATCTGCTTCTCGGCCAAAGGCTGGTGGAAAAAGTCCATCGCAGATCTCCGAAGCTGTGCCAACGCGATCCTGGGACATGGCGGCCGTGGCGTTCCCTGTTTTGAGCGAGACCGAATCTGTATAACGAAACGACAACTTGATACTCAGCGAAGGCCGGGAAAATCGTGGCACCCAACAAGCGAGCTGCAGCCCCGCACAGGGCTTCACAAAGTGCAACCAAGGCTCTCTGGCACCGGTGTGGAGGTGACAACAGCGAACCTTCGGACAAAGGCTGCGTGGCAAAAGGCATGCAGAATCGCCTCGACAAACATGTGCACGCGTTGGCCAAGATCAACAAGCCTGTCTCCTGGCCATTGCTTCCTTTGGAGGAACTTCTATGGCCAATGACGGCTGAAATCCCTCCACATTCCTCTGAGACGAGTACATTATTCTGACAAAACCATGTGCGACTGGTTGGCACTTGCTGCCCGAAGGTGACAAACGATCCTACATCGGACCAATATCGGACCATTTGAATCCCATCTTGGCCTCAAATGAAACCAAGAAGCAACACCCCAGCGGTCAAATTCAAATTGATATAAATTGATCTTCCGGGCCCTCCCCCACAAATGCTTTGCTAGTGGGAGGATGCGAATCAGCAAGACTTCTGGGTGCCGACTTCGCCCCAAGATCTTCAAAACCCCCCCCCGCCAAGGCCCCGGCCCTGTGTCTGCAAAGGCCTTGGACAAGGCCTGAGCCACTCTCAGTTGGCCTGGCCGGGCGAAAGCAGTTGGAGTCCGTGTTGGCATTGGAAAGCCTTCACAAACACAAACTCTCTCTGAAAGGGGGTGGGGGTGGGGGGCCGCTTGCCCAGCGAAGGTGGGCCCCGATTGCGGTTGTTCCGAAAGTGCGCCAGACCCAAGAACAAGAAGAACAAGGCCTTCTCGCCCATCGGCCATGGCGGCCATGTCTACCACCGAGATCCTGGTCCGACGCGGCACGTCCAAACGCCAGGGGAAGTCGCATATGTCACACCATAGGATCACAATGTGGCAAGATCCATCCGTAGACCAAGCTGTCAGCCCTTGAGTCCTGGTCATGGTGCGAGCTGACCTCCAAGTGTGCGTCCTGGCGACGGATGAATGATGCTGCTCTTGTTCTAGTGACGCTCATCCGCTTGTAGCTCCTACCCAATATGAGGGCTTTATTTTTGGCCCTGGCTCGTCCTAGAAAAGCCTGTTGCATTTTAGGCTGGCCCACCAACCCAGCCACCCAGCCAATCGAGCAGCCAACCAACGTATCAACCAACCAAACCACCAAACCATACCAAACAAAATAAACCAAACCAAAACCAACACAACCTCAAATCACCCAGGTCTCTGCCGGGCTGGAGTAGCTGGGCCGAGCCGGTGCTTATCTTAAATAAAACGTGTGACATATATTGCAACGCACTCGACGGTTGGGCCTGCTCTTTTTGAGGGCACTCTTGCAGGTTGGTTTCAAGCAAGGGCAACCAAACCAAAAAACACATTCCCAGCTGAGTTGAAAATTCATAATGCTCGCTGGCAAGGAGAAAACCCTTCTGACACTCTCCTCCTGACACAAGCGTCCAAAGGCAGCCGAAGCCACATGAAGGGTCGGGCTGTCGCGAAGCTCTAACTTGAGCCAGATCTCGCTCTTGAGAAGAGGGTGTTTGCAACAATAGGGGACCCCAAAATGGTGTCCCTCCAAAGAACACACCCCGAAGCATGACAACTGTTCTGAAGCCCAAGCCCCGGCTCAGCGCGGGGCCAAAGATTACCACTGGCACCTGAGCGAGGTACTCTGGCATGAGAAGCCGTGAAATCTAAGGTCCTAAGGTTGTCTCTCTTAAGGAGCCCTACAATATGCAATTGGCTGTTGGGAAATTCCCCCCATTTGGCGGCAAACAAATATCCGGAAAAGCAGCCAAGTTCGGAGGGCCGCAAGCCGAAATTAAGAAATACAAGCACCATCAAGTGCCACACAGGGGGCCCGGCGGGGAATAAGTTGATGAGCCCGCGATCGGCATGCTCTGCGTACGAATTCGCCCGCAACCTCGGGGATTGATGCCACTCTCTTCTCATTCAACGAACTGGGATGAAGTATCCCCTGCAAATCTTTTGACCAACTGGCACAAGCCTTACTGGGCCGCACACGCCCTCTGCGCTTCCAGCTGCAGCATGCCTTGAGGGTTCTCCTGCAGAATCCACCCGCTTGGCCCACGGTGCAGTGCAGTGTACCGGCGCCCTATCGCAAATCACTGGTAAACAGTGGAAATGTGTTTTTTGCTTTCTACTGTTGACCTGCATCTTTGTTCGAGGTGCTTTTTCCATAGAGAGGAATACCCTCTAAAATGGGCTCCAGCCACTACCAGTTCATCAACCAAGGCTTCATTTTGTCACGTCGCTTTTGTTCAAAGGCGCCTGGGCATTTTGGTACGAGGGTCTTGCAACCATGCAACCTATTGCAGTGACGTACCCAATCATGCAAGTATACAAGGTGTTGGAAGACGACCGACCATCCTCTTGAATTGGCCCCCTTGCCTATTCCCATGATCGGCGAGAAAAATATCAGGCTCCTGCGCCAGGGCCTGCAGGCTCTTGTCCACCTGCGACCTCAGCAGCTGCAGCCTGGCCAGAAATTGAGAAGTTGAGAGGTCCCCCCTTCCTTTTCGACACAAGATTCTTTGAGGGGTGGGTCCCTCGGTTCATGAAACATCAACTTGCCGAACTTGCCTAATCAAGTTGGACCCCCTTGACGGGCTCCTGGTGGCCAAAAAGCTGAAGCCAGGTGATGGGAAGCCGTTAGATTGACTAGGGCCCACGGGCCCCTGGAAGCTTCTTCTCTAGGGTTCTTCCTTTCAGTGTGACCTTGTCAGAGCCCTTCTTCAGAAGTTGACGCCCGACGTGTCTGCCACGCGGAACGCGCCAGGCACGCCACTTTTCGAGATTCTGTATACCTCAGAGGCGCGCATGTGATCGCCGATCGTTGGGCGCGCCGGCACACTCCAATACGCCAAGCGGCAGCTGTGCGGCCTCAGCTAATCTCACGAGTGCAGCGCATGGGAGACTTGGCTTTGACGCAGGATAGGTGGCTTTGAGAGAAGTGGGCAGTAGCATACACATGCATTGACAAAGACAGTAAACTCACATACACACATAAACAAGCCAAGCAAGCAAACAAACAAACACAAAGAGAGCGAGAGAGAGAGAGAGAGAGAGAGAGAGAGAGAGAGAGAGAGACGCGAGCAAAACCATCGAAGGACGCGCTGCTGCCAAGGAGCTCCGACAAGTCCAGCCTAGGGCTCAAGTACAGCTGTGGATCTTCAAGCCACTTAGGGATGCCGCGTTTGAGAGCTGCTACGGGCTCAGAGTTCGATTCCCTACGGCGGTAGGCCAAAGGATGTTCTGTGAGAATGGAGGTGACCAAAACGAGCGTCGACGACGGCTGCATTGCTTTGAGTTGTCCTCCACCTTTCACTAGAAACGGATCCCTCAAAGGGAAATATGTTTCTTTCGCGGAGAGGTCAGACGCCTAGCAACAACTTCAGCTCCTGGGAACTCAAGCATTGAACCGGCGCTTAGGACGCCAAAGCAGTGTTTTAAAGCAGGGGCGGATTTTCCAAAGGAATCTCAAACTCTCAATCAACCAACCGGTTGTGGGCTTCAAAGGTGTGGCTCCATTCCAGCCGACCTTGACGAGACATGAGGCGCCCGAAGGCCTCACAATGTTTCGCCACGTGCACTTTGGCCAAGCTGCGTGATGGCCAGCACCATGTTCCCCACAGTGGAAGTGGAAATCGGGACGTTGATGAGGTTCTCGTTCGCCTGCCAGGTTGCTTCCCTCTGATTTGGAGGTTGGGGTGGTTTCCCGTTTGTCCCCTACAGTTCTACTACAAGAACCAGAGGTTCAAATCCCCAAGCCACCAAACCCCCAACGGCTTGCCTGAAACTGCCCGCAACAAACGAGCTGGGTGAATTCCTCTCAAGTTGTCAAGGGGTGGGTTTTCGGTGGCTTCGTGGGTTAAGAGGAAAGTGTAGGGTCAGGCTGAGGACATTGGGGTGGATGGTTGGATTGGGGGCTGTTTGGATTGGTTGAGGGCGGATTAAGACATTGGTCTTGGGCCGGTGTTGGGTCAGCTTCGGGAGGGTAAAGAAAACGGGATTGGTTTAGGGGTGTGTTCCAGGGATGGGTTTAGCGGTGCGGTTGATCCAAAAAAACTTGGTTGCCGAGCTTCCGTTAAACGAACTATTGAATCCTATAGCTAGCTGGCCAAATGTGAGCAATAAAAGCCGCGCAAATGGGTAGACGTAGCAAGAAAACATTATACAGCTCAACAGAATCGGCACGCAGAACATACAACATACCCACCTACAGTCACGTGCGGCCGGGGCCGGCTTTTCTGCGGTTCAAGGATCGGGCTTTGAACTTTGCCCAATGGCAAGGCGCGATGCAGCGAGTTGCCGTACTCAATTTTGAGATGTTACACTTTCGTCGTCCCAGCTCGCAAAAACAAACCTTTTAAGCATGAGAGTAAGCAAAAAACATCGCAACTTGCAGTATATGCAAAGTGTTGCATCTCCGGCGCTTGACAATCGCAACTCCGTGTAGCGCTGTAGATGATGCGCACAGCACAGTCCAGCGCTGGGCCTGCTACACAGCCTTCGAGCTCGGTTAGTCAGTTACATGCACACGTACACACACACACACACACGCAAAAAAGAGAGTTTATCATTTACGCACACAAAGCCACAGCGTCACTCGCGCTTCAAGCAGTTAACAAGGCATTTGCGTGGCTCTGGACCGGCAGTCCGCTAGAGATAAAATCAGCGCTCAGCTTGTGCAGCAGCCAGTTTGTCCGCAGGTCTGTGTGTTTTGGGCTTGTCACTTGCTCGAAGCTGTGGCGGGCTTGCTAGACGTGGGCAAGCGACTTGGCGGAGCACAGTCTCAGTGGGAGGCAGTCCTCGGCAGTGTGACGGCTTAGACCACCCAGCAAGGGCAGCCAGGGGGGGGGGATTGACGCAGCTGTTGACCGGATCTGTATACATCTTTTGTGCTGTTGTGTGTTTGGAAACTTCCGCCTCCAGCTTCGCTGGTTCCAGCAAGGTTTTGGCTTAGGGGGGTAAAGGGAGTGCTTTAGGGTAGTTTGGTTTTGTTTTTGCTTGTGAGTTTGGGGTGGGCGAGTGGCGACGCACAAAAGCCACTGCAAGCCACGAAAGGCCACGAATGCATAACCAAAAACTCTTTGAACATCGCCTTCCAAGTTGATGGCCTGAGTGGCATGCTGGGGTCCCAATTGGGGATCCTCCGAAACATCAGCTTTGCCGACCCGCCTCATCCCCACCCAAGTCGTAGATGTGTGCCAGCCTCAGCGGCATCTCAGCTGGAGTATGGATGCCTGATGTGATGTGTCCAAAGCAGGGCCCCTCCTCTTCCGGGCAAACCTACCCCTCCCCCCCCAAAAAAAAAGGGGAAAAAAGGAGGCGGCCGTTACGCGTCCAACGGCCAAAATCCCTGGCCCAACTTGTGCAGGGCCCTCAGCTGCGGGCACCTTGGAGGAGGACCCGTCCGTGGCGTAGCGGGCAAACTTGTAGTCCTGGATTGGGATTCTAATTTTTGCAGAAGGGCCACGGATTCCCATGGGATTCCTGGATCGAACTGTTGCTTCCGGCACAGCTTGAAGGGGACATGCGACGTGGCAACTGCCCGCGATGGCACCGGCCCAGTCTGGGCCTGGGCCTAGCTAAGCCACCGGCCAGCGCCACAGTGGGCTTGGGCTGATCCTGGCAATCAGAAAATCAGAAATGAACAAATCAAAATTCGAAGGAAAGGGAACAAACCAAAGTTTGAACTGCCGCTCCACGAGCCACATGATTACGATGTTTGAAATCCTTCGCCAGCCTTCTCGTCCTTGGTGGGGTTTATGAAGCGGTCGACGATGGACGTCTTCCCTGACCTGAGGGCAAAATGCCACAACCGCCGAGTCGAAGCCAAAAACCTCACGGTCGCCATCACAAACCAGCAGCATCACTTTCAGACTCTGTCGCATTTGGTGGGCCGACATAGAAATTCTGAAGGAAACAGCCCTAGGTTGGCCGACTGCAAGTGGGGCAGGCACAGGCAAACTTGCAGCCCAGCGTCTTCTTCGGCCCACAGAAAAGGATGGTTACATCCTCAGTCGGCTGCAGAACAATAGCTTCGAGGTGAATGGAAGCTTGGGGCTTGGCTTCTGCTTGTTGCAATCAAAGCAACAAACAACCATGCTGCTATCTGGCACGAGCTGGCATTCAGGACCGTATCTGCAACTGGCTTGGTCAACAATAAGATTGGCCAGCAAAATGCGCAGTGGATGATCCTCTGTGCAAACAACTGACGTCCTCAATTTGTCCCTTCAATTTGCGCTTTAGAGGGGGGGAAACTTGGAGAAACCCTCAAAAGGTTCACTTTCATGGGCCAAAGGAACACCATGTTCCCCACTGGAATCTGCTGGCGCCGAGCGTGTGCCCTGAGGCGGCCCGCGTTTGCAAACTCCTCGCCGGCACTTCTTTGTGCAAACTCCTTTCGGCGGTGCGCGGGAAGCATCCATACGGGGAGAGTACCCTCTTCGTTCTTAAAGGAAGCCCTGGAGCGCGTCGCCCCGAAGGAACACGTAAATTAAGACAGCCTTGACGACATTAATAAGCGCGTTGGAAGCAAATTCAAATCAACATGCAGCAAGCGAACGTATGAGGCTCTTGCAAAGAACCCTTACAATCAGGTCATCCCATTTCCCACCCAAACACAGCACGATTTAGGAAAAGCATTCGAATGACATGAGAGGCTCCATAAACGGCCCACCTGGCCATCAGGATAGTGATTGTTCTCGTGAAGAAAAAACCGGAAGAGGGTACCCGAGCCTCAACGCCAAGCCCTCTTACAGGCTTCCCCGGTTTCCCGCTGGTTTCCCTAGCCAGCCAAAGTGTAAACGACCTCGGGCCATCCCTTCCTCTGTCAGCTTTGAGAGGATTGCGCCCGAGAAGTCCTCGGCCTCCTAGCAGTTCGAGTAATTACTCACCGCACTCACCGAGGCCACTGGAGGGCCATTCCGGGTTTTGCTGCAAGTTTGCCGTATTGTATGCCCACCCCCGCTGCGTCCTTCTTCTTTGGCCTGGACATGGCACCTGAGATTGCAGAAATTCGGCCGGCGGGGCATCTCACGCAGGGCTTCTGGATGCTTCTGGTTGCACCCTGTCATATTCCTCAGCCCCATCCCAGGTCTTGCTGCCTGTCTTAAATGTTGAGAAGAAAACATGATCTGCCCTTGGCCGAAAGGCAGACACGAGTGCTGCAGATTAACCGTGTTTGCCTCAAAAGGACAGTAGGTTTTGTAATTTGGCTTGCGACTGACTGGCATGAAACTCTGCACACCCCGACGCGCGCAGAATCTCGCAACTTATCGGGCCTGCCTCGGAGATGTGGCGGGCTTCGCCTACAACCCCTTGGAGCCAGAATGCGTCGACACCCCGACTGGCCAGGGAATTGCAGGACTGCAAGAACCTCGCTTGATCTTTAGCTAGTCTCTCGTACTTAGGACCGAAAGCATTGGCAGCTCTTGGACTACCCTCATTCTGACCACAACAGTGTTGCAGGGCAAACCATCCACAGGCCACCGTCCCGCGAGCATGTCTCCGTGCTTTGAAGCGGTCAACCGAGCCATGGCTGCAGCCCGCGGGGTCTTCCCACATGGCCAGCTGCCCTATGCTTAACTCGCTTTCCAGGCGCAGGTGCCTCCTATCCAACTCCAATAGAACGATTCGCCCAAAGCCAGCAAAACTTGCAATTGGCTGGCAGGCATGTGCCAACGCGTCTCAATCTATCCTGGTTGGAGTGGCAAGGCAGCCAAATGAGGATCAGGGTACTCCTTGGAAGCTACCCCCAACCTCTGGGCCCAAACTTTCATCTGGCCAGACATGGCCAGACCGGACCAACGCACTGCCAAACAACGTGGCATGTAGCACTTCCAGCGCACACCTCAAAACCGAGTGTGCTCCTTAGCCCTCTCGGCTTGCCTCTTCGCAAACCTCAGAGGCGGCATGCCATTTGTAACTGGCTAAGCGGCTTGCTCTCCTAACCTCCTCATTCCCTGCCCCTTTTCATCACGCCCAGCCATCGCCAAAGGGCTCCATTTAACTTCAACACCTCATCCAGAAGTCCGAATGCAGAAGCCTCCCAAAAGGAGGAGTCTTTATTACGAGCTCCCCTGCCGCCGATCGCCCACACACCCCTCCGCCGAAATTCTCAGACAGATCATCTTTTGGCCGGGTGGGCCGGGCCTTGTTAAGCCACGGTTAAACGTTGTTTAAACCTCCGGGACGAGGGTTTGAGTGCTACAACCAATTTTGCCCAACCCGATTATCGGCGAGATGCTCCCTGAGCTTCCGGAAGGAGCCGATGGGAAAGGCCATCTCCCTCAGGTTTTGGTCCGGCTTCACGGCTAGGAAGTTGCTCAGCATCTCCATGAGCTCCTTGGCGAACCGTAGGTTTTCAGAAACCGTTTTGTGGGGTTTTAAGGAGCAAACCCAAGTTGTGTGAACAATCAAGGCTTTGTGAGTAGGGCGTCGTTCCCGCATCGTTTGGGAACCAGCAAGTCGCTGAGCGGCTCAGCGGGAAAAACAGAAAAAGGGGTGCTGCTGAATGGGGATCGGGATCGTTTTGTAAACACAGCCAACTTGAATGGCACCCCACGTTCACAGTCTCACAGACATAAGCTCGCCGTGTAGAGAGAGAGAGAGAAAAAAACGGCGAAGAAAGAGAGAAAAACAAAAAAAAGACAGGGAAAAACAAATACACCAGACCAGCATAGACCCCACATGTAGGAGATTTCAACAGCGCCCCAACTGCATCGCCAAACGGGCACCGCCAGCAACCACCGCGGCACTTTGAGCACACGAAGCAGCACCTTGGCCAGCACAAAAAAGACTGGCACTCACGACTGCACGCAAAGGCGCTGCCAGCACCCACCACAGCACCTTGAGCGCACTCCAATCAGCACCCTGACCAGCGCCTGCAACACCAACCTTGCCCGAACTTGCAAAACAGCTTGCCCGTTGAAAACATAATACTTTTCAGCTCTGTCTTTCTCTCTCAGCGTTGCCCAGCCATGTCTCGTGCCTACAATCGACCGGAGAAATGCTCCCAGGTCTTTGACCATGTCGAGCTTTAAACATCTTTTGCCGCTGCCTCCGCCGTGCAACTTGCATAAGGCATCCGTCACCAGCTATTTGAGGAAAGTGCGCCCGCACAGTCAGCAGAACTTAGCTGCGCACGTGGGCACTGACTCTCACATCCGGTCTGGCCGAGCGTGCGCACGCTGCTCTTTCAAAGCATCGGTGGTCAACACAACAAACACACGGCGCTCGCCGCAGCTCCCCAAATTGCGGCTTGAGGTCAGCAAAGGGCGGAAGGGATTTGGGTACAGGCAGCCATCTCAACCGCGCATAAAGCCGTGCCCTAGGCAAACACGTCAAAAACACTGCATGCATCATCCAGGCTTTTGCCCTGACAGCGCCTACGTAAGCCAGAGCAACGGCGAACGCGTTTTGCAGAAAATCTTTGCCGGCTGCTGATTGTCGCTTGCGTGTGAGGGCTACATAGAACGCATGCTACCATCTTGCCAGCGCACTGTTACTCCGGCCTGCCGGAACACGAGGTGTTCTTCTTGCTTTTTCAGAGAGCCCCAGAACACGAAATCCATGAGCAAAGGCGAAATCCATGAACAAAGGGTCAACATTCGCAAAGCGACCCTGTGTGCGTAAGGTTGTCCTTGCGCTTAGACCTGGCGCTTTGTTCCGCCATTCTCCTGCCATAAGCGAGCACACAAATATGGACACCAACTTAAACATCATACGCCGCCAGCACCGGAAGGCAGTAAAGTCGCGGAAAACCCAGCGAGGGTTGACGGTGAGAAGTGGCAAGCAAAGCCCCTGTATTCGCAAAACTTATCTGTTGCAAACGTTTTTTTTCTGTAGGTGGCAGGGACGTTTTGGCGCAACCGTGCAGGGTGGTTGTCCGCCTCGCCCCGCGCTTGTTCGGCCTCATTGCACAGCTTGGCGTGGAGCAAGACCGCCAAAAGGGGCGAGCATCGTTGAGGATCCGGGAAGCATAGCTGTGGAACCAAGCAATCAGCTCACAAGCAGATGTGTTGCGTTCCAGAACCGCGAGCTGGTTCCCCGCGCATGAAGCTGGTCGACACTGTGGGAGACGGGGAAGGAGTAAAGCTCGCCTTAGGTGAGACCTTGACCAAGGAGCGCTCAACAACATGGTTGATCGCAGGCTTCACCTTCTCAAGTCCCGAGGATAAACAAGCATGTCCGAACGGGTTCCAGCATGGACACTTGAGGATTTGCAGTTCAGGCGCGCCATTGACCGCTGCGGGAAGATGTGTGCAAGCGGTTGTCCTGGGCTGCCTCTGTCTCGCCCCCGATGAAGATCTGACGGCGCAAGCCCGAGGGCTCCAGCTCGCGCAAAGCCAGCCAGCACTGCCATGCACCTTGTGAAACCTGCACCCCTCACCAACCTCATGACCACCATTAGTCAACAGCGCTATAGGACGCGAAAGCTCTGAAATCGAGAAAAAGCGCTGCATGGTACTCGGGGCACTTGGCGCTGAAGCCCTGCTTGTTTCTGATGAAAGAGTACGTCACGGTGGCCTGCTGCGCCATCTTCCACGACGAAGTTGGGGCCAGAGGTTGTGCCCCCCGCCGCATAGTGGGTCCCACGTTCGGCACTTCGGTTTCTGTCACATTGACCATGGTTGCCCCAGGCTGAAAATTCAGCCATTCTTGCACTTGGCGTTGTCAGAGGTGACCAGCGACCCAGCTTTTTGCAGTTGTCATCGTTGCGGCCAGCCCACGCCTCGCGCGCGGCAGCAGTGTCCAGCACTCTCTGCCGTCTTCCAGACGGTTGTGAAAGGCCAGAAGCGCAGAGGCGGACACAAAAGGCCCCGTCCATGTTTGGCATCTCGGACGGCCGCGCTTTGGCGGCATCCTGTTTTTAAAAGGAATGTCCATGCATTGTTGAGGAGCGCTGGTGAAAGAAAGAAAAACACAGAAAAAGAAAGAAAAAGAAAGAACCGATAAACGTCAAAAGGAGAAAAGAAACAGAAAAAGAGGAAATAGAGCAAAAAGAAAAACGGGAAAAAAGAGAAGAAGAGGGAACCGGAGAGAGAAAGAAAAAGAGGAAAAAGAAAGAGATTAAAGAGAGACAGAGGAAGAGATAGACTAATAGAGAAAGAGTGAAAGGGAGAGGGAGAGAGAAAGAGAGAAAGAGAGAAAGACAGAAAGAGAGAAAAAGAACATGTTGCGCATCCTGCCGCACTTATATGCGGCAGTGCGCAAGCAGCCCTCGCCCCGCTCTGCGTAGTCATGCAGTATGCTGCTCTGGGCCAAGCGTCGTGCGCATCCAAGTTCTGGATGTAAGTGTCAGAAATCGGCCAAACGCGCAAAAGCTCCTGCTGCTTCTTGAACGGCACCTAGCACAAGGCTTGAACTTGAATTCAATCGGCCGATGAACGACAAGAACGGCGCAGCGTGAGCGCCTCTGTTTACCGTTCACGCACCTTACCATGCTCCAACTCACAAGGGGGCTGCAAGTGCTTTCTTAGCTGGGCCCTTCACAACGACCACCAAACCCTTGCCAGTCACCAGAATTTCTGGATTCCAGCAAGTGGTGGCTTTTGTCAATCAACCAATGGGCCATGGCCTGTCCGCCAACTAAGCGCCGGGCGTTCCATGCCAGAGTGAAGGGCGCGCTCAAATGCACCAGCGGCGTGCCAGCTGCCAGCACCTTCGTCATCTTGAGTACCTCAAAGATGTCCTTGGTGGCGTTCTGGGACAAAGGCAGGCTGTGTTGACTGCACCGGCAGTAAAGGGGCAAAACGTCCATGCAAGTTGAATCAAGCAAAAGTGCAGAACGGTGCAACCAGGTTCTAGGCTTATGCTTTGCCACCATCTCAAATCACAAGTCAACCTGCCGGTTTGTGTCCACCACTGAACCCGTATACGCAACGTGCAATGGCCTTCACAACACTTGGAAAATAGCTAAAATTCTGAGAGCGACTCACAGGTGACGCAGCAAAAGCAAATAGCACAAACTCCTGTATTGAGGGAAGGCCATGGCTGCCTTGGAAAGGATCCTTGTCTTAGTTGTTGTTGGCTCATGCAACGAAGGGTTGACAGTCAGTCATACCCAGCACCGCAGCAACCAGGCGGCAAACATCACGCGCGCACACACACACACACACATACATACACCAGCCAGGGCCGAGCGTCTGTGAGGGCTTCTTTGTCTTCACCCCTGGGCGCAAGCTTGAAAGCAACTAGTTCTGGATGGCATTTGAGCAAATCCTGGATCTATGGTTGAGTCGCCCGCCGAGCGTGGCTGACTGACAGCCATGTTGTGAATTAGTGTGGGACGCGTTGCATCATTTGCTCTTGCACACGACGGAGGTGGCGCAGCCGCCCTACTTATGCCAAACCAATTGAACAGCAATCCGGAGGACAAGCAAGCGACTTCCCAGCTTTGGTTGGTCCGCCGCGGCCATCAACGATCAAGCCCCTGCTTCCCGCTGATTCGGCCAATTGGCAAGAAGCTTCTGAGCACCTGCTCGTCCGGCTGCCGCGCCAGCAACATCCGAAGCACCTGCGATCTGTGGAACATTTCGAGGGGGCAAGGGAAAAGGGATTCGAAACTCCGGCCTATTTTGCCGCGCCTCTCGCACCTCGCCGCGCGACAGCAGGCCGTCGCCGTCCCAATCCGCGGTGTCAAAAGCGGCCTTGCGCCCGGGAAGCTTCCACCGGCGCTTGCTTTGGCCCCTAAGGCCGCTGGTCTGTTAGCCTTGAACCATGTTGCCAAAATCGATGTTCCACAAAATACCCCGGGAACTGTTTTAAAATGTGTTCCCAGTGGGCGTAGCCGTGCCCGGCCTGGATGTCTGACAGCTCTGTCATGTTGACGCTCTGAGCCTTTGCGGCCTGCAAGCTGGCCCACGGCTGAAAATTGCCATGAATCCCCACCTCCAACACCTTCCCGCCTGCAGGACACGCTCACCCTTGATCGAGGCAAGCCGCTCCCAAACCCGCTGGTAGACGATGCTGAAGCCATTGAAGTCCACACGGCCTGCCCGTCCGCGGGCAAAGCAACAGCTATTTTTGCAGCCGATGGCGTCACCATCGGAAATGGTGGCTGCCGTTTGGTCTGTGTGAACATCATAAAATAATCGTAGAGTTTGCCTGCTTCAGGGACCCGAAATTCTTGGGCAAGGTCTCCCTGTGCTGGCTACCATCTGAAGCCATGGCATCAGTTCTGGCCTGGATCGTCGGCCATCAGAAACATCCGCTGCCTGGCTGACGTGGCAAACTCAAGCTGGTTTTGGGACGCATGGCAGCCACCCTTTCGCAGCAACCCAACCGGCCCAAACCACCACCACGCACCGTGGCCGGGAGGGTTCCGGGGACACACGACGCAGCGCCTGGTCCTCCTCGGGCTCATGCTGGGACTCGGCGGGCTCTTCACAAGCGACTCCCGGGCGGCGGGCGAGTCGTCGCCTGGCGTGTGATCTGACTCAAGCCATACAACCCCTGTTCTTTTGGGGCATCACAACTGCTCAGGCCAGCCAAAACGCCAACCCCACGCAGCCTTGGGGGACGGTTCGAAGCACCGAGCTAAGGTCGAACTCCTGGCGAGTGGCAGCCGAGCTTTGCAGGGGTGCTGATCGATCCATTTCTCAATTTCAAGGCAAGCCAAAGTTCCGAAGGGGTGATGGACTGGCTGTTGACATATTCAGACAAATGATTGGCCAAATCCTGACTCCTTACTTGGGGCATGGGCATGGCCGATACTGACAAAGGTGCTCTTGCAAACAACGGCCAGACTTCCCTTGCAACACGCCGTTGAAGCAAGTCACGCCAGCAACTCGGCTGAGCTTTGACCATCCATGATGCTAAGGAAGTGTGCTCGAGATCCAGAGCGGTGTGGGATGAGGACGTTGGGATGAGGACGTTGGGAAGATCTTGAAACTTTCATAAACTGGGAAAGAGCTGATGTTTGGCCTTGGCTTTGTAGTGCCTCTTAGCCTTTCATTGTTGCTTCGCCTTCGAAAACAGAGGCCTGCAAAACATATTGGGCCACTCAAACGACAACAGCTGCGAAGGTAACGAACCAATTTGGAAAGCAGTGCAAATGCTGTTTAGAGGCGCTCAAGCAGAAAGACACGTCGCGAAGCAAGGAGCGCTACGACGAATACTTCGTCTGCAGGAGCAACTCTGGGTGACACAACATTGTAAAGCCTTAGGTTTTACCGAAGAGGATGAAACTCTGGGTCGGTGCTGGGATGCACGAGCATGTCGTTTATCCTTTACTACTGGCCAAGAGAAGCTGGCCAGGGAAGCGAGGGGTTTGGAAGATGTGCCACTCCTGCAGCCTGCAAACGGTTGGCGCCAGCGCCACCGCTGGAAGAAAAAAAAAACTCCAAATGCGTGTCATAGTCGGGGCGCTTTTAAGCGTTTGGCAAGCCCATCCGAAGCCCAGCGCACTGGAAAATATGTTTTCTTTGGCACCAGCGGAAACCGAGCATCATCAAGACGGTGTTTTATCCCGTGACTCCTTCAAAACTGTCAGAAGGACTGACACCATAATTGCGCGCTATCCTACATGGCCAGCCCCTCCTCATCCAAAAGCTTCTGTGCCATTGCATACTCGCCCCGCGTGCGTAGTAGGCCCTCCTCCAGAGGATGCTGGGCTGGACTGAACACACGGCCAGAAGCGTCCGACTGCAGCTTTCTGATAGCTTTGACGTTTCCCTGAGATATTGATTAGACGGTAAACATGAGCGAGCACACCTGCCTGAGCAAGCGCTGCCACAATCTGGTCATATCCCAGGCACTCGTTCCTCGTGATGCAGGATGGCAGCACAAAGCGTCGTTGCGCCCAAGCATTTCTGTTTGTCCCCCCCCCTATTGCCAAAGCACCCATCCAGGTCCAAGTCGAAAAAGAAGTTTTGAAGATCAGACTTCCGGCGTTTGGACCTCAGGCTTGGCTACTCACATCTGCATAGCAGATAGCAAACTCTGATGATGGAGATTGACATGAGCAGCGATTGAGATTCCCTTTGTTTTCGCACGTGGCGATACTATATGGACAGCTCCCTAGTTGGAGCGTTAAGCAGTCCCACCTGCTAGCATTGCGCCGCCAGAAGCGGCGGTGCAAGTTGACGCAACAAGGCAAAACCCGATCCTTGAAACCAAAACCCATTCACCGTGCTGGGCAAATGTTGGGGTTCCCGTGACGCATACCGTACACTAATTCTGAGCCCGGGTGGCATGAGCTTGCGACAGTGGCCCAGCAGCTCAAGGAACTCCACCAGCTCAATCTCATCGTCATGGTTCTGGTCCACTTGTTTGAGGAACTCCTCTACCCTCGCTCGGTCGACCGGTGGAATCCGGTGGGCTCAACAGGATTTCCTCGCTTACTGAACAGCTTGGGGGGGTTGATGAATGCGTGGTCTCACTTCGGAAAATTCATGGCCTACCATGTCCTTACAGAACTCCCGGTGGCTCCTCAGCTCCCCATGCAAAAGCAATCTTGGATACCCCCAGCTTGGCTCCCTTCCAACCACTAGCTGTTAAACAGTTCAAAGGCTTAAGTCAAAAGTTGCAGAGGTTGATCCGAGCGGCTGTGGCGCTGTCCTGCGCTCGTACGGCTCCAAGCCTGATAGGTATCAGTAAACCGCAGTCATCGAGCTCCAAGGCTGGCAGGCCCAACTGCAGGTGCATTTTTATGTCAATTTGGTTGAATGTGATAAGTGCTGCACGAGCAGCCCATGTACTTCAGCAGTCGCCGGACATCAAACATTTCCAGAAACCCCGAGTGCTCTTCGTCGTGGGCATTGAACATGTCGTAGATCCACAGGAGCTCCGGCCTGCAGATCGATCGGGCCAGGTTCCAGTTATTTTCGGCTCCTGGACGTACCTGGGTTGTTCAAAATGAGCTGAGGCACCCTGATCTTCCACATCCACAATCCGCTTCCAGGACAACAAACAACAAGGGAAACCATGATCATCTTGCGGAATTATTGCGCACTTGTGGACAACCCAGGATACAAAGCTCCAAGCTGCAATCTTTGAAGCCTGTCACTGAATCCTATCTTTTCATACTGGTTCATGCTAGGGATGCGAAGACCCTAGTAGCTGCCCGGAATGCAATTCGCACAGTGGTTGTCCAACACCGCACAGTTGGTTTCCCTTTTTGAAACCCACAACGGCCTGTACTGGCGAAAGAGCTTGTCATTGACCTTGGCACTCTTCGCAACAGCCTCAGCTCACCAGGGCCCACATCTCAAAGGCTGAAGGCATGAGTGGATCTGACATGCCACGCATCCTTCAACGAATTCTAAAAAAATAGCGCCAAAGGTTCGGGCGCAAGCTCTAGATCAACCCTGACCGAAAATACGGGACCGACTTTTGGGAGCTCAGCGCCCAGGGTCTTGATGATAGCTTCTTCGGGGATGCTGCAAAGGAAAACCACGCTTATTTTTGTGGCTAGGCGGCCCATTCTCTTGCGCTGGCAGCTCGGGCAGAGCGCTCTTCGAGCTGCAGCAGCCGCACGTGAACCTCGAGAACCCTTCCCAATTCTCCTTGGCCCCCTTGTTGGGGCATCGGGGGCATAGGAGCAGCTGATGGTTCAAGATCGGGATCATGTCTCTGGTTAACATGCCCACCCTGCTGGCGTACGCAACTAAGGCGGGGGCCATTTCCAAATCCAAGGTCGCGTCTGGCCTTGGCTGAATGATAGTCCCCTGCAGCCTGTCAGGCTCAGCCCAGCTCATGGAACCCTGCCATCATCTTCTAAATACCTCTCTAAGCATTCTCGGCCTCTTACCATCTTCTTGGCCTGACTGGCTGCAGCCAAACGGCCCCACCTTCTGCTTGTCTCGCTTGATGAGAGGTGGCAAGGGTCCTTCAAATAAAAAACAATGCAGGCCCCTCATGGAATGCCATGTCAACAGGCTTTGCTCGGATATGCACACCACCACTTGACCAACAAAAAACCTTTACTTTATTGGCGGCATGCCTCCTGCCAATTCAATACTTCCCCCGACTTTGGACAACTTACGTGCTGACTGCGCATGGCTTCCGCGCAATACGCAGTTTCATCGCATGCCCTAGCAAATGCCCCCCCAAGGAGAACATAAAGCAATGGGGGTGATTTGGTTTTGTCTTGCAACAGTGGATTCCCATTTCGCTGTTCAAGCTCCACGTTTTTGGGGTGGTTTGCGGGTTTGCTTTTGCCGCCGGGAACTCTGCCACCCGCCTTTGGCTTTGTCGAGGCCCAGTTCGGACACCAGCTTCTCGAACCTCTCAAAGGAGATTCCACTGGGACTTCTGGATGCTTCCATCTCCTCGGCGCCACTTGTTTCCACAACCCGAGGCCGTCACCAGAAACCCGAATGGAAAACCAAAAGCCAACCCACCGGCCAATGGGAGGACGTGGGCAGCACACCGAGGGAGGCGGGCGAGGCGGCTGTCAGGCCAAGGCTCCTTGACAAAAAGCCGGAAATGGGGCTCCGTCCTGTCGCCGATCCACGCATGGCCCCTGCCCGGGGGGCAAAGGGGGCAAGCTCCGATTTGTCGATTCGGGGTGCTTCTGCGGGCTCGCTACAAGATGGCCACCTGAATTCGAAGAGGCGTTTTGTTGGTTTACATGTCTTACCAAGTGGTCACTACAGAATGGTGCAACTTGATGTAACTTGAAGCTAGGGATCTATGGCATTCGGGCAGCCATCAAATCCAAACGTCTTTTTTTTGGGTGCGTTGGCTCTGAGCCCTACCAATGTTCCAGAAGGCATGGACACCCGTGGTGTAGGGCAAAGGCATTCAAATAGCTTCAACGGGGCTCTCTACAAGGCTCTGAACATCACCCCATGTACTTACCTTCAGCCTTCTGTTGCTCGTCTCTCACAGCCGCAGGAACTGCCTACAAAATGACAGTACCCTGACCTCACCCAGTGACTCTGAAAACCACGTGTTGTACAGCGTTGCTGCATTCAGGTATAGCAGGATTTTACCGAACATGAATCCGTCGTCCTAGTCCGCCTACTTGGATGTTCGGCCAAACTGGTAAGATGGTTAGCCAGCCAGGTTGTAAACCCAGGCTACTGACAACTTGCTAACTTGGCCGAACACTCAAGTAGTCGATTCATCAAGTACTTCAAGAGCATGCAAGGCACCTGCAACACATGAAATAATGCAAACAAATATACTGATACAAACAACGTACAACACAGCATAGCCTAAATAGCTTCAATCAAGCTCAACATGGCGCTGTGAGAAACCAAAAGACATGTCGCTTCTACAAAATGATGGAAAATGCTGCACATATTGCATGGTGATTTATAGGGCCAACACACGTGTCTGGGTGTTCAACAACTTGGGGTGCCGCGACCTGAGGCCTGACCCCCCCAGTCACTATCCATCTAAATAGTGAAGAATGTATAATTGGAAATGATCTATAGCAAGGTTGCACCGGGGTGATAGTCCCACGGCAACAAAACAAACACCACAAATGAAATTCCAGGGTCGCCCGGTCGCCCCAAAGGCTCGCCGGCCCGCACTCCTCTGCTCGAAGAGCTCCCAACGCGCCGCGGGGATCACCTGTGTCACATGTCCCATGCCGCATGCCCCCATTCCCAGCGACGTTGGTAGAAAAGGGCCCCGCAAGTTTGGTCGAAGGGAACCGTTTGAGGCTGGCAATGGAAGAGGATGCAAACCGCTGTTCAAACATCTGCCAGTCCGGCCGCGCCTCGGACCCGAAGGCCTCCAGCGGGATGCCCGTGGGATGGACCGTGGCCTGCTGCAGCAGCGCGGCCAGCTCCTCGCGTCTGTGGCTACCAGGTCTACGGGCATCCCACGGGGTCTGGGCTGTTCCAAATGGGGGTGCCGAATACGTAATCCGTAGTGGCAAAAGGATGAAGGCTCGATTTCGATCGACCCAGGCAGAGCCGGCAACCAACTTGGGGCTTGCAACTCATAGCGGTGTTGAGCGCGCCGATCAACAAAGCTCCCGCAAATTCCAAAAGGTTGGTGAAGGGCACCTTCAGCACGCACCTCACTCACCTGCTTGAGGTATTTCGGTCTCCTCATGTCGTTGGTTCTGCATCCCTTTAGATCATGACGGCCTGACCCAGACATCGCCATGAGATGGTGGCCCCCAAATGGGGCCTGCCCCGTCCTTGGCAAGGGACTTCTCCTCTTTCGTCGTTGAAGTCCTGGCTGCGTGCGAACATTGGCCTTTGCCGCAAAGCAGAGAGGAGGGGTGTCTGTTCAATCTGCCCGTGAGAACTTCAATCTCTAACCAAAAAGGTGAGACAAATCTACCCCCATGACAACCCTGGCGAGTCAGTGCTGCGCCTCTGCTGGCTCAAGGAGGATCGAATGCTGCTCGCGCGACGTTTGGAGGCACTCCGAGCCTTGGAGCGCTATGGGTTGAGGAGATTTGGTCTGAAAAGAAAATCGAAAAGCGGACTGCGTGGCCGCTGCAGAAGTCCCGCCCCCTCCCACGCCTCCCACTGCTAGACAAGCGGCCGGAAGCTTGTCCCTTGCCGTCTCCGCCTTTGACCGTGCCGCCTGCACAGCCACGGGGGCATTCCTCAGTCGCGAAAAGGAGCCAAGGCACCCTCGCTGGCGACACAAAGATGTCACGGCGTCAGGCTTCGAGAGGTGCCCCCCATGAAACTACAAAGATCGTCCAGTCCGAGACTTGCTCCGCCACCATGGCTATCAGGCCAAAATTGATGGGGCTTCAGGGCACAAAACTGATATCATTTTTGTCAGCTGTTTCTCCATCTCGCACTTTGCAATTCCACGTGAAAGATGAAGCTACAAATGCAATGATTTCTCCCTTCAACGAAAGGCTTCAACTGCACCTTTCGCGATGGGACGAGGGTCTGGTGGGGGGCACGCCACCAGATCTGCGGGGAGCCCTTCGGGGCAGCGCCCCAGGCGCCGTGGATACCCTGCTCCTCCACACCTCAGACCAAAGAATTCGCCGCGGCTGAAGTGCCAAGGTGGATCGATTCGGGCCTAGTTGACTGCATGAAAGTTAGCCCCTCTGCCTCGCCGTGTTTTCTCCACCCCGAGGCGCAGGTCACCTGACAAATACATGAAGGTACTAACTGGCTTGAATCATTGAGCAACTGAGAAGGATGGCACATGATGGCACTACTGGGGCAACGATCGGAAATCGGCACAGAGATCCAGTCGCTTTGTCTAGTTGATGAAAATGCCCCAAAGCGAGATTGCGATGGGCCAAAGGCTCAAGTGATGGTCCAAAAAGTCCAAAAAACACACCACTGGCTCACAAGAATGCAACCCTTTGATAATCGTCAAGCTTGTATAGAACACACCCCTAAGAATCCTCTAGGTTGATTAATCCGGGATCGACATCAGCGGAAGCGTTTCGGCCAAAGCTCTGATGAGATCCTTGATGATCGAGGACACGGCCTTCTCCACGTAGGTGCGCTCAATCATGGAACGGCCTGCGTTTGTCAGCGGGTAGTGGCTTCCCTTTCATACACCCTGAAAAAGATTGCGCAAATGCCTTCACCCTTTGATGATGTTTGGCCAAAGCATGGCCAGAAGCTCCAAAATTGGGACATGTGCCATGAAGTTCCGCAAAGCCACCCGGCAGCACCCGGCCACGCCTCGCAGGCCGAGGTCCCGCAGCGCGTCCAGGCAGCTGGACACCGTGATGGTCATGTACTCCTCGTGACCCGAAAAATTGGACTGGTGGGTTCTGAGGGCCCAAGGGAAAATTGAAAAGCACAAAGGTTTTCCGTCCCCTTTCAGTCAGGGGAAGCCTTCTGATTGGTTGATTCAATTTTTAGTGAGGAACGCAGGGGAAAGATTTAGAGGGTGCCACTGAACCAGTGCATTGGGAAATGGGGTCTGAAATTCGCCACACGCTTCTAAGCTTCTAAGCTTCTAAGCCTCTAAGCCCCTTCAAGCACACAAGCCTCTAAGCCTCCTAAGCCTTCTATGCCTCTAGCCTCTAAGTCTTCAGCCGCCCACGCCCCTAAGCCTCTAAGTCTCCAAGCCTGTCAGCTTCTAAGCCTTTCAGCCGCTGAGCCTGCACGCCCCAAAGCCTTTAAACCTCTAGGTCCGTAAGCCTGCGCGCTCCTAAGCCTCTAAGCCTCCAAGCCTCTAAGCCTTCCAGTCGCCACGCCCCTACGCCTCTAAGCCTCTAAGTCTCCAAGCCTGTCAGCTTCTAAGCCTTTCAGCCGCTGAGCCTGCACGCCCCAAAGCCTTTAAACCTCTAGGTCCGTAAGCCTGCACGCTCCTAAGCCTCTAAGCCTCTAAGCCTCTAAGCCTCTAAGTCTTCCAGCCGCCACGCCCCTAAGCCTCTAAGTCTCCAAGCCTGACAGCTTCTAAGCCTTTCAGCCGCTGAGCCTGCACGCCCCAAAGCCTTTAAACCTCTAGGTCCGTAAGCCTGCACGCTCCTAAGCCTCTACGCCTCTAAGCCTCTAAGCCTCTAAGTCTTCCAGCCGCCACGCCCCTAAGCCTCTAAGTCTCCAAGCCTGTCAGCTTCTAAGCCTTTCAGCCGCTGAGCCTGCACGCCCCAAAGCCTTTAAACCTCTAGGTCCGTAAGCCTGCACGCTCCTAAGCCTCTAAGCCTCTAAGCCTTGTAGCCTCCACGCTGCTTGGAGGCTTAGACGCTTAGAGGCTTCGTAGAGGCCCAAATCGCAAGCCTCCTCACCTTTAAAGCCTCCACGCTTCCACGCCTCTCAGCCTCTAAGCAGGCGCTGGGAGCAGAGGCTTATAAGCTTAGGCGCTTAGAGGCTTAGAGGCTTGCGCGGCTGTTGATTAGAAGTAACAGGCTTGGGCGCTTAGAGGCTTAGAGGCTTAGAGGCTGGTGTTGAAATAGGCAGACCCCTTCTCCCAATACAATGCACTCAACAACCGGGTACTCTCTCTCTCTCTCTCTCTCTCTCGCACACCCTCTCTCTCTTTCTATTTCTCTCTGCCTATCAGGCCTTTGCATCTATCCAGCTGGTATCTTAAGGGTGCAACCCGCGTCCTTGTCGCAGTGCAGCTTGAAGACCTGTGAGGCCACAAGCGTGGAGGAGCAAGGGAGGGAGGGAGTGGGGCAAGGGGAGGGGAGGGGGGGGGGGAGGGAAAGAATGGGAGAATGAGAGAAAAAAGACTTAGAGAGAAGGAGAGAGAGAGAAAGAGAAAGAGAGTGAGAGAGAGAGACAAAGAGAGAGAGAGAGAGAGAGAGCTTGCAGGGGAAAGATGCTGACCAAACAGTGCTGCAGAGAAGAATGGCGAGAATTTGCTTGAAAGCATATTGAAGCGAGCACGCAGTTCGCCATGGAAGCAACCATAGCCCTACAGTCTGAGTCCAAAGGACCTGAGCTTGAAGCTGCCAAACTCCAAAATAATACACACTTCGGCCATAGTTTCCAAACCTAGAAAACTTCCTTTGAAAGGAGGGCCTCTAGGCCCCAACGCACATGTCCAAACATATGTGGCTGGATGGCTTAAGAAGGCGCATCATGGAGCAAGGTGTTGGTTTGCCCGGCAAGAGAGAAAGCGAGTTGCAACCCTCGTCAAACCAATAGAGTTGCTTCATCAAAACTGGCTTCTGCAACCTTCTTCGGCTTCCGGAAGGGAAGGGCCATGTGAAACAAGACTGGCTTGCACTGCCCCCAGAGGCATCGTCAAGTTGGTGGGGTTGAGTCTGCTTTGTTGGCACCGGGCAGGGGCTTGAACGCATCAAGAGGGGCCCGTCCATCTCCGCCAAAAGACGCAATTCCAGCCCAGTAAAATCTTGTCAAACTCCACGTTGCTCAAGGCTGCCGGATCTACAACTCCTGGTTGTAACCCCATGAGCTTCATTGGATGCAGAGCACAAGTGCTACTGAATGTAATTGTGCCTTCAAATCAAGAAAGAGCGCTCCAGAGCTGACAACTGTGCGCAAGGCTCAAACCTTTTCAACGCACCCTCCGTCCCCCATGTTGCCAGGGCACCGTCTCGATGGCAGCCCGCTCCTGTTTTGGCAATGCCTGCCAGCACGCCTCAGGCGCAATTGGCTCGCGCTCAATTGGAAAGCCGGTCCGAGAAACAAGCATTCAGTATCTGCCAAGTTCCCTTGAACAGTTTCTACTGCCTATCCGCCTCTAGAAGCCAGTGGGAGAACTTCCCAAGTCGCAACCGGGCCCAAACTGGCCGCCAATGGCTGGAAGGAGAAAACCGGATTGACAAACACCTGGCTGATTTCCTTCACCTTTTGGGGGAGGATCAATCCAGGATCAAGCAACAAAAAATCCAGGCCTCGCGGTACCTCCGTTTACGATGCATGCGGTCCACATACTTTTTCTTCTCCTTGGATGTACAAACTTGGCAAGGGCTTCAAGCTAGGCACACACAACTTGTGGCATCTGAACGGCATGGTCCCCGCCATCGGCCATCAGCCGTGGCTGCTGCAAGTGCACCCAGAAAGAAATTAGCGGGATGCGTGTGAGCCGCACGAATACCATTGATGGCAGCGTCCCTGATCCTCCTTGCAGGAGCCAGGGCTTGGAGCTGCATGTTTCAAGCCTTTGTGTTCCTTCGGAATCACAATTGGCACCTACTAAATGAATAGTAAGCACGTGCAAATCTGCCATGGCTTCAAGGCCACATGCCCACCTCTAAGGGGGTTGTGAGCTGGGCACTGGGCACGCCTCGAAACCTATCAGACCTGCCTTGCCAAGTCAACTCACCGACGACACCCCGCCATCAGCTTGCCGGAGATCCTTGCTTGGAGGCCCAGCGGACAGCCCAACGGCCCCGGTCCTCCTTAGCCTCTTCGACCGCTCTGAAATCACGTGCCCCTCGGACTCTGAAGAGGTGCCGAGGCCGCTGTCGGAATCCTCACGGAGGCCAAAGATTCAAGAGGGGCCCACCCCCACCCTTCCCCCCAGCCTGTGGGAGACTCGCTGCCTCACACACCCATCCCGCAAACAAAGGTTGTGGCAAGTTCTGGTAAGCAATGCACGGTAAGACTTGAAATGTCAGTGGTCGTGGTAGAAGTGGCGGCAAAAACAGCGTAGACATGGTAACAGCAACGCGCCAAGACCCAAATCTCAATGAGCAACAGCAGCAACCGCCGTGGCGATTGCAATGGCCACGAGTCGCACTAGAGCAACGGTAGAGTTGATGGGCCAAACAGCAGTACCTGCGACGGCATGCTTTTAGACCACGCACAATGTCAATAGCAGTGGCGCTAGCAAACGCAACTAAAGCCGGCCGTACTCAGTGAATCAGTGAACTGGGCAGCTGTTGACAAAATGTGGTTTGATGTGGATTCTCGCGGTCAGCCAAAGGAGGTTAGCCATGGCTTTTCTGCGGGAAACCCTTACAGGAAAGAAAGCCCAAAAGCATGCATGACACCAGGTACCTTCGAAAGGGCGTTTGTTATCCAATTTGCGGCTCAGAATTGTTTCATCGCCAGCAGCTCCAAAACATCCAACGACTGCCTCGAGCCCTGGCCAAAACCCCTCGGTTCGCTTCAGGCCTCGGCTCGGAACCCATTTCGCTCGGCTCGATGCCGCGCCTCGTGGGCCTCCTCCCGGGGATTGCCAGCCTTCTCCTCCCGCGGCGACACACTGCAGGAGGCGCGCCGGCACTCGGTTCGGCCAAGGGCAGGTCGAAGCGACCAAAAAACAAAAGGCGGCCAGGACCAAAACCCGAAGCTGCAGGAAGCCGTTGCTGATTTGGTGGTTTCGTTGTTTTTTTGGTTTGTGGTCTGTTTGCTGTTCTGGGGAGGTGCTGGGGACGGCAACCAACCTTGGACAAAACACATGGACAACCGTCCTCAAATCAAGCCTGCACAAAAGCTTGCACCAATCCTCACCCTGCGGGAGAGCCGACAACATCCCTTCCCGATAATGACATCACTCTGAAGCACGCCTCAAAGCCATTCTCAAGACCAGCAACCCAAACAACAGTCGAAACAATGGCCCATGCAATGGGCAACCTTTCAAGCTATGCAAACTTGAAACCTGCCGTGAGCCCACCCACAAAATCAAAAACTTGGCAGCCGAAGCCTGTCCCACACCATGCCCGAAGCCAATTGTCCTACGCACAGAGTCGGGATTGCCGGAAACCCTTTTGTTTCAGCTGCAATGAAAGTGTGACAGTTGCGGGCATCAGTGATATCACTGCACCGCAGGAGTCGTCACCTTTTGCATGTGGTGGTAAAAAGGGAATTAAAGGATGTGGAAGGCATGAAAAGGTATGAAATGGTTATAGAGTTTTAAAAGGGCAACAAGGCAGCTTGCGTGTGTTTTCGGAAACCAAAAGGACAACCTCCATTCTGAGGTACTCCGGTGCCCCTAATTACGTTGACACATGTCACGTACCCAACGACCCACGCCGCGCCCTTTTGGGCGAGGTGCCGTTGCGGCGGCGCGGGCCAGACGTTCGGAGCGTTCCGCACGCTCGAGCTCCCGGATCTGAGAGCGCGAACGGGCTGCCGTTGGCACATGCGCCTTTTGGCCCCTTGCGGCCTTGCGCATTTCAGGAACGAAGCTGAGAACTGCCCTGAAGGAAAAAAACCGAGAGGGGTCTTGAGATCCAAGTCAAGCTGGGCAAAGTCGCTCCGCAAGGCATGGGCACTCATCCCTCCGGACCCTACATTTTGCAGTTATAATCCGATATAATCCGACGTGAAGCATGGTAAGCCAATGGGAAGCAAGCCCCTTCTGCGAAGTAAACCGCACAGAATAGTGGCCAGGCTCGGCACGAGCCTTTGCCTTTTTCCCAGCCTCGGCAAAGCTCCTGACGCCTTGCTCCGGCTGCGGTGTTTGCTCCTGAGTGAGGCTCAACAATCCCGCTTGGACATGGTCCAAAAAAGGACATCTGACTCAGTTGGATGGAAAATTGTTTGGTGTGAAAGTCAAGGGGGTTGGTCCCACCCACTTAAGTGGATGTGTGTTTCCTCTTTCGCAGTTGCTTGTCAACCCGTAGATGAGTATACTGTATGATTAAGAACTGAAAGGTATTTTTACTTGTTTGGTTCTTTCAACGGGACTGCAAAGGGGAAGCAACCATTGTTTTGGCCCCGAAATGAGGTCGTCTCCAAAAAAAGTATGCACTCCCCTTTGTTTCAAAAACCAGCCAAAAACTCCATGGTTGCATGTGAGGTGCCCCCCCACACGGGGACCCCAAAACACGGTGCCGAAACGGAACCCGTAATGCGCCTGTGGCCCTTGGACTCGCCCCGCCTTGGCCGCCTCCGCCTCGCGCTTCTGGCGGAAGCGCGCCGCCAGTTGGCGCCCCCGCTGGGCTTCCTCCTGTCGCAATCTGCCCCGAAGGAGTCATCCAAATCTGACATTGAAGGGGGTCCATGGCGACACCCCGCACCCCAACCAAAAAAACAAAAAGAAGAGAAAGGAGCCTGGTGGTTAGGCCCTTTTCAAATCATCAAAGGAGTAGACCCAAATCATGCCATTGATTGATGTCGTATACTACCTATGCACGACTTGCCCCTCGAGATTCCCCAAGATGCGGAGGGCTTGGGTGCGACGGAAAATGCGCCACACGGCACATGGATGCTTGAGGGGCCACAGGGGAACACCGCATGGTTGAAATGTGCGCAAACTACCGGCGAGATCCTACGATATGGCACACGAGGCCACTGACAAGCAACTGCCAGCGCATAGAGGCGGGGATGCCTGAAGACAGGTCATGCCTGCCAATTCAGACTGTCAGACTGGCAACTGCCGCATAGCGCGCTGCTTAGCCACGCGCCTCGAACAAGCGCTTCCTCATCTGTGCCCTCTCCAGGTTTTGGCGCTCCAACTCCTGCTGCACCACCGGCACCTACGCTGGGCGTCTCCCAACAGAAGCCCCGTAAAATGGTCAGCATGGCCGGCTTCCTCTTGGCGTCTCCTTTGAACACCAGCCCGAAAAGGAGCCCTTGGCCTGTTTCAGGTTACCGGCTCAAAGGCAGACAAACTCCATTTAGGACTTTTTCAGGACATGCCCACCGTGCCACGGGCACAGCTGATTTGATCTGAGCCGCGCTCCCTCGGCAGATGCGGCCAAGCCTGGGCGCAGCAATCGGGGAGTCTCCGAATCGGATGCAAAAGGGTCACCCCGCAAAGGCAAGCACAGCCGCTCAACAAAGGATGTTGTCCAGCCACAAGGGTCTCAAAGAAACCAAAAGAGAAAATTCCGCCTTTTGCGGAACCAAAAGAATCCTGGGTATGTCAAATTGGGGGACACAAAACTTCCATTTCAACCAAGGGTACTCTCAATCAAAAGGGGAGTTGCCAATTTTAATGGGAAGGAACGGGAAATAGAAGCCGTGTCCATTTTCGGGACTGATTCCTACCCCCTGCATTGCAGCCGCGCGGCTCTGGATCCCCGAGCTCCGCCAGGGCCGCCCTCGCCTCGTTCTCCGGCACCGCGAGAAACGTCTCCGTCTCCGCCGCGGGCTCCTGAGAAACGGCTGGATGTGTTGCGTTCAATCAGGGGCCTTGGCTGACATCAACAGGGGGCCGTAAAAGATACACCTAGAATCACATGGTAGATGAAGAAAAAGCTGGCTTTATGTGGTCATAATGTATGTGCCATATCCTTTGAGGAACCCTGTTGAAACAACCCATATGAATCAGCTGGAACGGTGCTGCACACGAAAGCAAGCGAAAACTGGATGGCATGGAAAATGATTAAACCAAGGTGGAATTAATCTATGTTCAACAAACCAACTGATCTTGAGGACAAACGCACAAACCATCTGTAGTGGGGAACTCGATCTGTGACCAAAGCGGGAATCAAAATGTCCCACGCAAGCAGTGCCAAAGCCCCCTCCTCCGTCTCCAGCCTCGCCAGCTGCGCCCAGTTCATCAACCGCGGCTTGCGAGCGCCAATCCACACGGACCGGTCTTTTCGGCCTGGCACTTTGGCCCGTTCATCTAGAACCATCTCCTCCCACCGACATCGTTCAAGTCCACGCATGCACACACACACACACACATACACCTCTGATTGCGCGTTTACTGGGGGGGGGGGGGTGGGCCTGTTCAAGGAGCAACTTCAGGAACAAGTAGTGGTCCTCTCTAAGCTTTCTAGCCTACTTCCCCTCCTCAGGCGGAGCTGCCATGATACATCATAGGGGGCCTACAGTTCTTTTGCAGGCAACCAGCAAACAAGAACAAGCCCACCAAGATCATCGGCCCGGCCAGGAGACGTCGGCTGAAGCTCCCGTGGCGAGGCGGCCGCCAAGCCTGGCCAAACAGCCAGTGCAGCTAAGCGGGGCCACTTGGGTTGTCCATCACATGGCGTCGAAAAGGGGAATTGATATGGTAGTGTTCCTTTTCGCCCTCCCTGTAAACAAACCCAAAAGGTAGCCTCAAAAAGCGCACACCCATATCACAAGCCCGAAGTATGTCGACTGGCAGTCGGGCCCTGGCCTTCCCCTTTCTGCATCGCCTCCAACCTCAGCTACGAGTGGGTGAGTGTGTGTGTGTGTTGTGTTGTGTTGTGTGCGCCTGTGTTCTGTGTGTATGGTGTGTGTGTTTACATTCGCTATGGGGCGGGTAAACGTCAATCGCCATGCATGCCAAATGCAGCTCCGGCGAGTGCGCCCCTTTGGAAGACAATACTGTGTACATGTAGGGGGGTCGGCACTCGCACCTAAGACATGCGTGTGCTGTGTGTTTGTGTTTTGTGGTCTGTGTTGTGTGCGTCTGTGTTGTGTGTATATGGTGTGTGTGTGGTTGTGCGTGCGCTGTGTGTGTTGTGTGTGTGTGGTGTGTGTGTGTGTGTTGCGTGTGTGTACGTACGTACGTACGTACGTGCGTGCGTCCGTCCGTCCGTCCGTCCGTACGTCCATCCGTCCGTCCGTCCGTGCGTGCGTGCGTGCGTGATTGCGTGCGTGCGTGCGTGCGTGCGTGCGTGTGTGTGTGTTGTGCGTGTTGTGCGTGTTGTGTGTGTATGTGTTGCGTGTGTGGCGTGTGTGTGTGTGTGGTGTGTGTGTGTGTGTTGCGTGTGTGTGTGTGTGTGCTGTGTTTTGTGTGTGTTGCGTGTGTGTTGTGTGTTGTTGTGTGTGTGTTGTGTTGTGTTGTGTTGTCTTGTCTAGTCTTGTCTTGTCTTGTGTTGTATTTTGTTGTGTTGTGTTGTGTTTTGTTGTGTTGCGTTGTGTTGTGTTGAGTCATGGTGTGGTATGGTGTGTGTTGTGTTGCGTGTTGCGTTGCGTTGCGCTGCGTTGTGTGTTGTGTTTTGTTGCGTCGGGTTGTGTTGTGTTGTGTTGTGTTGGTGTGTGTGTGTGGTGTGTGTCGTGTGTCTGTGCGCATGTGTCTGTGCGTGTGTCTGTGTGTCTGCGTGTCGGTGTGTGTCTGGGTGTGTGTGTGTGTGATCTGCGTGTCTGTGTGTGTGTGGGTCTGTGTGTTTGCGTGTGTGTCTGTGTGTGTGTGCGAGTGCGTGTGTGTGTGTGTGTGTGTGTGTGTGTGTGTGTGTGTGTGTGTGAGTGTGTGCCTGCGCTTGTGTCTCTGTGCGTGTGTGTGCGTCGGAGTGTGTCTGTGCGTGCTTCTGTGCTTGTGTGTGTGTGCGTGTGTCTCTCTGCGTGCGCCTGTCTGCGTGAGTGTGTTTCTGCGTGCGTCTGTCTGTGTGTGTGTCCTTCTGTGTGTGTGTGTGTGTGCGTCTGTCTTGTGTGTGCGTGCGTCTGCGCGCACGCGCGTGCGTATCTGCGTGTGTGTGTGTGTGTGTGTGTGTGTCTCTCCGTGTGTGCGCGCGGAGCCCCTAATCTAATTATCCAGGAACTACTCATGTTCAAACTCAGGGGCGCCATGAATGCTTACTGGGCATGGATGCTCACTGGGCCGCCAGTGATGCATCCGTGGTGCGGCGGGGACGATTTTGTTTCTCTTGCTGTCACGTTGCTTTGGTGACGCTGTTGTCCCTAGAGAAAAGCCGCCACTCGACTGATTTACTGAGTTGGATTGCTCGAGAGCGCCACTCGACTCAGCTGATCGTGCGACCTTGGTTTATCAAGGCACCCTCTTCAGACAAAAATACCGACTTGCAGTTGGCTTGGCTTGACTGTTGCGTCGCGTTGGGTTGTTTGTTTTCCTCGTAATCCCCGTCTAGGGGCGGCGTCTCCTCCTGGTCTCGATCTCGCGCCATTTTCACGATCCGCGTTTAGGGATGGCCTGTGTCTCTTCGAGTTGTTTGCCCCCTTCTCCGCGCTGTTCTCTTCTTGTCAGCCTTCTGGCTCGGGCCCCTCGTTCTCTCTCTCTCCTTCCCTTCTTTCTCCCGTTTTTCTCTCCTCCGCACTTTCTCATGTTCCTCATCTTCGCCCGTCTAGGGATGGGCTGCTCCCCTGTCGTTCTTCAACTTCGCGGCGCTTTTTCGTCTACGAGGTTGAGGACGTTTGCGCTGTTTAAAGTTGTTGCACCCGTCGGTGACCCTAAACCTGGGTTCTCTGTTTGTCTTGTTTCTTGGTTGAGGATTTAGCCTGCGGAAATCCAACTTGGGGCCTTTTTGCTTCGTTTTGGTTTGTTTTTCTCCTGTCTTTTCTGCTGGGACTGCGCACCTGTAATGAATGATTCAACGTCGTTTTGGCCCTTTGATTTTCTTGCTGTGCGCGCTTCATGTTGCATTGGTAGAGGGAAGCCGGAAAGCCACCGCTCGACTGATTTACTCGGTTGGATTGTTCGAGAGTGCCACTCAACTCAGACAGACCCCCCCTCGGGAGTTTGAGTGTGTCTGTGTGTCTGTGCGTGTGTCTGTGTGCGTGTGTGCGTGTGTGCGTGTGTGCGCGTGTGCGCGTGTGCGCGTGTGCGCGTGTGCGCGTGTGCGTGTGCGTGTGCGTGCGTGTGCGTGTGGGTGTGGGTGTGGGTGTGGGTGTGGGTGTGCGTGTGCGTGCGGGTGTGCGTGCGGGTGTGCGTGTGGGTGTGGGTGTGCGTGTGCGTGTGCGTGTGCGTGTGCGTGTGCGTGTGCGTGCGCGTGTGGGTGTGCGTGTGCGTGTGCGTGTGCGTGTGCGTGTGCGTGTGCGTGTGCGTGTGCGTGTGCGTGTGCGTGTGCGTGTGCGTGTGCGTGTGCGTGTGCGTTTGCGTTTGCGTGTGCGTTTGCGTTTGCGTGTGCGCGTGTGCGCGTGTGCGCGTGTGCGCGTGTGCGCGTGTGCGCGTGTGCGCGTGTGCGCGTGTGCGCGTGTGCGCGTGTGCGCGTGTGCGCGTGTGCGCGTGTGCGCGTGTGCGCGTGTGCGCGTGCGCGCGTGTGCGCGTGTGCGCGTGTGTGCGCGTGCGCGTGCGCGTGCGCGTGCGCGTGCGCGTGTGCGTGTGCGTGTGCGTGTGCGTGTGCGTGTGCGTGTGCGTGTGCGTGTGCGTGTGCGTGTGCGTGTGTGTGTGTGTGTGTGTGTGTGGGTGGGTGCGTGCGTGCGTGCGTGCGTGCGTGCGTGCGTGCGTGCGTGCGTGCGTGCGTGCGTGCGTGCGTGCGTGCGTGCGTGCGTGTGCGCGTGCGCGTGCGCATGTGCGCGTGCGCTTGCGCGTGCGCGTGCGCTTGCGCGTGCGCGCGTGCGCTTGCATGCGCGCGTGCGCTTGCGCCTGCGCGTGCAAGCTGTGGGTGTGGGTGGGTGTGTGTGTGTGCATGTGTGTGCGCATGTGTGTCTGTGTCTCTGTCTGTGTCTGTGTGTGGGTGTGGGTGGGTGTGTGTGTGTGCATGTGTGTGCGCATGTGTGTCTGTGTCTCTGTCTGTGTCTGTGTCCCTGTCCCTGTCTCTGTCTCCGTGCGCGTGTGCGTGTGCGTGCGCGTGGGCGTGCGCGTGCGCGTCCGCATGCGCGTGTGCTTGTGCGCGTGCGCGTGCGCGTGCGGGTGCGCGCGCGCGTGCGCGTGCGCGTGGGCGTGCGCGGGCGTGTGTGAGTGTGAGTGTGAGTGTGAGTGTGAGTGTGACTGTGTGTGAGTGTGGGTGTGTGTGAGTGCGTGGGTGTGTGGGTGTGTGAGTGTGTGTGTGTGAGTGTGTGTGAGTGTGTGAGTGTGTGAGTGTGTGAGTGTGTGAGTGTGTGTGTGTTTGTGTGTGTGTGTGAGTGTGTGAGTGTGTGAGTGTGTGAGTGTGTGAGTGTGTGAGTGTGTGAGTGTCTGAGTGTGTGAGTGAGTGAGTGAGTGAGTGAGTGAGTGAGTGAGTGAGTGAGTGAGTGAGTGAGTGAGTGAGTGAGTGAGTGAGTGAGTGAGTGAGTGAGTGAGTGAGTGAGTGAGTGAGTGAGTGAGTGAGTGGGTGGGTGAGTGAGTGAGTGAGTGAGTGAGTGAGTGAGTGAGTGAGCGTGTGAGTGTGTGAGCGTGCGAGCGTGTGAGGGTGTGGGTGTGTGGGTGTGTGAGTGTGTGAGTGTGTGAGTGTGTGAGCGTGTGAGCGTGTGAGCGTGTGAGCGTGTGAGTGTGTGGGTGTGTGGGTGTGTGAGTGTGTGAGTGTGTGAGTGTGTGTGTGTGTGTGTGTGTGTGTGTGTGAGTGTGTGAGTGTGTGTGTGTGTGCGCGTGTGTGTGTGCTTCTGTAATCGCTTTTTATAAATGTCCCTTTGCTCTTTCTAGGCATTCAATCACAGACTATCTGGTAGAATAACTTGCATGTTGCCTCTTTCTCCAAAGGTGCCAAAATGCTGCTTTCCCCGTGTGCTCAAACAAGTTTCAATACTATACCAACTTTTGCTTCGAAGCCCGGGGCTCCGGCGCTTGCACCAGGCCTTTGGGGCAGGTCACGGGCGGCACCGTAGGCGTGGCCCGCAGGACCTTCACCACCCGTGGCCGCACCACATCCGCCTGCGACTTCTGTGAGGGGCAAGAGGGTATGGGGACTCTCTGTCTGGTTCCAGGTGAAGGCCTCCTTTCAACTCCCTTTTACCTGGGACTTCAAAAGAATTAAAGCAGCTCCAGGACTGCCACGTCTGGGTGAGGTTCCCACGTGAGTCTATTGGGATTCATCTGATTTGTTTCGAGATTCCCATATGAATGAGGGTAGGCAGTGCCGTTGGTGTTGCCACATTCGATTCTAAGGGGCCACCCTTGCAAATGGGCGTGAAGATCAACTCTATGCATCATGTCCAACCTGCTATTTGATTTGCGGGGTTCCTCACCAGATGTCACAGCCACATGGGTGTGACTCTGTGTGTCTTTGGGGGATGCTCCGGAGGTCATTAGATTCCCGGGTGTCTTTGGAACAAGCTTTGGATCGCAAGGCCTGTCTCCAATCCAATCCTAGCGCTTAGCCTCGTTGGCCGTGGCCACCCCAAAGCTGCAGTGGTTACAACTTTCGCCTTCTCTGGAAGGGCCAAAGCTCAAAACCCTTTGTGCAAGAAGTGCTTCTCAATTTTTCAAAGGGGTTTTTCAGGAGAGATTGTCATCACGAGTCATCAGAGGCCACGGGGCTTTGCAGACTCTGCAGGCCCCTCGTGGCCCACAAGAGCCCTGAGCCTACAGATCTCCAATGCGATGGGGCCAGGGCAGTGCGCGTGCTCAATTCGGCAAAAAAAAACGGAGCTGCCTTGCTCAGCGCAACCATGGGCTCAAGCTTCTCATTGTGCCGGGCATGGCTGGAGACACAATCGTTCTTCCAGCCTGGCGACGGAGGGACCAACTGGCTCTGGCAAGCACACCTCCCATCGAAGTGCCTTCAGCTCCGACATCCCAAAAGCTACACACCCTCCAAAGTGTCAGATTGCTGCACTGCGCCATGGAAATCAGCGGAATCATAGGTCGGGAACACAGAAGTGGTTGCGGGGAGGCAGCATAACCAGCCTTTCAGAATCCTACGGAGCCTGACGACATCTGACAACCCCAGCCAAGGCGCTGCCCAGGTTGAAGCCGTCTGTGCCTTATCGCTTTGGCATCTCACGGCTGGTGCAAAATTCGAATGGCATAGGCCAAACAAGCCCCTTCTGACTGGAAACGCCGACTGATTGCTCGTAAATGTCTTGCCCCGACCCAAAAACACATGCAACGCCCGGGGCCGAAGCGTTCGAGCGCGGAATGGTCAGACCAGATGGCCTGCAAGGCTGGCTCCGCGATGCCTGAGGCAGAAAAACATACAACCCTCGTCCCTAGCAAGGACGAGCATTTCAAGAGGTGTGTACGTTTCTTGGGGCAGGCTCATTGGGGGCGTGGCTTAAAGGGAAACCGAAAGGAGCATTGTTGGGTCCCCCTGTTTTGACACATGCCTATATTCATCAATGTGCGTGTGCGCGTGTGTGATGCAAAGTGAATTGGTGTATAGAAACACTTGCTTCTCAAGGGTGCCTTTTGCAGCCTGGTTGAGAGGAAGCCCGAAAGGGAAATCAATCAATCCTTCTTGCGGGTCCCCCGACTGAAGACATAAGATCTGAGGGCCTGGCCATCCCCCTCCCAGCCACGCCAGCCCAGAAATCGTGCCCGGGAAGGCTCCTGCGCAATTTGTGGGGCATGCAAGTTTCCACCCCCTCATGGTCCATATAAACGTGGCCCAACCTGGGGCATTCCTAGTTGAGGGTGCCAGTCTGGGGGTTGGCCTAGAGGAAAACATAGGGAAAGCAGCCCTACCAGCCCTTTTAGATTCAGCAACTTTCAGCAATCCCGTTTGTCAATGTCCAGCCATTTCACTAACGTCCGCCAGTTCCGCTTCTTGTACCGGTTTTTCCTGGATGGCACAAAGCGATCTGGAGACGCCTTTTCCGTGCTTGTCTGACAAGCAGGGCTTCCAGTCAGGCATATCCACTCCTGCAAATAAATTTAACGTGGAACCAAAAAGGATAACCGCTTGTCGAGGAATCTCCTTTTGGGATTCCCATTTTGGGGCTTCTGGCTGCATTTGCTGGGGAGCATGCCTTTGCCTGATTCTTTACGCCACCTTGGGCTAGTTGCATCGGGCCATGCATGTAAAACTAAAGCTGCGCGGCCCAGCTGATGGGTCTGCGCAGCTCATTTGGGCAGTAGAAGTGCCACGTCTGCATGACGAAAGCCCCCACCTCCAATTACTGCACTGGGCCACAGCCAGGGCTGGCTCTGGGTCTCTGTCTCCCCGTCTCTCCGTTTCCTCACTCGTTGCGTCTCAGTCTCGGTGTCTCTGCGTCTATGTCTCTGTGTCTATGCCTGTGTGTCTGGGTCTTTGTGTGCCTGAGACTGCGCCCCGTGTGCGTGCTGGCTGTCCGTCGGAGCTTCTACGTTGTTAGTCAAATTCGCACGCGCTTGAATTCACAGGCAGCCAATGGCATCACATTGGCGTTCCAAACGAGGTAAATAAGAATACAAATTGCATGCATGGCCCGCACTTGCAAGTTGCAGGCGATTTCTAGCCAACCTCATTGGAGGCAGGCTCGTTCAATTTCTGTCATGTGTTGCCTGGTCGGGATATGTCGGCTTGGTCAAATCATGGCCTCTAGAACGAGCCTGCCAAGTGGAGTTCCCGTTGAGTTGTTTGGCAGGTTGAATTCCATTAAATATCTGCAAAGCAAAGATTCGTGCTACTGTGCAGCTATCCGCCATCAGGCATTACTCTCGCTCTTGCAACGCAAAGGCCTTGGCTCACAAAGCGACACAGGTCGAGTCTGCTGCCGCTGATACGCAGCGCAGCAGAAGGCAGCAGCAGCGATTCCACACCTCCGGCCTGTCACGCTCCGAATCATGGGGCCCTCTCAGAGATGGTGAGATTGCCGTCAGGCATCCATGATGAGCACTGAGCTAGGGCAACCCAAAAAGGCGCAAGGCGACGAGCTTACACCAGCAGCGCCAATAAACCTGTGAGAGGATCCGTATGAAACATGAATGGTGACCCCGATTTTTCCACCTGGCAAATTGATAGGCGGGAGATGGCGGGAGTGTCGATGGGCAGCCTGCCTAGAAAGCCAGCCAGGAGTGTGATTAATTCAGGGCTCTCCCTCAGGGGGAAGAAGCATTGGTCAGCTTTCGTTGCCCGCGAGCACGGCACCCAGCGGCATTCCATGTTGCCAGGCGGCTGCTTGCGCTGCAGCTGAATGCTGAAGCCCTCCAGCTGCCTGAGGAAGGCCTGGGCGCAAGCCTTGGGGCTACATGGAACTCAGTGCACTTAGCTGTCAGTTTGCTTGCCCTCTTTCCGTCAAGCATGAGAGTGGGCAGGCTTTTGAAATGATGTCTTCCAAAACGATCCGATCTTCCACGTCCGCACAGATGAAGATAGCACTGGCGGCGGGCTTCCTTGTTTCCCAGCGGCCCTGCAAGAAATGACATCTCTTAGCATGGAACCCACGGCCAGAAGGGACAAAGGGTGTCACTGAGCAGCTGGGTTAAGCACAAGTGAACATGGTGCTGGTGAGAGTTTGGTTCGAACCATTTACCAGCGCCATCTTTTTACCCCCAAAGGGACGTCCAGCTGACCTGGGATAGACCAAGAAGCCCCACCTTGTCAACCCCAAGCTGAAGGAAACAATTCGGTATTGCAAAGGCAGCAGGCAGCAAAGAAAATTGCATGCTTTTCTGGGATGCTGAGGTAGGTGCATTCTTACAATAAGTCGTCCCAGTCCAGCAAAAAAGGAAGCTGTGGGGGGGGGAAGGGGGACAGCTTTTCCAACTCCAAGCTTGTTGTTGGACTATGTTGGACCTCCGTGTTACTTTCTGATTTTGCGTTCCCAGGTGGGGGCTCAAATACAAGGTCCTCCCCCCCGCAAGCCTCCACCGCCCTGCCGCGCTCATCCGCGGCAGCCTGCCCTGGACCTGTGAGTGACTGAGGCACTGGCATTGTTCTATGCAACCCACATGAAGTCGAGAGATGGCATGTTGGTGAAGTGGGCGAGTCATGCTTGTCCTTCCGCAAACTTCCCGGCCCACCTTCACACTTGCCAAATCTAAACAGCGACGTCTGTGAAAAGAATCTGGTCACTTCCCTAAACCCTGCCTATTTTAGCAACGAATTGTCTCCCCCTGCAAAGCTGGCCCGCAAGCGCCTTGGATCGCCTTGGCCATCAAAAACTGCCAGCCATCGCCCTGGTGGATCGACAGCTGTCCCAGCGCTTGCCTGCCATCGCCAGGCTCGACCCCTTGACCTTCACACCGTCACAACGCGCCATTCAGCGGTTCGTGCAAGCTTCCCATTCCGATGAACAAGTCAGGTGACTCTTGAACGAACACAGCCAGCCATGCTGCGAAAGATCATCTGGGCATGATGCCATTGCTTCCAGCCATTGCTTCCACCAAAGCTCTCGCCGCCACCCGACTGTCTGTCCCATTCACATCCCCAGGCTGATCTCCTGCCTCAATTCTGCAAAGGGATACGGCTGCGCACCTTGGCGGGGCTTGCAAATATCTTCTTGCCCCAAACTGGTTGGATTGTAGACTTAAGCTTTTGAAGTCACAGTCGTCACATGGGAAAGTATTCCCCAAACCACCGGCCCCAACCCACCAATGAGGGTTGAACCTGCCTGAGCTTGTGCCCCAACTAGACAGAATAGAATGGAGTGAACCTTAAAAGCTTAACAAGGAACCCATCCTGTGGATGGGACGAACGGAGCCCCATGAATTCAGCCGGTGCAGGATTTCAAACGAGATCCCAGGAAAAGCTGCGCGACTGAGGCAGTGGCCTTCCTGCACGGGCGCCTGCCAAGGGGCACGTCGACGCGAAACCAGCCGCTTGAATCCTATCACTGGGCAGTTCAAAATCAATTCATCCGTAAGCCGTCCTTGTGCAAAATGGCCTTGGTACCCCTTTCTCATAGTAACAGCCATAGTGCCGACCTCAGGCGCCTGTGTTTTTTCTATTTTTCTGGAAACAGCCCAGAAAGCCCGCATTCCCAATGGCATGTAATGCCAGGGCACATCAAAGCTGAATGCCGCCAAGCCAAGTTCCAAAGACCCTCACATGCCCTCAAAGCCAGAAGGCATCCCGCCTTTTAGCCTTGCAGTACAAACGGTCCCCTTTACTGTCACCTGGCCATGCTCAAAGTGAGACACCTTCCAGAAGCGTGACAAGAAAATGTGCCATGACACAAACCGAACCAACGTTCCGGCAAGTCTTGGTAATCGTTCAATGTCTATGTGTATGTAAAAATAATACATGCAACCATATACATAAACTATATATGCATATGATATGCAGAATAGAAAGGTTGTGTTCTTCAACTATGTACACATCATACGCCAGCCAGACTGCAACGCGGCAGAACATTTCTCTTCAGCCGGAAGCGCCTCCAGCTCCGGCAGAATCTCCTGCGCCAGGGCCAGGTGCGAGGGCGACCGGAGGCCGCTCAGCAGCACCAGCCTCCCAGCACCGGGACTTCGGCCCCTTTGCAAAGCTCTAAGGTCAACTGAAACGAAGCCCAGTGAAGGCCCCTGCGAAATGTAGAGGGAAGCTTAAAAAGGCAGGCTTGCAACAATGATGCCCAGCCCTCTGTCTGTTGGCGGGCTGGCAACTGTCTCGGTGACAGAACGCAGCCGAACTGCTGGGCCAAGACTAGGGGCAGCCTTGCAAGAGCCTTCGGTGCTTGCCAGAACCAAACCCCTCCCAGTGCCCAGGCTCCCTAGACACTGCCTCGGCAAGATCATGAAAAGCTCGGCATCTTGATCTTCAATTAAGCCAGCCAGTGTCCTCAGCTCGGGTGACTGCTGGTCTTGCTCCCCAGTGCACGCCTTCATACGCCTTACCGTCTTCCACATAGCAGTCAAACAGGCCATAGCTTTGCATTCCGAAGTCCAAGCGGCGGTTCAAACTCGCATGCGCAGGAAGTGTCCGCAGCCACGCCGCATATGGCGTCGCGCAACTCGGGCTTGAGCAGAAAGGAAGTTCCAAGCTCCTTGGTTGGTCAGACGACCCCGCTGCACGTCGCCGCGCCAAGGGAGTTTTAGCTATGTCAACTCCACTGGGCAATGCTTTCTAGACAAGCCCTAAGGGAAAGCGATCAAAACGATCGAAGAACATAATATGGCTACAAGGTTCGGTGGAAGTGATGTCCACCAAAGGGTCTCGGATGAGACACCCATCTGAAGTGAGGGCACTGACGGCAATATGCGGAATGCCCACTGGTTCGTGTGTGTTTTGGGCTGGCGGTCAACCAATTGACAAGGCAATGTTCAACGGGTCATGGTTCCGATGAGCATTGTCGTGCGTCCTGCTGGTACCGTGGTTTCCGGAGCTGTGCGGGCGGCTTTGAAAACAACCTCTCTGGGTAACATCTTGAACATGCGCCACTATTCTCCTCTTTGCTACCTTTCCGTGGCTGCTGAGCTAGGTTACCCAAGCCTAAATTTCTGCCAACCTCAGATTCTGAGACCAAGCTGCACTGGCAGCTAAACACTTGAAGCACGATCTTACCAGGAGCCTCCAAGTTCACATGGCATTGGCAGCCTCCAAGCCTCCACGCTCTCAGCTTCAGCCAGGCGTCCCATGCATCTTCCCACGCCATCAATGATCCCTCCAGGTCCTCATTGCTGGAGAGCTGGGGGTCGATCCACAGCATTCGCATCGACACCGCCTGACGGCACCGGCAGCCAGTACCCGTCCAAGCGAGAACCCATCGAATGACTGAGGCCGCAGCCGACAAGTAGTGCCGGACTTCCAGGAAGCCTCGTTGTGGCAGCTGCCATGCTTCTGTTGCTGAATTGCCCTTCGCAAAGATAGCAAGAAACGCAACCATGTCAGGATCCCTGAGCATGGGTGGTTCTCTTGTTCATTTTCCCGTCAAGCTTTAAACCAACCCCAAAAAAGGGCACCGACTCCGCAAACAAACGCCACGCATCGTACCACTCCTGTCCTTCCAGGACCGCGCAGGCCAGGGCCTTCCGCGCCCGGCTGGTCGGGTCGTTGGCCCTGTCCTGGCTGCAGTGACCCTGTCGCCAGGGGCGTGCTGTGCTTCAAAAAAAGGGTGTTTTACCTTGCCGATTGGTTTTCATTGTCCCAGTCATTCGCCTAAGACCTTACTCAGGCCTGGCTGTTTACATTGTTTACATTTGTTGGGCAAGTTTCAGCTGAACAATACCCCCAAAAATAGTATGGTGGCCCTCCCCAGGGTCATGGTCATGGTTCCCGAACGAGGCACTCGTTCAACAGTTTGCCTAAATCCCTTAACCAACCGACCCAGCTGTGACACAAATGCATTCTGCAACTCACGTTTGGCAAAGAACTCCACGCCGCAAAAAGGCACAAGAGGTTCGCACGGCCGCGCATTTCCAGAACATGATCAACACATATCAACACAAGGCAAAGCAAGAAGAGTTGGAGTGAAGCAAACCTTCTCTCTGGCAAACGCAAAATGAAATTGAAGGTGCCTCGGTAAGGTAGCTGTCGGCCGCCGCCTCCAACACAGACACTGTCATGTCCTGCAACGACTGGAATTTTGGGCCTACCGAGCTCCACTCCCTGCCGGGCCGACTAGATTGGCTCTGGATGACATCCTGGGCTTCCAAAAGCACTTCGGGTGGATGACCTCCGGGAACAGACAGGGGATTCCCTATCCCGCCACCAAAGCTCGCGGATGTGCAGCTTTGCAGAGCACCATCCAGAAATTGGAGTAAAAGATTCCATTTGGGGCAACCGGGGGGATGCTGTGCAAAAACCGCAAAATCACATATTTGCCCTCTTCATTCTTTACAAGGGTTGGACCGGCACTTTTCATGCCAGGTCTTGATTATGACTCACTTGTTGTCTGTGAAGCGAGTCAGGAAATTTCGCACTGGGGATTGCTTTGATCTTCTGGGCCAAGCTAACTGTTGTTTGGATCATGCCCAACAAGGGTCTTATATATATATATATATATCCGCCGACCCTTTCTCCTCAAAGGGGCAGGCGCACGGGAAGGGTGGTCACGGCACAAGTCCAAGGTTGGTTGGTAAATGAGCATAGCCGAAGATTCAACATTATCAGCGTAAGCAATACCGTCATCGTAGCAGAGGGTGCGTCGCAATGATTATCATCATGACTGTTGGTGATGCAGAAGATGCACGATGATGGTTATCGTCCATGATGACGATGACGATGATGATGATGATGCTGATGATGATGACGATGGTGATGATGACGATGATGACCACAATCATGGTGATGATGACATGCTCATCGTCATCACATCATCATCGTTGTGACCTGATTGGAGATGTAGAGGATGCGTAGACATGATTGTCATCATGACTGCTGGTGATGCAGAGGATGCACGATGATGGTTATCATCCATGATGATGACGATGATGATGACGATAATGACCACCATCAGGGTGATGATGACATGCTCATCATCACATCATCATCGTTGTGACCTGATTGGAGATGCAGAGGATGCGTAGACATGATTATCACCATGACTGTTGGTGATGCAGAGGATGCACGATGAGGGTTATCATCGATGATGGTAACGGTGATGATGACGATGACGATGACGAGGATGATGCTGATGATGATGACGATGATGATGATGACACGCTTGTCAGTATATCACATCATAATCGTTGTCGTCCTTATCTTGTTTACATAGGTTTCAAGGGTAGCGTTAGACCCGATTGGAGATGCAGAGGGTGCGTAGACATGATTATCATCATGACTGCTGGTGATGCAGAGGATGCACGATGATAGTTATCATCGATGATGATAACGGTGATGATGACGAGGACGATCATCATCATCACATCATCATCGTTGTGACCTGATTGGAGATGCACAGGATGCGTAGACATGATGTTGTCGTCTCTATCTTTTTTATATACGTTTCAAGGGTGACGTTAGAGCCGATTGGAGATGCAGAGGGTGCGTAGTCATGATTATCATCATGACTGTTGGTGATGCAGAAGATGCACGATGATGGTTATCGTCCATGCTGACAACGGCGATGATGACGATGACGATGATGATGATGATGCTGATGATGATGACGATGATGATGATGCCGATGATGACCACCATCATGGTGATGATGACATGCTCATCATCATCACATCATTATCGTTGTGACCTGATTGGAGATGCAGAGGATGCGTAGACATGATGTTGTCGTCCTTGTCTTTTTTATATACGTTTCAAGGGTGACGTTAGAGCCGATTGGAGATGCAGAGGGTGCGTAGTCATGATTATCATCATGACTGTTGGTGATGCAGAAGATGCACGATGATGGTTATCGTCCATGCTGACAACGGTGATGATGACGATGACGATGATGATTATGATGCTGATGATGATGACGATGATGATGATGCCGATGATGACCACCATCATGGTGATGATGACATGCTCATCGTCATCACATCATCATCGTTCTGGTGATGCAGAGGATGCACGATGATGGTTATCACATTGGAGATGCAGAGGGTGCGTAGACATGATTCTCATCATGACTGTTGGGATGCAGAGGATGCACGATGATGGATATCGCTCATGATGACAACGAGGATGATGCTGATGATGATGATGATGATGATGACCACCATCATGGTGATGATGACATGCTCAGCATCATCACAGCATCATCGTTGTGACCTGATTGGAGATGCAGAGGGTGCGTAGACATGATTATCATCATGACTGCTGGTGATGCAGAGGATGCACGATGATAGTTATCATCGATGATGATAACGGTGATGATGACAAGGACGATCATCATCATCACATCATCATCGTTGTGACCTGATTGGAGATGCACAGGATGCGTAGACATGATGTTGTCGTCTCTATCTTTTTTTATATACGTTTCAAGGGTGACGTTAGAGCCGATTGGAGATGCAGAGGGTGCGTAGTCATGATTATCATCATGACTGTTGGTGATGCAGAAGATGCACGATGATGGTTATCGTCCATGCTGACAACAGTGATGATGACGATGACGATGATGATGATGATGCTGATGATGATGACGATGATGATGATGCCGATGATGACCACCATCATGGTGATGATGACATGCTCATCGTCATCACATCATCATCGTTGTGACCTGCTTGGAGATGTAGAGGATGCGTAGACATGATTATCATCATGACTGCTGGTGACGCAGAGGATGCACGATGATGGTTATCACATTGGAGATGCAGAGGGTGCGTAGACATGATTCTCATCATGACTGTTGGGATGCAGAGGATGCACGATGATGGATATCGCCCATGATGACAACGGTGAGGATGATGCTGATGATGATGGTGATGACCACCATCATGGTGATGATGACATGCTCAGCATCATCACAGCATCATCGTTGTGACCTGATTGGAGATGCAGAGGGTGCGTAGACATGATTATCATCATGACTGCTGGTGATGCAGAGGATGCACGATGATAGTTATCATCGATGATGATAACGGTGATGATGACGAGGACGATCATCATCATCACATCATCATCGTTGTGACGTTAGAGCCGATTGGAGATGCAGAGGGTGCGTAGTCATGATTATCATCATGACTGTTGGTGATGCAGAAGATGCACGATGATGGTTATCGTCCATGCTGACAACGGTGATGATGACGATGACGATGATGATGATGATGCTGATGATGATGACGATGATGATGATGCCGATGATGACCACCATCATGGTGATGATGACATGCTCATCGTCATCACATCATCATCGTTGTGACCTGCTTGGAGATATAGAGGATGCGTAGACATGATTATCATCATGACTGCTGGTGATGCAGAGGATGCACGATGATGGTTATCACATTGGAGATGCAGAGGGTGCGTAGACATGATTCTCATCATGACTGTTGGGATGCAGAGGATGCACGATGATGGTTATCGTCCATGATGACAACGGTGAGGATGATGCTGATGATGATCATGATGACCACCATCATGGTGATGATGACATGCTCAGCATCATCACAGTCATCACATCATCATCGTTGTGACCTGCTTGGAGATGTAGAGGATGCGTAGACATGATTATCATTATGACTGCTGGCGATGCAGAGGATGCACGATGATGGTCAATGGTTATCATCCATGATGATGACGATGATGATGACGATGATGATGACGATGATGACGATGATGATGATGACGATGATGATGATAATGACGATACTGACCACCATCATGGTGATGATGACATGCTCATCATCACCACATCATCATCGTTGTGACCTGGTTGGAGATGCAGAGGATGCGTAGACATGATTATCATGATGACTGCTGGTGATGCTGAGGATGCGTCATGATGATTATCATGTCAGTTCATCATCATCATCATCATGATCATCATCACATGATTATCATGATGCCTGCTGGTGATGCTGAGGATGCGTCATGATGATTATCATGTCAGCTCAGCATCATCATCATCATCATCATCATCATCATCAAGGCGGTGCATTTTCACGCGAAAGCAAAGCAAAAATGCACCGCACCCTGGCTACAACAGCATCGCGGCCCCGACTTGCGGCGAGAAAACTGGTTGGCTTGCGGGGTGACCGGCGATGAGCCTCTACTGCAAACGCAACGTCACGGCACATGCTCCCAGCAGCAGCAGAATTGTAGGCACTTACAGCGGCGCATTTTCTTATCAGATTATTACAAAAATGCACCAAGCCAAGGAAAGAAAACGATCGCTCCAGAATGGGCGCAGGATCTATGGAAGCGTGCCAATCAAAGCGCATTATCACGATGACTGCTGGTGATGCTAAGGATGCGTCATGATGATTATCATGTCAGTTCATCATCATCATCATCATCATCATCATCAGCATCATAAAAGCGGTGCATTTTCACCCGAAAGCAAAGCAAAAATGCACCGCACCCTGGCTACAAGAGGGGACCCATCGCGGCCCCATTTTGAAGCGGCCCCGTTCATTTCAGCCATTCCCAAACTGGTTTGGGGTCGGCGGCACTGGGCGGCAGCCCTTAAATCCGGCCACCGGACGTGATCGGGCCGCAGGCCAAAGCCCGTTAGGGCTTACCTTCAGGTATAAGGCCGCGCGCCCCATGCCGCCGACCATGCGCGGACCATGCGCAGAACATGCGCATACGTTTTATGCTGGGCCCTCCCTTATAAGGGGCGAAGGATTTGCGGATTTGTTTAAGCGATTTTTGAGGAGTTTTGTAGCATCTCCCCGCAGAGTCACAAAACGAGCGCTTCTTGGGGGGTGCCTAATACTGGACAACACCCCCAGCATTGCCAGCATCATTCCGGATGATGCAGATGATGCTATGCATGCTGGCGATGCGAAACAAGGGGTGAGGGGAAATGCAAGGAAACTGGAAGTGAACAAAATGAAAGTCAAAGGAATGGCACGAAAAATGGGGAGGGCACTGGAGAGAAACCGAGATGCAGGAAAATGCAAGGGCAGAACGTGAAGGGGACCGGACAGAATGCGAATAAAGGAGTCAAGGAAATGAAGGGAGCTGAAACGGCAGTGAAGTGGAAGTGAAGGGACATGCCAGGAAACTGTCAGGGAAGACATGCAAAGGAAAAGTTCATTCAAATCATCCCGAAAACTAGCAGGACTTGGAGGGAAAGGAAATCAAAGAACGGGAAGGGGTGCCCGGTGGCCGGCTGTGTCGCGTCAGCGTGTAAATCCGGCCACCGGACGTGATCGGGCCGCAGGCCAAAGCCCGTTAGGGCTTACCTTCAGGTATAAGGCCGCGCGCCCCATGCCGCCGACCATGCGCGGACCATGAAGGTAGGTTTTGCGCTGGGCCCGCCCTTATAAGGGGCGAAGGATTTGCGGATTGGTTTCGGCGATTTTTGTAGCATCTCCCCGCGGCGTCCAAAAACGAGCGTTTTTAGGGGGTGCCTAATACTGGACAACACCCCCAGCATTGCCAGCATCATCCCGGATGATGCGGATGATGTTATGCATGCTGGCGATGCGGGGGATGCTGGGGATGTTGTCCCCTAAGTCGGGCCAATTTTGCCGAAAACGTGCAACCTGAAAATCTTAAAATCTAAAGTGGATGGAAATGGATGGAAAATGGCCTGGATTGAAATCTCAAAATCCTAAAGTCTTAGATTCTTAAAATCTTAAATTAAAATCTAACAATCAATCTTAGAATCTCAAGATCTTAAAATCTTAGAACTTAGAATCTTAAAATCTAAAAATATAAAAACTTCCTAAAGTCTTCGAATCTTGAAATCTTAAAAACCTTATGTCTTAGAATCTTGAGATCTTAAACTCTTAAAATATGAAATCTTAGAACCTTAATTCTTAAACCATTGAAACCTTAAATTCCGAAAGTCTTCAAATCTGAGACCCTTAGAATCTCAAAGTTTTTAGAATTTTAAAATCTTAACATCTACTCATCGGACTTACAGGAAAGGGAAGTGACAGAAACCCTCATGTCTTTGAATCTTCAGATGTTAAAATCTTAAAATATGAAATTCCTAAATTCTCAAAATCTTAAAAGCTTCAAAAACTTAAATTCTTTAAATCTCGAACTATTGCAGTCTGAAAATCTTGAATTCATAAACAAGTAAAATAATAATAAAATTCCTTCAATCCGGGCAATATTATTCTAAATTCCTTAAACTCTTAATCTTCAAATTTTGAAGTCTTGACATCTTAAGATCTTAAAATCTTAAATTCCGAAAGTCGCCAAATCTGAAAATCTCACAAAAATACAATCTTAAAGCCTTGGATGGAAAATGGCTGGGCAATGGCCTGGCTGTTATAACCTTCAAAAGCCTTAAATCTTTGAATCTTAAAACCTTAATTCTTCAACCATTGAAACCTTAAATTCCGAAAGTCTTCAAATCTGAGACCCTTAGAATCTCAAAGTTTTTAGAATTTTAAGATCTTAACATCTACTCATCGGACTTACAGGAAAGGGAAGTGACAGAACGGGCAGGGCAAGGTGCCCGGTGGCCGGCTGTGTCGCGTCAGCGTGTAAATCCGGCCACCGGACGTGATCGGGCCGCAGGCCAAAGCCCGTTAGGGCTTACCTTCAGGTATAAGGCCGCGCGCCCCATGCCGCCGACCATGCGCGGACCATGAAGGTAGGTTTTGCGCTGGGCCCGCCCTTATAAGGGGCGAAGGATTTGCGGATTGGTTTCGGCGATTTTTGTAGCATCTCCCCGCGGCGTCCAAAAACGAGCGTTTTTAGGGGGTGCCTAATACTGGACAACACCCCCAGCATTGCCAGCATCATCCAGGATGATGCGGATGATGTTATGCATGCTGGCGATGCGGGGGATGCTGGGGATGTTGTCCCCTAAGTCGGGCCAATTTTGCCGAAAACGTGCAACCTGAAAATCTTAAAATCTAAAGTGGATGAAATGGATGGAAAATGGCCTGGATTGAAATCTCAAAATCCTAGTCTTAGATTCTTAAAATCTTAAATTAAAATCTAACAATCAATCTTAGAATCTCAAGATCTTAAAATCTTAGAACTTAGAATCTTAAAATCTAAAAATATAAAAACTCCCTAAAGTCTTCGAATCTTGAAATCTTAAAAACCTTATGTCTTAGAATCTTGAGATCTTAAACTCTTAAAATATGAAATCTTAGACCCTTAATTCTTAAACCATTGAAACCTTAAATTCCGAAAGTCTTCAAATCTGAGACCCTTAGAATCTCAAAGTTTTTAGAATTTTAAAATCTTAACATCTACTCATCGGACTTACAGGAAAGGGAAGTGACAGAAACCCTCATGTCTTTGAATCTTCAGATGTTAAAATCTTAAAATATGAAATTCCTAAATTCTCAAAATCTTAAAAGCTTCAAAAACTTAAATTCTTTAAATCTCGAACTATTGCAGTCTGAAAATCTTAAATTCATAAACAAGTAAAATATAATAAAATTCCTTCAATCCGGGCAATATTATTCTAAATTCCTTAAACTCTTAATCTTCAAATTTTGAAGTCTTGACATCTTAAGATCTTAAAATCTTAAATTCCGAAAGTCGCCAAATCTGAAAATCTCACAAAAATACAATCTTAAAGCCTTGGATGGAAAATGGCTGGGCAATGGCCTGGCTGTTATAACCTTCAAAAGCCTTAAATCTTTGAATCTTAAAACCTTAATTCTTCAACCATTGAAACCTTAAATTCCGAAAGTCTTCAAATCTGAGACCCTTAGAATCTCAAAGTTTTTAGAATTTTAAGATCTTAACATCTACTCATCGGACTTACAGGAAAGGGAAGTGACAGAACGGGCAGGGCAAGGTGCCCGGTGGCCGGCTGTGTCGCGTCAGCGTGTAAATCCGGCCACCGGACGTGATCGGGCCGCAGGCCAAAGCCCGTTAGGGCTTACCTTCAGGTATAAGGCCGCGCGCCCCATGCCGCCGACCATGCGCGGACCATGCGCAGAACATGCGCATACGTTTTATGCTGGGCCCTCCCTTATAAGGGGCGAAGGATTTGCGGATTTGTTTAAGCGATTTTTGAGGAGTTTTGTAGCATCTCCCCGCAGAGTCATAAAACGAGCGCTTCTTGGGGGGTGCCTAATACTGGACAACACCCCCAGCATTGCCAGCATCATTCCGGATGCATGCATGCATGCTGGCGATGCGAAACAATGCGAAACAAGGGGTGGAAGCAGGAGTGACTGGAAGTGAACAAAATGAAAGTCAAAGGAATGGCACGAAAAATGGGGAGGGCACTGGAGAGAAACCGAGATGCAGGAAAATGCAAGGGCAGAACGTGAAGGGGACCGGACAGAATGCGAATAAAGGAGTCTTCAAGGAAATGAAGGGAGCTGAAACGGCAGTGAAGTGGAAGTGAAGGGACATGCCATGAAACTGTCAGGGAAGACATGCAAAGGAAAAGTTCATTCAAATCATCCCGAAAACTAGCAGGACTTGGAGGGAAAGGAAATCAAAGAACGGGAAGGGGTGCCCGGTGGCCGGCTGTGTCGCGTCAGCGTGTAAATCCGGCCACCGGACGTGATCGGGCCGCAGGCCAAAGCCCGGTAGGGCTTACCTTCAGGTATAAGGCCGCGCGCCCCATGCCGCCGACCATGCGCGGACCATGCGCATACGTTTTGTGCTGGGCCTGCCCTTATAAGGGGCGAAGGATTCGCGGATTGGTTTAGGCGATTTTTGTAGCATCTCCCCGCAGCGCCCAAAAACGAGTATTTTTAGGGGGTGCCTAAAACTGGACAACACCCCCAGCATTGCCAGCACCATCCCGGATGATGCGGATGATGCTATGCATGCTGGCGATGCGACACAAGGGGCTGAAGGGGAAATACAAGGAAACAGGAGTGACTGAAAGTGAACGAAATGAAAGTCAAAGGAATTGCAGGAAAATCAAGAGGGCACTGGAGAGAAACCGAGATGCAGGAAAATGCAAGGGCAGAACGTGAAGAACCGGACAGCGGGAACGAAAAGGGAAAGGAATGCGAATAAAGGAGTCTTCAAGCAAATGAAGGGAGCTGAAACGGCAGTGAAGTGGAAGGAAGCGAAGGGACATGCCAGGAAACTGTCAGGGAAGACATGCAAAGGAAATAAAGTTCAAATCCTCCCGAGAACTAACAGGACTTAGAGGGAAAGGAAATGAAAGAACGGGAAGGGGTGCCCGGTGGCCGGCTGTGTCGCGTCAGCGTGTAAATATATGTATGTATGTATGTATGTATGTATGTGTGTGTGTGCAAAGATATGTTCATCCTCCGGGATGACAATTCCGGAGCCAACCACTTAGCTACCCTCTGTCCAACAATCACTGAAGTGCACAGTGGCTTTGTGAATATAAGGGTAGTCTTGTCATCGCCCCCTTGTGCAGTTCCATGATTGTGCCCATCCGTTCATGGCCAATTCATCCGGTTGTGGGACATATGCCTTTGCCTGTGATGCTAAGAGTGTAACTTCGCCCAAGCTCTGCACAGGTCCTGGCGTCCCTTGCCCTTGGCATTGGCGCAGGCGTTCAGCTCCCCCACGCGGTGCAGGAGCTCTTCCAGCAGCAACCTCCTGCAAGCAACCAAGGATTTTGGTCTTTGACCGTCACCCTCAATCCCAGTCCTTCTTACTAGTCATTGACAAGCACTTTAAGCACGAGGCTGATCGGCTAATCTGCCCTATCTCACTTTTTTAAGAACATCTCCACCTTTTATTGTTGGATCCCAACCCGCCTCCCTTCACCCGGCCGGAAAGCTCTGAGCTTGCGCCACGCACCTAAAATGCGACCCTTGGCGCCTGGGCGAGTGCCGCGCGCAGCTCGCGGCAGAAAACGCCAGGTGCCGCAGCTCGCACTTCCGCGCGGCCCGTGCGGTCTGAGCCGCGGAGACCGCGGCGGCGGCCGCCGGTGCCATTGCCTCTCCAGAGCGCGTCTGCTGGCGCGACCTGCGGGAAGCCAAGGCACAAAGATTCAAACTGACGCCTTCTAAGGAAACGCCTAACCCGACGATCGGGAGAAGTCCCACGGGGAAACACCCACCTGGGGCACTCGCACTCCGAGTCGTGGGAGAAGGCGGAGAAGTCCTCGGCACGGAGGTCCGGATGGCGGTGCCGGTGTGGCAAAGATGGCTCTGTTGCCGCAGAGGCCGTTCGGTCCCGGGCGTGGGCGGAGTCGCTCGGCCTTTCCGTCGGGGCTGTCAGCTGGGGCGGCTGCAGGCCCACCGGCTTCGGGATCAGAGTCGGTTGAGTCGGTGTCGGCGGCTTGCGCCGTGAGTCGCTGGGATACTCCAGCTCAAGGAGCGCCAGCTCCACGTGCACTGCGCGCTCCAGGGGGCGCCGGGCGAAGGTCTCGATGACAATGAGGTCCCGGACGTACGACTCCTCGTACCTCACCCAGGCCTGCTCGAAGACCGACAGCGCCCGCTTCAGGCGCCCAGACACCAACAAGCTCACCTCCCGGCCCGGATGCGCCAGCAGATCGCAGATTTGAAGGAAGCACTTCCTGGCGGAGAGAAGCAACTCGAGCCACCACAAGACCCTCACTTTCCTCAAATCCCGTCCTGAGATGGCGGCCTTTCTGCATAGTAGCCGGCGAGATGTGATGCAGGTTGCCGTTGACCCAAAGATCCGGCTCCTGCAGCATGGCCGCATTGAGGATCTCCGGCCGGTAGTCCAAGTCCTCTCGTGCCCAAAGCAATCATCATGAAACCTCGCTCCCCCGCTAACCCACCCAACAAGCAAGAAAAGCAAGCAAAACAAAGAGAGCAAATTGACAAACAAACCCAACCCAGCCCAATCTAGCCCAACCCAGCTCAGCTCAACCAAGCCAACAGAACAACTCAAAGCTCAGTCATTGCCTCGCGCAGCAGCAGCACGTAGTTCTCGGTGAAGGCGTAGCGATAGCTCCGATCCGCCGGCACTACCTGCAGCGCGTCGCAAGCTTTTCGAACTGCGGGCAGCACCGCCGCGTCCGGGCCGTGCTGGAGGTAGGCGTCCACCAACCGCGACAGCGCGGCAGTGACTTCCATGGCCTCGGAGATCCAAATCGAATATGCGGTCGTAGGTTTGCTGCGGGTACCCAAATTGAGGCTGCTTCAAGAAGAAACCTGCTTCAGACGGAGTTTGGGGGTTTCCGCTTTGGGGACAAACTGAAATGGTCTGGCTAAGGATGAAAATGCGGCACAAACCAGGGGGGTCCCGGCTTGTGAACACCAAGCCGAATCTGACAAAGATATCTGGGAGGACCACACAAAGAACCCCTGTATGCTTGTTGCTGCGCACCACTCGTCATAGCCCAACACAGTCAAGCAAGTCTCCTAGCCTCTCCACAGGAAACCGCGTCACAGTTCATAACAAAGCAACACATAGTCATGTATAATAGAAATATATATATATATATATATGGTCACCACATAAGCGAAACAAGGAAAGCAGTTGGAACTTGGCACACGTCACAGGCGACCCTATCCACAGCGGTCTGAACTGTCCGCGCGCAAGTCTGCAGCCTGAGCGGCGCCAGGGGTGCCAGCACCGGAGCCCATTGCAAAGAGCAGAGAGGAGAGAATGGGAGGGGTCGCTTGAGCGATGATTCCTGTGCTGGGCCGGCAAAGGCGTGAACCAGACCCTGGCCGAGAAGCGAAAAGAGCCCAGCCCGAAAGGATGACCCTGTGACATGGCAATCAAGCAACTTGCATGCTTGTGCTCGGATAGTCACACCTGCCAGAACAGCACCCCGTCCTCTTCTCGCATTTAGAATCATGTAACCCACATCCACCTCACGATTCAACCAGCAGCTTCTCAAACAAACTCGCCAACTCCACAGAGCTGAGGGCGATGCCTTGGGTGGCAGGGATTGCCAGGCTGGCGACTGAGCCGAGAAGCATCGTGACGTGCCATGCTTCCTCTGGGCAAGCTTCTGCCCAAGCCCTACTGGTCCCTTTTAAGACTGGGGCACCAGAGCTAACAGCTGCACCTGGCATGCTTGCAAGGAACCAAACGCAGGGAAGAACATAATGCATATCCAATTGCCCCGAGAACACCCTGCCTCCTCCCTACAGACTCCCGTCTAGCTGTCAGCTGCTCCCTATTGTTCCGTAAATCACATCCCAGGCAGCCCACGAAGCGCAAAGCACAAAGCGCTTGCAGGCTGCTACCCCCACAGCTCACCGGTCGCTGGTGCAACCAGGCAACCAGCTAGTCCCAAATTCGAAGAGGAAATCCGTGCAACGGGCGTCGCACCTGCCGAAGTGTTGCATTAAACACTTGAAATGTTGCGCGATTCTTCATCCAAAGACTCTTCCCGGCGTGCTTACAGATTCAACCAGGAAACCAGGAGACCCAGCCAAAACCTATGGCAGCACCATTTCTTGACCTTCTTCCGACAAGTTTCAGCCACCTCCAAAGTCGCTTGCGGCACATGGATTCCGAAATCATCAGATGGAAACGATACTACCCGTTGCAGGCACTTCCTATTCCTGCACTGAATTTCTGGGCAATCCACTGCAAAAAGCTGCATCATCCAGCACGAGGTTGTGGTGTTGCGAGAGAATCGTGGACGCAAGCTGCCAAAGAGGAACAACGGAGCTGCACTTGCAAGGCTATCGCTGGGTTGGCAGATTGAATTCCGCAGAGCAGCTGCTACGCTCAGAATCCAGAATCCCGCTACTTTGCAGCTGCAAGCATCTCAGCACTTGCCATCAATTCCTCCCGGAGCACAGTCCGCGCCGACCGGCTCCGACCTCAGGCAGCATGAAATGTGTGAGGCCCAGGATTGCCCTCTCAGGATCTCAAGGAGGTGCTTAGCTGAATCATGTCCCTGGCTGGCACTCCCAAGCTTTTTCCTAGGCGCCCTTTGCGCTCAGGACCTTGTCATCCCTGAGTGGAAAAACAATGTGCAGTCATGACCGACTCTAGTCAGACCAAAGCCTCCAAGCTATCCGTGGCAGATCGCACTTGATCCTTCGCCGCATCTTCACCTATCGGAAGGCTCCCCGCCAAAAGCAAGATGTAACTCTTGTCCCCGCGGTTTACCAGCTGTAGATTCGCATAGATGTCCCAGGAGGGGCTCTGCTCTGGGGCCTGGGAGTCCTTGTAGAGCACTCGCCACTGCAGGCGGTAGCTCTCACGCCGTGCCCCATCGGCAGGCAGCGACTTTGCAAGGAGGAGGTCTGCGACCGCCTCTCTGCCTTTCTTTGCGGGCAAGTAGCCCAAGGCCACGGGTCCCGCGATGCTCTCCGCGTCAGTGGGCGACCCAAGGGCCTGCTGCAAGGATTGCCCCGCTGCCGGCAACGCGTAAAGCGCAAGGCTGGCACTGCCTTTGTCGGGCTTGACTGCCACGAGCGGCAGTGGGGATCCGCCACGCGCGCCGCGGCTGGAATAGGCCTGTTCCTCGCGCCGGAAGCGAGAGATCTCCAGGCCAGGGTCGTAGACCCAATCCCCCGGGTAGGTGAAGGTGCAGGACAGGCCATCGATGTAGTGCCGCTTTAGGCCCCGCACCGCGTAGACCCCATCCAGCCTCCAATCCCGCACCAGAGGCGCAAGCGCTTCCTGTGAAAGCAACGCGCTGAGTGACCCAAAAAAATTCGCCCCAAGCGCCACGAACAGAAGCGGCACGTTGACGATCAGAAAGCGTCGGGTCCCACCATACAAGTTCATCACCTGCCGCAAGCTCGTTGGTGGCCAGTTGGCTGAGTTCCAGCCCATCACTTCTGGCTCTGAGTACTGCGCAGGCGGTGGTTCTTCTGTGACCTTTCTCTTTTCAGACTGGCTTTGCTTCTCCTCTCTGGATGCCCTGGCCTTGCGGCCATGGCGGCCATGGCGCCGCGCACGCCATCCACATATCGCGAGCGCGGAAGACGCCGGCCACACCGCACCGGCAAGTGGGACACGGGTGCGTGGGCGTGCGCTCCGCGCCGGCTGATCCGAAGCCGGGCGCCCAATGGCAGCACGGCGCTGCACAGCGCCGAGAATATCAGCGTAAGCTAACACCATGGGAAGGCCGCCCACGGCGAGCAAAGAGCTATAACGGGGGATGTCTCATTCGGACACATCAGCCTCCGAGGCTTCAAACCTAATGGCTTCTACAATGTGCCCAGCTGCTTGTACGCAAGGTTTGCTCTGAGGTGTCTAAGGCGGCAACGCAGGTGGCATTTCCGCCGCACCATGTTCTCACGCAGCTTCCGTTCGTGAGCCGGCATCCTGCGCCAGGAGTTTCAGCAAACGTGAAGCAAGCAACAAGGAACATCCTTGAAACGGTGAGTTTGTGCGCTTGATTTGGGGGAACAGTTTCCCTGTGAGCCTGCAGAACCACATATTGCGCCTCGGAGCCCACAGGGGAGAGCCCAATATGGCCTTTTGCTCCGGAAAACAAGCAGCTACTATTTCATCGGTCGGCTCTTGGACCTTCAACCACCCATTGCTGATCTGAGGCCCGCTGTGGCTCATATTTCTTGAATAAAGAAAGCGAGTTTGTTTGGCGTCGAACCTGCGTGTCATCCTCCAATTGGAAAGGTGAAACTTGTCGATGAACAACAAGTTGAAAGCCTGAATTGCCATTCTATGGGTTCTGGCGGCGAGTTGATTCACATGCAACGGCAAAGGTCCCAGCCCTCTCCCCGATCTAAACTTCAATGCATGCTGCCTTTGCAGTCTCAGAGGCGCCTGGGGCTCTAGTCCGAGCCCATTGCAGAAAGCAAACAAGAGTGGAGAGAAAGGCAGGGGGATGCTTGCTGGACGCTCGAAAGATGGCCCGGCGAGGGACTTGCATCAGTTGTAGTGAGGGTCCTCATCGTTGAACGATGCCTACAACCTATAACACAAGAATGCAGCTGCCCATCCGGTGTTACAGTGTGCAAGCCAGGAATGTAAAAATGCAAAGCTAAAAGCCGCAACATCTTCTCCGGCAAGGATCACCAGGGACCGAGTCGCAAGGTATCGTAAAACGGCATGCTCTCCCTTCGCTTCCTCTCTCTCGCCCGCTCTTCGGCAACGGCGGTCCATCCCCTGTCCATTGCCGAGCCAACTTTGCATGTGTGTTTCTGTGTGTGTATGGCTATCTTGTGTGTGGGTGTGTCCTTGCGTGTGGGTGTCTTGTGACATTGTGTGTGTGTGTGTGTGCGTGTGTCTGTGTTTGTGTTTGTGTGTCTCTTGTGTGTGTGTGTGTGTGTCTGGGCTGCCCCTAGCGGGTCCTCATCATCAGGACATCCCTGAACCTGCACTATGACACTGCGGGGACTAGAACCCTCATTCCACTTTACCAGCCGCCTCGAGCTTTCGCCCTAGCTTTTTCTCAAGGTCAGCTGCTCGCTAACCACTTTAGTTGTGAGACCTGCGCGGAGCCGGCCGCGTGACATCGCTGGGGCCCGCAACGCGCCCGCAGGCAGCGCTGCCCACTCTGCTTACCAGTCACCAGCGTAACCTCGCGCCAAGCGCAACAAGGAACTCCACTGCCTAATCTGCGGGAAGTGCCTCCCACCCCACCCGACAGCCCTCAAAATCACAAAACTGGGAGCGTCTGTCTCTTCACAAGCTAGGCTTTGCGGCTCATAGCAGCACACCATGGCCCGAACCCGCCCCAACTCCAGGCCTTCGGAACCTGTGTAGCGTGCCGCACCGGTGGTGAGGTAGTCCTCGTGAAAAGCTCACATTCCCATCCCTCTGAGGGCCCTGGAACCCAAAGGGCTGACCAATCCTGATGCTAACCCTACGGCCTTAGGGGGGCCCACTACGAAGCCGCCGCCCCCAAAACAAATCACAGCCTATTGAAAAGGTCTTGCGGCACAAAGGCAGCCGCCAGCCTTGGTTGCCGAAGTGGTCTTCTGCCGAGTGGTCTCCAGCTTGGGGCAGTCGGAAATGCGATGCCCCAGGCCGCCACAGTAGGCGCAGCCCTGCGAACCCAATGCCCCAAAGCACCCAAGGGCCGAGGGAAAGACAAGCCCCACAAATTCACTGTACACTGAACTGGGCCCGGGTATGGAAGTCTGTGAGCGGCCGCCTTGACACCGCCAATCTCCTCCTCCTCCCGGCCGCCAGCCGAAGAGTCCAGCTGCATGAGAAACGGAGGCACCTCACACAGGAGGACAGCTGATCTCTTTCCGCGCTCTCGGAAAACACACAAACATCCACAACAACTCGAGTCTCAGCTGGGCACGTGCTGGCCAGCTTCCAACAGAAGCGCCTTCAGGTCCAGCAGGATAGTTTCCTGTCAGGCACCCAGCTCACGCCCTGACCAGCACCGCAAGCGGAACGGAACAGGCGAGCATATGTTTTGTGAAGCGTCGTCTTGGTTCTTGTTGACGAAGGTGGTGGCCACACCAGTTCGTCCACATCTGCCTGGCAATGAGAGCTGGGGCTTGCCCCTACCATCATAATTTGCACCGAAATGCTGACCAGCGGTGGTTCCCCTTCGGTGTCGAATTAATTCAAGCTTAAGTTCTGGCCTGCCAAGTTGCTGCCCCCGTACGATATGAACCAGGCGCGCCTGTCCGGCCGATGCGGTGCACATAATTCTCGATCTCTTTTGGCATATCGAAGTTGATGACCTCAAGAAGCTTGCCAAAGGCGCATGTGGCCGACAACCCTAACTTGAAATGAACTTGCCTGAGAAACCCACACCGCAGGTGGCTTCGCTAGTTGTTTTTTCCCTTTGACATAACTGGAAGAAAAGGACACATGCCGGAAACAAAGTCCCCAGCAAAATGGCATGTTTCCACAGCACCCCCTTGAATTGCATGAGGAAACATCCCAGGCCTGCAGGCCAGCTGCTTAAATGCCCAGCCCTATGCACTGAGAACCGCCAACCATTTGGCGCGCGATGGGCCCTGTGACAGACTTCGGATAGCATTTCGGTCTTGCGCTGGCACTCATCGCGACTGCCAGCGGAGCGGCGTGCTGGATGGCCGGGAAGTCCAAGCCCTTGGAGGCCACGTCCGTGCCAATGAGCACGTCCTGCGCCCGCCCCGTTGCGGCGCGTCATCGGATTGATTGGGGCCATGACATCTGCTTCGAGTCACTCCGTTTCAGGCTCGGCAAAGGCCGGCGCTAAGAATTGATATTAAATTCCTATTCCAGGGCTCAGCCTCGAACAAAGAAAACGCCAACTAGGCAACCAGACCCTATCCTATCATATCCTAGCACCAAGCAACTCACACAAGGCTGCTACAGCCTTTCCGCCACCATGAAAGGGAGGTTATGGCAACCTCAACACTCAGGAAAATGCAATCGCAGTGACAAGAAGATAGCAACATATACACAGCCTGTCCGTTTCATTGAAATGAGGCCAAGAAGCAGAAAGGGAACCAAAGGATCAGCCCCCTCCCTGCCCGCGCCTTGGAGCCCTCCTTAAAGGATCTGATTGCCTCGTGCCGTTCCTCCTGGTCCAGGCCTCCGTGGATTGCCACAACCTGACGGCCGAGCTCGCCCGAGCCGCCCCGCATGGGGAGGGCCCCTTGCCAGGCCGGAGGGCCGAAGCTTAACAAAACAGTCTCTTGAATTCGGATCCCGGTTCTGAGCTTCCGAGATTGATCATCAAAACATTGTCACAATTCACATACGAGTTTTGCGCATCAGTTCATCTTGTTTCGGCATCAGCTGAGGGCACAGGAGCCCTCGAGTAACAGGACCGGCCTCCACTGCTTTCAAAAGGAGATACTCATGCACGTCGTCAACATCAGACTTGTTCTCGCAGAAGATCAAGACCTCCATTTGCCAGCTCTTACGCGCATTGTGACACTGCATTGTTCTGACAACAGCCAACACGTTTGCGCTGTTGGCTGGTCCTACCCTGCGTGGCTTAACGGCAAGGCACCGGGGGTGGTGTCTTCTGCAAGCACTTGAGGAGGTACACCAGCTTTGCCTCCTGCTTGACGTACCTCACTTAAAGAATGAGTTGGAGCACGGTGTGTTTGCCCTGTTAGCCTGCTTGTTGCTGTCGCACTTGAATGCATTTGTGTCATCAGCAGTGTTCCAGTAACTTATTGCAAGGTTCTACAAATTGTTTGCCGGAGCCTCTGAGCATCCCAGGACACAAACCCATGCTGCTCTCTCATCAGAACTTGAGCAATTGAAAGTGGTGCGATGCGTGCATGTCTGATGCCGGTTCTCGAAGTTGCCACCGGGGCGCTCGACCTCCTGGATCACATCCAAGTTTGCAGCACCTGCGCGTCCGACGTTAATCACCACCTCAGGTGTCAGACCCACCGCATCCAAAGCAGAGCACCCACGCCAACCCCGGCCAACCCCAGACTAAACCCCAAGGCAGAAATACGACTGTCACACTTATCCCTCATTTACTCCTGCCTGGGTGTTTCAAAAAGAGTAGTATGGTCTAGGGGCCTGAAGCTTGCAGCTGAGGTGCCGCATCCACCAGCGCAGTCTTGGCGAAGTCCTCAAGGTGGACTGCACCGTGGGCTATGCTCAAAACCATGACTCTTGACTGGTTACCTGGTTGCGTCGTCCTGTGGGCTACATCTATGAACTTTCTCCCTCTCTCTCATGCGCAAGATGCATCACATGTGATGGTATGTTGACAAAGCTACATTGCAATACACAAGCTAGGCAAGGACGAAACTGAACACATTCGTATGTACACAACGACACGCGTACACATTGCCTTCATACCACGTGACTCAAATACATTGCATGAGCTTGCACTAGATTGAATGTTTGCACACGACGCAAGTTCATATAATAGAGTGTCGCGGTGCCTTACCATGCGCAACATCTTTTCCTGGTTCACTTCCACTGCATCCGTACAGCTTGTGCCTACGCCGCGCCTGGATCTTCTTGGGCATGGTTGCGCTAAAGAGGAGAGTTTGCCGCTGGCCTGGCGGGGGCTGAGGGGGGGCTGGGTGGGGGGTGGGTGGGGGCTGGGTACGGTGGATTCCTTCGCAAAACAGGTAAACTGAAGCAAATCAGAACATTCCAAAAAAAACAAAGTTCCCCTTCCTAACTTGCGGCATGGGCATGAACTATAGGCGAGTGCCTCGGTAGTGGTCCAGGGTATTTCGGATCTCCTCCTCAAAGCCCAGGTCGATCATGCGGTCTGCCTCGTCCAGAACCAGGACTTGGCACCTGCGTCTGAAGGAGCCAGCCCCATGTGGGCTCGCTACTCACTGTTCCAGAAAATCATTGAACCCCAGAATAGCTTCTGCAACGTGCCACAACAACAGTAACACGTCTGCGGTGCCGGAGGTGCAATCTCTTGGCACCTCTGGCTTCAAGCGATCTAGGCCTCAGGCTGTGCCAAAGACATGCGCTTCTTCTGCAGCAGGTCGTTTAGCCTACCCGGCGTTGCCTTGGGCGTCATGCCGTTGAGACACTCATGCCATGGACCCGGCAAGGCTTGCACAAACTCACAAGCGCTGGCAGTGGCAAAAATAATGCCGTCTTCCAAAACGCCTACGTCCCCACCCATGGGAGGCGGCCCCTGTCCACTTGCGGCCGGGATGGCCACAACCATGTGGCAGCCCTTCTTGATGGCCATGGCTTGGGTGCCTGTGCTGAGGCCACCAATCGTCAGCACCTTGGCACGCAAACCTAGCAGAGTGGCGGGCGTGGGGGCATGGAGGGATGCCCCCAGGTTCTATTTTGCAATGCGAGATGCCCCCCTAGGCGTCCATGGCACCAAACTGAACGAAAGAGATGCTTCGGTCTCTGACTAATGGGCAAGCCGGTGCGGGTTGCTCAGTAGCGTGTCAACATCCCGGGGCCCGTCAGTTCAGCCGCGCTACTGATCTGAGTTTGGGGAACTCCTTGTGGTATTCAGCAAGGTGGTCCGTGTAGAACTCGATGACCTGGCGCGCGTGGCCCGCCCAACCTCCCGACTGCGGCCTCAGGGCACCGCGCCTCGTACGTCTGGTGCGCTAGCTCTCGCGAAGGCGCGATGATCAGCCCAAAAGGGCCCTCTGTGGGCTGCACCTTGGAAAATCCCTAGGTGTGACGACAAAATTAGTTGCCTTTTGCAGCCTAACGATAAGACGGGTTGCATTGACTTTCTGCATGGGGCGTAGGAATGTCGTGTGGGAGGTTTGTCGGAATCTTGGGACTTGCAAGGCACGGAGCGCCGCCCCGTCCCCGTCCCCGTCCCCTTGGGACGCCGAGCTCGTGCCCTAAGCTCCTGCTCCAGCGCGCACATGATCATAGGCAGGCCGAACCTGCAGAACTTCCGGTGCCCACTGCAGCCGGCGACCTCAGCCCTGAGGCTGGGGCACGAGGGTTTTGCCACTGCCAGTGAAGGCGATTCCTGAGATGTGAGGGCCGAGTGGCCAAACTGATCGGGCGCCCTGCTTCGACTCATTTCTTTGAGCTTCGAACAAAATAGCGGTCCAAAACATCTGCTGGCCGCTCTTGGAATCAAGTGAGGGCAACAAGAAGCTGAGGGCAGACTAGGCTCCAATGATGTCACGGCCCATGAGGCCTGCAGGAATACCTTGCCTCAGAGCAGCAGGCTGCAGCACAACCATCCGCCACAATTCTGAAACCGGCCACTGCCTGGAGGACTATCCCTGAAATGTCAGCTTTGTCTTCCCACCCCGGAAGCCCGGAAGCCATGGCACATCTGGATCTGCGTGGGCCGCATGATGCCTTTCGCTTTCAGGCCTACGGAGAGGCAAGGCCAAGCGACAAACAACTCGAGCAGCGCTCCGACCTTTGAGACGTGTTTGACACAAGCCGAGCGGGTGACAACTGTGCAGCCGCATACGTCTCTGCACTGACCGCATACATGACAAAGTCTTTGAGCAACCTGATGCGAGTTTCATCTCAGGTCTCATTATACACATACAACTGCCATGGCTGAATGGAGACAGAAGGGAGGCACGAGAAAAAGGATCGCAGAAGGAGGAGAGAGAAAGATTCTAGCAAACGAAGCAAATTGCAATCTTGGCCTCACGCCCAAGAAGCTAGCACAAAGGAAACAGGAAAAACGGACCCCGCGGAGGGGTAGACAGTTGTCACCACAAAACTATTGGGCTCCCCTCGGTTTGAGCCTGCGGTAACAATGTGCAGCTCGCAGACTGGTCATGTGACATGGGAGAATGAGTGCTCTGTTTTTCTGGTGTACTCCAAATTTGGTGGCGCGTCGCCGTCAGGTCACTACCCCACATTCACAATAGACCAGACAAGCGAAGAGAACAATCAAGTACTGCAGTATACTGCAGTAATTAGTATTGTGTGATACACTCTTTCCGCCTCAAATTCTGCCCCTCCGGCCTTCCAGGATGCCTCGGGGCAAACGCATCTCCTGACATGCGCGCGCGATTGTCCCACGCAAGCCGCGCGCGCCCTTGGCCCTTCCTCGAACTTCTTGATAGGTGAAGGGATGTCATTCCCGTTGACCTGACAGACCGCCGCTCAAATGCAAAGCGCCGGCGACTCACGTCCCTCTGCCAAATCATTAAAACTGCCGCCCAGAAAACGACTCTGTGCCGGGAATTGGTGGCTTTGGGTTGGTTTGGGTGGTGCTAGAGCGTTTGAATGTCTACGCAGTGCTCACTTTGATCGCCCTTTTTGCATCCTCATTTCTTGCCCCTCGCGGAACAGATTTGTCGCACAAGTTCATGGTTGACGCCTAATGAGCTTCTGTTTGACGGCCCCAAAGTATGCTCTTTCTTGACATTGCCCCAGATGTAATGAAGCCAAGAGAGCTCTGGCGACAGTGGCGAGATGCGCAGCAAGCTCTAAACTTAATGCTTCTACCTTCGCCAGCAAGAGCACAAACACTTCAAACAAGCATGCGCGACAGCTGCTTTATGGAAAGCCAGCCAAACGTGAAAAGCTGCAATGCCTGCCCGCCATTCTCAAAGCGCTAGATGTGCCAGCTTTCGACAGAGAATCTCGCAACATCCCCTCGTGTGCCTCTATGAAGTATTTCTCACGGATGGATACCCTCTCCGCCTCCGGCAAGTCACCTTAGATTGCACGCCAGCGTCCTGAACCTACCTGCCAGAAGCAAAGGGCCACATTCATGGGCCCAGGGAGCCAAATGCCAAGCTGCGATACTTTTGGATAGGCCGCCAGTCACCAATGGCAGGCATCCTGCACACGGCCATGGACAGGCAAATCCTAGAGCCTCTTTCCCCTGAATTCAGTCACACGGCCTACTTGCCAGTGTTTGGCCCGTCCTCTCTTTGTAGACGATACCCTTGGCCCGCTCACGAACCTCGGTCGACATCGTGCAGGGGGCTTACACGACAGAAAGCGGGATCTTATGAAGCCACATCCAACCTGCGGCAGATCTCGGCAGCCCAGCAGACATGAGCGGAGTGCTCATCTGTAGCTGAACCTGCTCGAGTAGCTGATCCTGCGCCATGAGGCACGGCAGGCTGCATGTGGCCAGCTTGCTGAATGTGGGTCAAGTTGCCACCTCAGACATGTATCTCCACCGCGCGAGTCAACAGCGAAAAAAGCGAACCTCTACTCTAACTCTGACCAGCCCAGCGAAAAGACAAAGCAAACGCACTGTGAAGAGCAATCTCACCTGAGAACTTGCCATCTGCAATTGCAACCTGCCACCCCCGCAGATTTCAACAGCTGTTTCTTTCTGTTGCCTGGACCATAGAACCCCGTTGGCCGGCAATAAATACGTGTGGCAACTCATGCAGTGAACATGGCTCTGCTGGAGGTCCTCTTCGTTCCTGATGCTTTCCTTGATGGCCTGCTCTCGCGAGTCCTGACGGCAAGCTGAGCCTTCAAGCCCGTCTCTCCAAGAATGAAGGTAGGTCGGTCAAAGCTTTTAGGCTCGAGGGGACCTTTGCAAAAACTCGGACTTTCATGTGAGAGGCGGAAAACAGATCACGTGCATGCAAGCTCAGGCCTGCCAGCCTGGGTTGCCCGCCCAGCCTTGTTAGCTTCTTCCTCTGCTTTCAGCTTCGCAGAAACGGCCAGCAAAGAATTTGCCTGGGACATTTGCTGATTTCCGGGGGGATGGCCGAATGCTTCAGCAGCGCCATCAATAGCTCAGTGCCCAGCGATGCCGCGCTTCTTCTTTTCCTGTTTGGGCTGAGTGACGAGTGAGCGAATCAACAGAATCAATACCCTGGCAGGCCATCTGCCTGAAAGCCTCCTAGGCTGCGTCGATGGACAAAACAGTGCCGGCCTCTGCTAATCGCTCTCGCATGATGCGTTCAGCTTCTTCTCGCCTCTCTTTCTGCCTCCCATGCTTGTGCACATCACCGTGCAACGAGTATGCTCATCAGAGCCAACATCACCCATGTACAAAAAATACAAGACAAATCACCTCTGATAGGCGCGCATCCCATCAAATTCCGGCGACAGCTATTCCAACCAGGAGCTGCTTGGCGCCTGTCTGTCACGAGCTTTTCTTTCATGGCCGCCTGCAAGGGTCAGGTGGTGCTGGCTTGGGTGGGTGTCGATTGAGTTTCAGCATGCACCCGCCCAACAATCCGCTGGATTCCACAGTAGAAGTCCAATCGTAGGAACGGAACCCTGAAACGGTTGTTGACTGCCTATCTTTCGCTTGCCATTTCTAAAGGGGGCCCAGAAGAGGACGCGTCCAAGAGGTCGCTCTGGTACTCCAAGTCTTCTGCCCCGCGGCCTTTCTCTTCTTCACCGGCACGTAATCTTCATATTCTTCATCTTCCTCAGTGTCCGGCTTGTGAGCTCCACGCAAGGCACTTGGAATACCGTCACAAGTTGGTGGTCCACCTTTAAATTTGATGGCCAAGAGTCATCTGGATTCATCGCCGGCCCTGCCTCCTCCTCATCTATCACACGCTTTCGCCTGGAACGGTGCGCACCCCGGGTGTCTTGTGCCATTGCCAGAAACAGCTTGCAATCGCCACATCGCCGGCTGAGGCTACAGGCGCAGCGGCGCTCACCATGAGGCCTCACCAGGCTTCAATCACCAGTCCCCGCCAAAGCTTGGCGCCGCACTGTCGTGCCCGCCTGTGCACTGCCCGCGGCTAAACCATGATGGAACTACAGCTTTGCAGCCAACACGGAGGCAGCGCATCGCACCATGGCAAATCAATGCGTGCTCATGCCGCATACCTGGATGGATTGCCCGAACAGCACACCTCTTCCAGATCATCCTTACATGCCCTGCCCCAAAATAGGCCAAACAACAGTCCAACCTATCCGTGGCCCTGCCAGACGATCCAGTTCCATGCCCCAACTCTCCGCATCTCTCCCACTTTTTCCCGTTAGTAGGGCGTAAAGAGCGTGGCCGCCACGGGCCCTTGCTGCAGGTTCCGCAGCAGCATCTGGCCATCTTGCCAGGAGATCTCGGCGCAATGTCTTTGGAGACGGACTTTAATGGAACAAGTGTCATCCTCTGTGCTGAGCATGGTGGATGCAGAGAGGAAACTAAAAAGATGTAAGCCATACATGTTACTTCATGATGCTACTTCCATTGCATATCACGTTGCGTTGCATCACATTGCACCATAATTACAGTGAATGTGTGCATGTTTACCGTGGCAAGTTAGCAAGTTATATCAAACACAAATGAATTTGGGGGCACTTATGACTCATAGCGCTCGTTGGTTAAGGCTGTGGGGCCTCTGCACGCTGTGCGGTTGAAACCGTCCCGTCACCTGGCGCAGAATCGCAGCCAGGCGGCCATTGTTGCCGGGATGCGTACCTGCCAGAAACGCTGAGGCCAGGCAATGCCAAAATTGAACAGAAACAAAAAGCTCGCCCCGCCTCGTTGCCGCCTCCACGCTCTTGATTGGGGCAGGTCATTACCTGCACCGTGCTCTCACTGGCCCTTACTGGTGCCCACACCTTGGAGTGTTTGCACAAGAGGCCAAAGCATTCTGCCAGTAGGGTATCAAGCTGCGCCTGAAGATGACGGTCATGGTTCTCCGAGTTCATCATGATGACGCCTGTGCAGCGCGGCAATTGCTGGCAAAACTGAATGAGACAAGAAACATCCGCCTGCTGCTCCTGCCAGCTGGGCCCGCAATAACTTCCTAGGGACACGATCTGGCGATGATCGGGCAGCTTGCCAGGCCCTTTCAGCCAAAGCAAGGAAAACGGCCTTGCTGCCTGAAAGCCATCAAACGTCAAAAGGAAAACAATGCCTAACTTGTCCTCACACGATGAAACGTGTGCTAGTTTCCCTCCGCGCCACCGTTCAAAGGGGCCATGTGCGTGGCTCACCTCAAAAGCAGGTCGCATCGCCAAGCGGCTGCACAAAAAGGCAGCTGCCGCGGGAAATGACCACCAAACGCCCACCGTAAGTGGCCTGCCGCCGGCGCAAAAAAGGCGAAGGTTTAGGAGTCCGGGGTGCCAAAATTGCAAAGGCTCAAAAGGATGTAAAGTATTCCTTGCCTACCTAACGCAAGCAAACCAAAACGAGAAGACCCCTCCCCATACTATCAAGGAACCAAAGGCGCTCTTGATGCGTGCGACTTCTGTGTTTCAGCGCGTTAGCGCACTGCAAAATGCCTGCCGTCAGGAGTTGCGCTATTGTGCGAGCCGCATTGGACCGATCGGATCCCTCAACTGCTTTCGCGAGTGCCCGCCCGCTTCCGAGCTCTAAAACCGAAACGTCTCCCCAAGAAAACGCCCCAAACCAAGATCTTATTCCCAACAATCCCAAAACAAGCCCTCCAGAAGGAGGGATGGCCACCAATCAGCCCTCCCCAACACCTCCAGGGACTGGGGGGCGCGGAGATCACTGCAGGCAGTCAGCGGCTCGGCCTGGGAGTTTTGCACCGGATTCCGGTGACCCCGTGCCGAAGCAGCGAAACCAACCATGGCGTTACCGCATTCTTTGAGTCCATTGTCCTAAACCGACCATGGTGTATCCCGCGAGTGGAAACCTTTGGACTCATGTGACAGTCTTCGCAGGGCCGCTGGTGCCGCTTTTGCCCTGTTCCGAAGAAGCGCTCTGGGTGCCTTGTGCCCCTTGGCATGGGCGCTACCACCCACACACAGGTCAAACGAGCAGAATGAAAGGTTTGCAGGTTTGCAGGTTTGCAGGGTGTCAGGATTGCAGGCCTGCCCACAGTGGGTCTCAGCTGCTTTCCTCTTGCCGAGGCAAAAGAGCCGGATGGCTGCTGTTCGCTGTGAGAGATACGCCAGAGCGTTGCCAACAGAGCTGGCACAAAGCAACGTTACCTCCCCTACACTACTACATGCTTTACACATGGTGAAGCCTCCAAAAGTCACCGCCCCTCCGCATGCGGACTCTTGTCGCCATGGCCGTTGTGTGGGGATCGCAGTTGGGTGGGGCGGCGATGCTATACACATGCCCTCCGCTCTCGGGCGGGAACGGCACCTGGAGGATCCCCTTTGGCTTTGCGCTTGTCGCTCGGCAGGGGAGTTCGCGGCTGCGAAGGGCTGGAGCAGCTCAGAACGAGTCTCTGCTTCGCCGGCCGGAAGCGGGCCACCTTGGAAGCGCGCGGCATGCGCCCTGAGACGACATGCTCAAGAACGCGCCCCATTCTCACCAGCACAAGTAGGCCATGCCGTGCAAGCAAGCTTTGCTCTGCTCTGTTCCAGTATCCGCCCAGAGTTGCATCCAAGTGGCGAGATGTGGTCCTCTATGCCAAAAATGCGAATTCAGCCTCGGCATCAGCTTCCATGGGTTTGCTTCCTCAACACCGATTGGACTTCACCAGGCGTGGGCCATGAAGCCCGCTCGCCAAGTATGGCGAGCCTAAAATCGCACCTAACCAGTGCTCACTGGATCAAGTGGACATACAGATACACATACACACAAGGCTTGATGGAATCTGGCCAACCCCAGTTCTTGTCTTGCACTGCTGGCGTGACGCTTTCGGCCACATGCTCTTGTGAGTAATAAAGATGCTAAGAAAGCAGCAAGTTTCTCCAGTCAAGTCAGGACATGCCGCACAGTCAGGACATGCCCACCTAAGACCTATTGAATGTACGCAAAGCACTTTGCGCGGATGGATGTTGCGGAATGATTGGTCAGCACAAACTGTGTATTTGCTATGCTGCTACGTCAAAGCAAGCCCCAACCATCTTCGGCTGTGCGCCCCTTGCGAGCCAACCCCCCTTCCCCCACCTCAAAGGAAAAAAGAAAAGAACACAAACACAAACAAAACAAACAATGGTGCGTGCAATGCGACTGTACTGCAGCTATCAAGCCGGTGACCACCACGTGCACTCAAAACGGCCCAAAATCGATCGTGGAAACAGCACCTCCAACCGTCCCACCACACTCCCACCAAACTCAGGAAGGTCAAAGGTCTCGCTCTCTCTCTGTTTCTCTCTCTCTCTCTCGATAATATATGTTTGGGCATCTTTTGGGGGGGTTGCGCTAAAGAGAAGCCAGAAGGAAGCCCCTACTGTGACGCACTCCCATGCAGCTTTCTTGCTAGCATCACGTACCATCTTCAGCCAGGCATCAGTGTAGAGGCGCCTCGCACTCCACACTGAGCATGCCTCGAAACATCCATTGGACCAGAGATCCCTTTGAAGCGAATCCAAAAAGCGGCCGTGTACACAAGTAGTGGTCAAAATACGTTCAAACAGGCGAGTTGGCCTCACCCCAGGACCGACCCTATGGCTCAAGCGAAACCAACTGGGGAACTGCCATGTGGAACTATATGACTCTCAGCTCAGCTCGGTGTCTCCACTGCATGCGGACTCACAAAAGAAGGACAATGTGAGGCTCGCAAAACTGCAGGCTGAGGCCCTGGCAAAGCGGATGCTGTGACTCCTGCCGTTACCTGCGCTGCGCCGGAGTTGCACGGCCTTGGGCCCTGAGGCCCTTTGCTTCTTGCCACTTGGGGCTGAAACGCGGAATCGTGACCTATGAAGGGCACCTCACTTGCCCATTGATGCCGAGATACTCTACAATGGTAGCGCTGCCGAGCGCTGCTGGCGCAAGTGAGCAAATATTCCAAGGAACGTGGCAGCTCCTCTCACCTGCCAGCAGCGCTGGGCTGGCTACCATGCAGAAGCCTCAGTTCGGGCAAACATGGCGCTGGATTCAAGCTGCTCAAGTTGGGCACTGTGATTGGCAAAACGGTTGCCCTCGAAGAGACAAGCCCAGTTTTCATGCCAAGCTGCACGGCGAATTCCTGAGCAAAAGCCACAAGTCTGAGTCAACGCCCCCTGCCCCCCAAAAACCGACACGTAGAAGAGGCAGATCAGATTGAAAAGGTCCCCGAGCCGGCTGCCAAAGTATCAAAGCTAGAAACCACTGATGCGCGGCTCACGTTGGCAATCTCCAGTGTAAGAAGCACCAGAAAATATCCAGATGGAAAACAAAACGAGGCAGATCGCTGGCAACATGACTGACAGTCTGACTGCGATAGCTGTTATGCATCTGAGTGGCACTGCTTCGTCTCAATAACCTCCACGCCCACGGTCAACGAGCCACCTGCCGGCCGACGGTCGCTCGCATGCGAAGCAATGTGCCCATCAACCCTTGAGCGGCACAACCTCCACCAAAAGCTAAGCAACACCTTAGCCCACGAGGGCTTCCGCCTTCCACTTCCAGCCGCCAATCCCTGGGCAGCTCCACTCGGCAGGCGCCCTCTCCGGCACAAGCTGTCACTGGCTGCAGCCGCACCTGGGGGATGGATTCAGATAGATGAGACAGGTCTTGCATGGGCCCCGAAGGCAATTCGACACTGGTACAAGGTAGTGAAATGTGTTAGAGTTGCCTCTAAACCTTGATTCTGACCACCTTGTCGCAATGCTCTACTACATCTCTGCTTGGGAATTCACCTGCTGCATGTTTTCTCACAATCTTGACCAAGGAGCTCTTCTTAAACAGGTCTAGTAACTGGGCACATACATGCGGGTGTTCTCTGCATCTGTGACCTCTCGGCCGTCAAAGAACAAAGCCGCAACAAGGGAGCCACAGAATAATCTGCGTCTGTTTTGTGGGACAAGGTGTTGGTCATGCATTGGGCTAATCCTGAACATGAAAGCTGCAACGGTGGTTAACATGAATGCACGCAGGAAGCTACAGAATCTTTACGGCGTGGCGGCATGCTGGGGGACAATGGCGGGGAGGGGGGATAACGCTCGAAAACGGATTCAAGTGCTGAAACTCTTACATACCTTAGCTGCAATCTGGCCAGCCAATAACGCAGACACGCACAAACAAGCGGGCAATCTCGCTGTCACGAAGGTCAGCTTCAAAAAAAAAGAAGGCAAAGTGGCCCGATGCAGCGTGGAGCCATAGGCATGCAAGCGGGACCTCTACACGATAGCAGAACAACACACACACACAGACAAAAACACACACAGACACAGACACAGACACGGACACAGACACACACACACACACAGACACACAGACACACAGACACACAGACACACAGACACACAGACACACAGACACACAGACACACAGACACACAGACACACAGACACACAGACACACAGACACACAGACACACAGACACACAGACACACAGACACACACACAGACACACAGACACACAGACACACAGACACACAGACACACAGACACACAGACACACAGACACACAGACACACAGACACACAGACACACAGACACACAGACACACAGACACACAGACACACAGACACACAGACACACAGACACACAGACACACAGACACACAGACACACAGACACACAGACACACAGACACACAGACACACAGACACACAGACACACAGACACACAGACACACAGACACACAGACACACAGACACACAGACACACAGACACACAGACACACAGACACACAGACACACAGACACACAGACACACAGACACACAGACACACAGACACACAGACACACAGACACACAGACACACACACACACACACACACACTCACACGCACACGCACACGCACACGCACACACACGCACACGCACGCGCACACGCACGCACACACACACACACACACACACACACACACACACACACACACACACACACACACACACACACACACACACACACACACACACACACACACACACACACACACGCCGCAACCCAGCAAGGTGTCAACATTCCAGCTGAACGAAGGTGCAAACTCAAGCAAGCAGCAAGCTACACAGCCCCATGCGCGAGCCTTGCCAACTGTGAAGATCAGCGTCAAGGGCTCCGTTGAAGTGCGTTCTCCTTGCAAGACTGCACTGCATCTTCCCAAATGATTGCATGCTGGTCTAAGTAAACGACCTGCACATTCGCAACATAGTCAACCTTCGTGCCTTGCTGTAGCAAAGGCAGGACAGCGTAGTGTTGACTATTTACCATGCGGCTGAGCCATGATTCCCCGCAGCTGCGAACATAGTGGGCGGTGGCATGCCAAGCAACTGCAAGCTACCATGTGGATGGATGGATGGATGCATGCGTGCATGCATGCATGGATGTACGGATGGAATGGTCCCCCCACACAAGCAGTCACGAACTCCCCAAACCCAGCCGCGCAAGGCTGCACCCTACAGGTCAAGTACCGAAAGGGCCCAGAATGGGTGTCCAAAAAGATTCTTTTAAGCTGCGAGGACAAGTCTGCACAAGGCTTTGCCGGCAGGCTGTGGAGGCAGCCGGAAGCAAGTGGCCATCACGCATCCCCGTCCTGCGAATTTCAGCTGCAAGGCGCCAAAGCGCGGATGGCGCTCGGCGCTCTTCTTGCACTGGCGGCACCCAAAAGAAATGTCCAGCAGAAGGGCAAATGTGGCGTTACAAACAGTACAGTACTTGATGCCTGCTCAGCGGCTGGATGTCAACAACAAGATCAGCATGGCGCTCAGAATCTGCTTGCGCATCCTGAAACACGGGTGAGCAGCACCGAGCCTTCTTTGCCTTCTTCGCCTGGAAGTCATGCAGCCACTTCCTGGGCGAACGTCGACTCGGTCATGGGAAAACTCCCTCCAAAGTATGTTTGTCAAAAATGGAGAAACAAAAACTAGGCAGGTTTGAAAAATGGAAGCAAGTGGCATAGGATGTTCTTTGTTGTTGTTCAAGGTTTTGTGTTGGTGGTGCTGACATGCTATTGTCAAGCCAGGGCTGGGGGTTAGGGTGGGTTTAGGTTGGCTTGGCTTGGGTGGCTTTCAGGAAGCCGAAAGCCACGAAAACATACAAAAACCCGCGCAGAGTTCCACCAAAAGGCTGCCGAAAGGCCGCCAAAAGCCCGGAAAACGGGCAAGCCGAAAGCCTGGCAGGCCGCGAACAAAAGGCTTGGCTTCCGGCACAATCCAAAGAAACCCCCCCAGGCTTGGGCCGGAGGCGCTCCCCTGGGGAGAAGAGCAGGCGCAGGCCCTCCGCCAGACCCGACAAGGGCGGCGACACCAGCGCGGACCCACAGCTCACCCGCAGCTTCGCCTACTCCAAATCGGTCAAAACTCCCAAGTGGGTCGCAGTTTTTTGGTGGAGAGCCATATTGCCTTGGTACCTTTAGAATTGCAAACTCCAAAGAGGTGTCTGGTGGTCACTCAACACGCAATATGTAGGAATATCGGTTGCTCGGGGCTTAAAATCTGTGTGGACAAATTTCGAGATCATTGGTCATGACCATGCTTACCTCTACAGGCAGGAACACCCTTCATAATTGTTGTTTGCATTCGGCATTCGAGGGGATGATGACCGTTCCTATTGACCCTGAGGGGCGGAATTGATGCTTCCCCAAGCCACCCCTGAGGAATTCTCCTCGGTACCCAGCCCCCCCAACCCGGAAACCTCGTAGCCATTGCGTTTGTCGCTTCAAACCCAAGCCCAACTCGGCACTCCAATGGCTCACCTCAGGGTTGGCAATCGTCCACGTCGCCGTGACACCCTCCAGCGGGCTACTGGAGATGCTGAAGCTGGGGTTCTCCATTTCGATGGTCAAGCCAGGGTTCTCCGTTTCCTGGAAAGAAACAGCCAGAGAGCGCAACAACTCAGCCCCAGAAGTGTCCCCAACTGCCTGGCTCAAATGTCCATTCTTCGAAAACCTATCCCAGAACCGCCTTATTCCAAAGGTTGGCCAAAACCCTGTAGACGTCATGGGCGAAAGCTGCCCGCGTTCGGATGCCCTAACAGGTCCCCCTCAAACACAAAGGGAGACTCTTCAGAACTTCAAATGTCTTATTGCCAAACAAATCATGTTTGAATCCCCCAGAAGGAGGGACATATGAGTTGGTAGGTGGTTTATCCCATCCATGGAGTTTCATTGCCTGGTGCGGGATTTGGTCCACGCCTCATCGCTGGGCTCCAAGCCAGGCGGCGGGCACGGCGCCAGACCCGGCGGCGTCATCTGAAGGGAATTCCAAAGGGTGCGTCTGTCTTGTTGAAGTACCAAGGCAGGGCTGGGCCACCCGCATACCGTGCCCATACCTAAATGTTGTGAAGCACCTGTTTCAGCAATCTCCTTCTCCCCTTGGGCCACTTCCATGCCAAGCCGCGGGAGGCGACAGCGGAGGCGACAGCGAACCTGGTGAGGGCAGCGGCGACATGTAGGAGAAAGCCGGTCCTGCGTGCCGGAACGCAAAGGGGGCAGCCGAGAGTCGCAACCCGGCAACAGTTCTACCGGAGTCATCCCTACGTGGTTGGTGGAACGACGTCCCCGTTACACACCACTTTTCAACTGGCAATCCAATTGCAGTGACTTAACCTCTCTTTGAGGAGAATCAAACTAAATGAGCCAAAGAGAAACCAAGGAGGCCAAATCAACGCCAAACCGGAGGAAACCAAACCAAATTGCAAAACCAACTCGAAGCCAAACCCGAGGGAAACCAATCACTTCACCCTATTTTCAGGTTGGCACCCTGAGGGTCAAAGAAAACGAAGCCGAACGGGGCGGGACGAGCCCAAGTTGCCGGAGAGGGCGCCATGCCTCGAGCGACTCGAGCCCGGCTCCGACCCATTTCGGGATGGGCCTTCCGAGCAGGCCGTAGACTGCGGGGAGTCCAGGGCGATCTTCAGCGGCTCCATGGACCTTCCGTCCGCCCCTGAGCCCCGAAAAGTAACTCAGACCCCCTCAGTAGCAGAAGCGACGCCAAGAGAAAACCGTTGCCATTGCGGGGACCACGATTTTGAGTGCCGCCCCCCAAAACCCCTCCCCCACAACCCACATGGGTTTTGAGGCACAACGCGTGTGGCGGACCAAGGCTGCGGCTGCCACGGCGAAAGCGCTGGCGGCTGCTTTGGCTTTTGCTGCTTCCGGTTCGTGCCCTCAATCTTCGGGTCCAACTTGGCCGCGCCATGAATTTCCTCATAAGCCAGTGGCTGAGCATGAGTCTCAAAACGGAATCAGCACTCAGCAACCTGGGGCGTCCTGGCTGATGTCCCTGATCATGGCTGCTTGAGCGGCCGCAATCTGCTGCAGGCGCCGGTTCTCCATCTGGGCGCGGTCCCCCGGCATGAAACAGCGCTCTACAAAACAAATTGGTGCCCAGCGCCTGCTTTGACAACTTTCACTTGACGCTCGTGTTGTTGAAGATTAATTACATGCTCCCAAGCAAGGCAACAAACAAGCCCCATCCTGCCTCCATCGCAGCAGCCCACTGCATCTGCTGCATCTGCTGCATCTGCTGCATCTGCTGCATCTGCTGCATCTGCCACATGGCGAAGGCTGAAGGCTGGATAGTCTAGGGGCTTGCTGCAGTGCTCTTGAAGCCCAGATTTCGAGCGGCGCGAAAAATGCTGCCGGCCTCCATGGTTCGAGTTCTCCCGAGGCAGACAACAACCTTTCAAGCCCTCCTGTCACAAAATGGAACCTTGCAATGCTGAGCAGCGGAGCAGCCCGCTGTGTGATGGCAAAGCATTACCGCAAAATTCACTTCCCTCCTGGTCGGACGCCATGTTTTTGAACACACACCAGAGCGTTGCCAGCAGAGCTGGCACAAAGCAACGTTACCTCCCCTACACTACTACATGCTTTACACATGGTGAAGCCTCCAAAAAGTCATCGCCCCTCCGCATGCGGACTCTTGTCGCCATGGCCGTTGTGTGGGAATCGCAGTTGGGTGGAGCGGCGATGCTATACACATGCCCTCCGCTCTCGGGCGGGAACGGCACCTGGAGGATCCCCTTTGGCTTTGCGCTTGTCGCTCGGCAGGGGAGTTCGCGGCTGCGAAGGGCTGGAGCAGCTCAGAACGAGTCTCTGCTTCGCCGGCCGGAAGCGGGCCACCTTGGAAGCGAGCGGCATGCGCCCTGAGACGACATGCTCAAGCAGAACGCGCCCCATTCTCACCATCACAAGTAGGCCATGCCGTGCAAGCAAGCTTTGCTCTGCTCTGTTCCAGTATCCGCCCAAAGTTGCATCCAAGTGGCGAGATGTGGTCCTCTATGCCAAAAATGCGAATTCAGCCTCGGCATCAGCTTCCATGGGTTTGCTTCCTCAACATCCCCGATTGGACTTCACCAGGCGTGGGCGATGAAGCCCGCTCGCCAAGTATGGCGAGCCTAAAATCGCACCTAACCAGTGCTCACTGGATCAAGTGGACATACAGATGCACACACACAAGGCTTGATGGAATCTGGCCAACCCCAGGTCTTGTCTTGCACTGCTGGCGTGACGCTTTCGGCCACATGCTCTTGTGAGTGATAAAGATGCTAAGAAAGCAGCACGCTTCTCCAGGACTCCAGTCAAGTCAGGACATGCCGCACAGTCAGGACATGCCCACCTAAGACCTATTGAATGTACGCAAAGCACTTTGCGCGGATGGATGTTGCGGAATGATTGGTCAGCACAAACTGTGTATTTGCTATGCTGCTACGTCAAAGCAAGCCCCAACCATCTTCGGCTGTGCGCCCCTTGCGAGCCAACCCCCCTTCCCCCACCTCAAAGGAAAAAAGAAAAGAACACAAACACAAACAAAACAAACAATGGTGCGTGCAATGCGACTGTACTGCAGCTATCAAGCCGGTGACCACCACGTGCACTCAAAACGGCCCAAAATCGATCGTGGAAACAGCACCTCCAACCGTCCCACCACACTCCCACCAAACTCAGGAAGGTCAAAGGTCTCGCTCTCTCTCTCTCTCTCTCTGTTTCTCTCTCTCTCTCTCGATAATATGTGTGGGCATCTTTTGGGGGGGTTGCGCTAAAGAGAAGCCAGAAGGAAGCCCCTAATGTGACGCACTCCCATGCAGCTTTCTTGCTAGCATCACGTACCATCTTCAGCCAGGCATCAGTGTAGAGGCGCCTCGCACTCCACACTGAGCATGCCTCGAAACATCCATTGGACCAGAGATCCCTTTGAAGGGAATCCAAAAAGTGCCCGTGTACACAAGTAGTGGTCAAAATACGTTCAAACAGGCGAGTTGGCCTAACCCGAGGACTGACCCTATGGCTCAAGCGACACCAACTGGGGAACTGCCATGTGGAACTATATGACTCTCAGCTCAGCTCGGTGTCTCCACTGCATGCGGACTCACAAAAGAAGGACGATGTGAGGCTCGCAAAACTGCAGGCTGAGGCCCTGGCAAAGCGGATACTGTGACTCCTGCCGTTACCTGCGCTGCGCCGGAGTGCACGGCCCCTGGGCCCTGACTAGGCCCTTTGCTTCTTGCCACTTGGGGCTGAAACGCGGAATCGTGACCTATGAAGGGCACATTACTTGCTCATTGATGCCGAGATACTCTACAATGGTAGCGCTGCCGAGCGCTGCTGGCGCAAGTGAGCAAATATTCCAAGGAACATGGCAGCTCCTCTCACCTGCCAGCAGCGCTGGGCTGGCTACCCGCATGCAGAAGCCTCAGTTCGGGCAAACATGGCGCTCAAGTTGGGCACTTCTGTGATTGGCAAAGCGGTTACCCTCGAAGAGACAAGCCCAGTGTCCTTTCATGCCAAGCTGCACAGCGAATTCCTGAGCAAAAGCCACAAGTCTGAGTCAACGCCCCCTGCCCCCCAAAAACCGACACGTAGAAGAAGAGGCAGATCAGATTGAAAAGGTCCCCGAGCCGGCTGCCAAAGTATCAAAGCTAGAAACCACTGATGCGCGGCTCACGTTGGCAATCTCCAGGGCAAGAAGCACCAGAAAATATCCAGATGGAAAACAAAACAAGGCAGATCGCTGGCAACATGACTGACAGTCTGACTGCGATATTCTCCTCTTGCCTGATAGCTGTCATGCATCTGAGTGGCACTGCTTCGTCTCAATAACCTCCACGCCCACGGTCAACGAGCCACCTGCCGGCCGACGGTCGCTCGCATGCGAAGCATTGTGCCCATCAACCCTTGAGCGGCACAACCTCCACCAAAAGCTAAGCAACACCTTACCACCTTACCACTTCATCCTCGCGCGTCGCAAGCATCTGCCCCGGCATCTGCGGGCTTCCGCCTTCCACTTCCAGCCGCCAATCCCTGGGCAGCTCCACTCGGCAGGCGCCCTCTCCGGCACAAGCTGTCACTGGCTGCAGCCGCACCTGGGGGATGGATTCAGATAGATGAGACAGGTCTGCATGGGCCCCGAAGGCAATTCGACACTGGTACAATGTAGTGAAATGTGTTAGAGTTGCCTCTAAACCTTGATTCTGACCACCTTGTCGCAATGCTCTACTACATCTCTGCTTGGGAATTCACCTGCTGCATGTTTTCTCACAATCTTGACCAAGGAGCTCTTCTTAAACAGGTCTAGTAACTGGGCACATACATGCGGGTGTCCTCTGCATCTGTGACCTCTCGGCCGTCAAAGAACAAAGCCGCAACAAGGGAGCCACAGAGTAATCTGCGCCTGTTTTGTGGGACAAGGTGTTGGTCATGCATTGGGCTAATCCCGAACATGAAAGCTGCAACGGTGGCTAACATGAATGCACGCAGGAAGCTACAGAATCTTTACGGCGTGGCGGCATGCTGGGGGACAAAGGGGGGATAACGCTCGAAAACGGATTCAAGTGCTGAAACTCTTACATACCTTAGCTGCAATCTGGCCAGCCAATAACGCAGACACGCACAAACAAGCGGGCAATCTCGCTGTCACGAAGGTCAGCTTCAAACAAAAAGAAGGCAAAGTGGCCCGATGCAGCGTGGAGCCATAGGCATGCAGGCGAGACCTCTACACGATAGCAGAACAACATACACACACAGACAAAAACACACACAGACACACAGACACACAGACACACAGACACACAGACACACAGACACACAGACACACAGACACACAGACACACAGACACACAGACACACAGACACACAGACACACAGACACACAGACACACAGACACACACACACACACACACACACACACACACACACACACACACACACACACACACACACACGCCGCAACCCACCAAGGTGTCAACATTCCAGCTGAACGAAGGTGCAAACTCAAGCAAGCAGCAAGCTACACAGCCCCATGCGCTCCCAAAGGGAATTGCCGGCAAAGGAGCCTTGCCAACTGTGAAGATCAGCGTCAAGGGCTCCGTTGAAGTGCGTTCTCCTTGCAAGACTGCACTGCATCTTCCCAAATGATTGCATGCTGGTCTAAGTAAACGAGCTGCACATTCGCAACATAGTCAACCTTCGTGCATTGCTTGTAGCAAAGGCAGGACAGCGTAGTGTTAACTATTTACCATGCGGCTGAGCCATGATTCCCCGCAGCTGCGAACATAGTGGGCGGTGGCATGCCAAGCAACTGCAAGCTACCATGTGGATGGATGGATGCATGCATGCATGCATGGATGGACGGATGGAATGGTCACCCCACACAAGCAGTCACGAACTCCCCAAACCCAGCCGCGCAAGGCTGCACCCTCTAGGTCAAGTACCGAAAGGGCCCAGAATGGGTGTCCAAAAAGATTATTTTAAGCTGTGAGGACAAGTCTGCACGAGGCTATGCCGGCAGGCTGTGGAGGCAGCCGGAAGCAAGTGGCCATCACGCACCCCCGTCCTGCGAATTTCAGCTGCAAGGCGCCAAAGCGCGGATGGCGCTCGGCGCTCTTCTTGCACTGGCGGCACCCAAAAGAAATGTCCAGCAGAAGGGCAAATGTGGCGTTACAAACAGTACAGTACTTGATGCCTGCTCAGCGGCTGGATGTCAACAACAAGATCAGCATGGCGCTCAGAATCTGCTTGCGCATCCTGAAACACGGGTGAGCAGCACCGAGCCTTCTTTGCCTTCTTCGCCTGGAAGTCATGCAGCCACTTCCTGGGCGAACGTCGACTCGGTCATGGGAAAACTCCCTCCAAAGTATGTTTGTCAAAAATGGAGAAACAAAAACTAGGCAGGTTTGAAAAATGGAAGCAAGTGGCATAGGATGTTCTTTGTTGTTGTTCAAGGTTTTGTGTTGGTGGTGCTGACATGCTATTGTCAAGCCAGGGCTGGGGGTTAGGGTGGGTTTAGGTTGGCTTGGCTTGGGTGGTTTTCAGGAAGCCGAAAGCCACGAAAACATACAAAAACCCGCGCAGAGTTCCACCAAAAGGCTGCCGAAAGGCCGCCAAAAGCCCGGAAAACGGGCAAGCCGAAAGCCTGGCAGGCCGCGAACAAAAGGCTTGGCTTCCGGCACAATCCAAAGAAACCCCCCCAGGCTTGGGCCGGAGGCGCTCCCCTGGGGAGAAGAGCAGGCGCAGGCCCTCCGCCAGACCCGACAAGGGCGGCGACACCAGCGCGGACCCACAGCTCACCCGCAGCTTCGCCTACTCCAAATCGGTCAAGACTCCCAAGTGGGTCGCAGTTTTTTGGTGGAGAGCCATATTGCCTTGGTATCTTTAGAATTGAGAATTCCTAAACTCCAAAGAGGTGTCTGGTGGTCACTCAACACGCAAATAGAAATATGTAGGAGTATCGGTTGCTCGGGGTTTAAAATCTGTGTGGACAAATGTCGAGATCATTGGTCATGACCATGCTTACCTCTACAGGCAGGAACACCCTTCATAATTGTTGTTTGCATTCGGCATTCGAGGGGATGATGACCGTTCCTATTGACCCTGAGGGGCGGAATTGATGCTTCCCCAAGCCACCCCTAAGGAGGAATTCTCCTCGGTACCCAGCCCCCCCAACCCGGAAACCTCGTAGCCATTGCGTTTGTCGCTTCAAACCCAAGCCCAACTCGGCACTCCAATGGCTCACCTCAGGGTTGGCAATCGTCCACGTCGCCGTGACACCCTCCAGCGGGCTACTGGAGATGCTGAAGCTGGGGTTCTCCATTTCGATGGTCAAGCCAGGGTTCTCCGTTTCCTGGAAAGAAACAGCCAGAGAGCGCAGCAACTCAGGCTCAAATGTCCATTCTTCGGAAACCTATCCCAGAACCGCCTTATTCCATCCAAAGGTTGGCCAAAACCCTGTAGCCGTCATGGGCGAAAGCTGCCCGCGTTCGGATGCCCTAACAGGTCCCCCTCAAACACAAAGGGAGACTCTTCAGAACTTCAAATGTCTTATTGCCAAACAAATCATGTTTGAATCCCCCAGAAGGAGGGACATATGAGTTGGTAGGTGGTTTATCCCATCCATGGAGTGTTCATTGCCTGGTGCGGGATTTTGTCCACGCCTCATCGCTGGGCTCCAAGCCAGGCGGCGGGCACGGCGCCAGACCCGGCGGCGTCATCTGAAGGGAATTCCAAAGGGTGCGTCTGTCTTGTTGAAGTCCAAGGCAGGGCTGGGCCACCCCCATACCGTGCCCATACCTAAATATTGTGAAACACCTGTTTCAGCAACCTCCTTCTCCCTTGGGCCACTTCCATGCCAAGCCACGGGAGGCGACAGCGGAGGCGACAGCGAACCTGGTGAGGGCAGCGGCGACATGTAGGAGAAAGCCGGTCCTGCGTGCCGGAACGCAAAGGGGGCAGCCGAGAGTCGCAACCCGACAACAGTTCTACCGGAGTCATCCCTACGTGGTTGGTGGAACTACGTCCCCGTTACACACCACTTTTCAACTGGCGGCAATCCAATTGCAGTGACTTAACCTCTCTTTGAGGAGAATCAAACTAAGAGCCAAAGAGAAACCAAGGAGGCCAAATCAACGCCAAACCGGAGGAAACCAAACCAAATTGCAAAACCAACTCGAAGCCAAACCCGAGGGAAACCAATCACTTCACCCTATTTTCAGGTTGGCACCCTGTTGAGGGTCAAAGAAAACGAAGCCGAACGGGGCGGGACGAGTCCAAGTTGCCGGAGAGTCGAGCCCGGCTCCGACCCCGGATTTCGGGATCCCGGGCCTTCCGAGCAGGCCGTAGACTGCGGGGAGTCCACGGCGATCTTCAGCGGCTCCATGGACCTTCCGTCCGGGGCCCCTGAGCCCCGAAAAGTAACTCAGACCCCCTCAGTAGCAGAAGCGAAGCCAATAGAAAACCGTTGCCATTGCTGGGACCACGATTTTGAGTGCCGCCTGCCCTCCCCCACAACCCACATGGGTTTTGAGGCACAACGCGTGTGGCGGACCAAGGCTGCGGCTGCCACGGCGAAAGCGCTGGCGGCTGCTTTGGCTTTTGCTGCTTCCGGTTCGTGCCCTCAATCTTCGGGTCCAACTTGGCCGCGCCATGAATTTCCTCATAAGCCAGTGGCTGAGCATGAGTCTCAAAACGGAATCAGCACTCAGCAACCTGGGGCGTCCTGGCTGATGTCCCTGATCATGGCTGCTTGAGCGGCCGCAATCTGCTGCAGGCGCCGGTTCTCCATCTGGGCGCGGTCCCCCGGCATGAACAGCGCTCTACAAAACAAATTGGTGCCCAGCGCCTGCTTTGACAACTTTCACTTGACGCTCGTGTTGTTGAAGATGAATTACATGCTCCCAAGCAAGGCAACAAACAAGCCCCATCCTGCCTCCATCGCAGCAGCCCACTGCATCTGCTGCATCTGCTGCATCTGCTGCATCTGTTGCATCTGCCACATGGCGAAGGCTGAAAGCTGGATAGTCTAGGGGCTTGCTGCAGTGCTCGAAGCCCAGATTTCGAGCGGCGCGCGAAAAATGCTTCCGGCCTCTATGTTTCGTTCGACAACAACTTTCAAGCCCTCCTGTCACAAAACGGAACCCTGCATCCTTTGGTACGCCACGTTGTCAAGCGTTTCCTCTTCGCAAGTTTGTTCAAGCACTGGTGCCACGGTGCTTAGACCCTCTCCCAATTCCTCGATTGAAAGAGTGTGGGCATAAGCTGAACACTTGGACGCCGCAAATATCACGTTCTTTTCTTCAGGGATACCTTTTGCTGTGCTAAAAGGGCAAGCCCGGTTTTGGGGGACAACGTGGCCCCCCCCCCACCTCCCAACCCCCCGCCCGTGGCGCGGCCATGGGCCCCCGGCCGCCACCACTGAGCGGGTGGCAAAGAGCCGCCGAAGCGGCTCAAGGCGTGCCGCGGAGCCGCTGAAGTGGGGCCTGGGAGAGCGCACCATCCCGTCGTGAATTTGTTCGAGGAAACGCGGGCCGGGTCTTGGCCCGCTTCAAAAGTAACATCAAGACCTACAAATGCAAAAATGACTACGCACATACACACACTCACATATATATATATACATACATACGTACACACATGGCATAAATACAGTACAATACACTACGCTGCACTACACTACATTACACACACGATAAGTTACGTTACTTTGCATTGCATTGTATCGCGTTACATTGCATTAGACTACACTGCATTCCTTTTCATTACATGACATTACAGTAATGCATGTGCCATCTGCACACATACATAAACAAATTGCACACTTTACATACATACAGTACATGCACAACATTCCATTACATACACTACATGCGTTACACACATTAAGCACGATACACACATACCGTTCATTACAATACAAATAAATGGTTTACGTTACATCACATCATGTTGCATTCCATCGCGTTACATTACGCTATACTGTTACATATGCACATACATACCTACACACAGTACACTACATACATTGCATACATTGCCTGCATTGCAGCCATTGCACACACGCTGCATACTACACATACATACATACATACATACATACATACATACATACATTACATTACATTACATTACATTACATTACATTACATTACATTACATTACATTACATACATACATACATACATTAAATACATACATACATTACATACATACATTACATACATACATTACATACATACATTACATACATACATACATACATTACATACATTACATACATACATACATACATACATACATACATACATACATACATACATACATACATACATACATACATACATACATACATACATACATACATACATACATACATACATACATACATACATACATACATACAGTACATACATACATACATACATACATACATACATACATACATACATTACATACATACATACATACATACATACATACATACATACATACATACATACATACATACATACATACATACATACATACATTACATACATACATACATACATTACATTACATTACATTACATACATTACATTACATTACATACATACATACATACATACATACATACATACATACATACATACATACATACATACATACATTACATACATACATACATACATACATACATACATACATACATACATACATACATACATACATACATACATACATACATACATACATACATACATACATACATACATTACATTACATACATACATACATACATACATACATACATACATACATTACATACATACATTACATACATACACATACATACATACATACATACATTACATTACATTACATTACATTACATACATACATACATACATACATACATACATACATACATACATACATACATACATACATACATACATACATACATACATACATACATACATACATACATACACATACATACATACATACATACATACATTACATACATACATACATACATACATACATACATACATACATACATACATACATACATTACATACATACATACATACATACATACATACATACATACATACATACATACATTACATACATACATTACATTACATTACATTACATTACATTACATTACATTACATTACATTACATTACATTACATTACATTACATTACATTACATTACATTACATTACATTACATTACATTACATTACATTACATTACATTACATTACATTACATTACATTACATTACATTACATTACATTACATACATACATTACATTACATTACATACATTACATTACATTACATTACATTACATTACATTACATTACATTACATTACATTACATACATTACATTACATTACATTACATACATACATACATACATACATACATACATACATACATACATACATACATTACATTACATTACATTACATTACATTACATTACATTACATTACATTACATACATACATACATACATACATACAGTACTATACAGGACAGTACATACCTACATACATGCACACAGTCAAAAATACGTTCGAACATGCAGGCACGCATGCATGCATTGCATTACGTTGCCTGACGTTACATTTGCGTTACATTACATGACATCAAACTGCATCACATCACCTCACCTCACATTGCAATACATAGATTAATCAAATACATGCATGCGTGCATACATAAATACATACATGCATTCCGTTACGGAAACCAGAGAAAAACCAAACGTTTTGGCGTTCCCTTAAACGAGTGGCAAACGCTGTTGGCCACGTTCGCCCGAAACCGGCGGAACGAGCCGAGGGTCTGGGGGCTCCGGCATGCGCCCCGGGCTGTGCTCCAAGTCCAGGCGGAGCAGCGCCAGGCTCTGCGGCAACGGGCGGTAGCTGCCGTCCATGCCTAGTCAGGAACGGGCCGTGGGAATGAAGCGCAATGGAGAGGTCCCCTTCAGAACCAAAAAATGGTCATTCCGAATCATTCCGCATTCCCGGAGGTTCTCCAGCAAGGAGCACAGACAAAGTTGCTTGCAAGGAGCCCGCCTGCGAGGGCGCCGCTGGTGTTCGTCTCACCTGAGCTTCAGGGTCCAAAGGTGTCAGATATGGGCGATGGACACAAATCCCGAGGTGATGTCCACCCCCAGATGGAGACACGTGAGCGTGCAGCATGCATCTTCCGGCCTTCATCCTGGATTGCCACTCCGGGATCCTTAATCCCAGCCTCCTGGCAAGTGGGCAAGGGGCACGGCAAAGAGGCATCAGTCACTTCCATGAACAGAACACGGCCATGCGCCCACACCGAGCAGCGAACGTTCTGCAGCTGCGCATGCAGAAAAGGAAGTGCCTTGGACACAGTGCGCAAATCAAAATCATTATGTACCTCTGCAACTGGCAGGTGGGAGGTATTGCCCACGCTAGGCCTGTTCAAGTCAGTGCTAGCGAGCATCCGCATGTCAATAGACTTGTGCAATACTCGTGCCGTTTGTTGGGTCACTCACCGCCTGACCAAGGATGCAGGGCACACGGCCGCATGCCTGGGCCTCCGCACGGGCACAGGTCTGCCCAAAGAGGAAGCCAGGCCGGTGATGTGCATGGCATTGTCCGTGAAGGCGCCATCTGACCACACAAGGAGCGTCACCTGAGTCATAGTCAAAATCCGGTATTAAAATGGTCTACCCAGAACCATGTAAAGAATTAAGAAGGCGGCCGCAACTAATTATGGTTGGGATTGTCCCTTACTAACCTTCATCCACCCGGGTTTTGATTGTGGCTCACCTGAGGCTGAGGCCAGGTCAATCCAAACAGCGCAGAGCAAATGCGTGGGAGGATCTGACTTCGTATTGTTCTTGAAGGCATTTCATAGCCAGCTGACCCCCTGCGCTTGCGAACGACTCATCTCTTTGGGTGCCCTGCCACTTGCGGTCGGCATCGGCGTGTGGTCTCGGCGGCCATCTGCATCTGGTAGCCTCAGCTTCGCACGATGAGCCGCATCCCATGGTGTCACGCTGCGAAAAGCCCAAAACCAAATCTGCAAAGGGCTCGCAGTGCATTCTTGCAGCCGGCTGTCTAGGCGTTAGCAGATACTTTGTGCGGCATCGCTGCTGCACTGCTACACGCTCAAAGGGCGAGAGCACCTCGGGTGAACTGCACCCTCCGTGAAGAAAAAAACAACACTTGCATGAGTATGACGGACCCTATGGCGGACATCATTTTCATGAACCATTAGTTTGGAGGATGCTGCAATGCTATCCAGTCAAATTGCTCACCAACTTCGACCATGTCCAAACGATCAGCACACGCTGGCCGTCCCAAGAGCTGAAACTGCGATACCCCGCCTCGCAGGTTGGCATCGGGGCGGCCAGCGCGGCCGAGGGAAAAAGATCCTGACATTAAACACCCGGCGCAACCAATGGAGCCCGCGTGCCATGCCCGTTGAGCAACTAGTGACTGCGTAGTGCCTTTTTCTCAAGATTTGGGCGCTGAGCAAGCACAAAGGCCGAAGAAGAAACAAGGAGCCCAGAATCACTCCTGACTGCGCTGAACGGTCTGGATGTCGGCACCAGGTGGCAGGCCCTGCAGTGGAAAGATGTGGCCTGGCAGGTTGCATTGAGCCACAAAACGATGCGAATCCAACGCCGCAGCGCGGGATTTCAAGGCATGCATCATCAGCTCAACCGCTCAGCTTGCACCCATGGCCGGGCAACCCTTGGACAACACCCTGAAGCCATCGGGGCAAAACTGCAAGATGGGGCCTTCTGTGGTGAAGATGCTGGCGCCAATTGGCCATGGCAACGCGGCCGCCAGATCCTCAGCCCGGAGGAAAGACATGTCGTAGGTGTGACCGCCACAAACTGAGCGCGGCTGAGCAGCTTCTGGCGGTGCAACAGCCAGGTACAGGTACACCAGCGTCTCAGACAGGAAGAAAGAATCCATCCTGTTGTCGAGCCTCGCCGGTGCCAAGCCATAGAGGGCCCCTGACAACCCCTTCGATGACATGATTCAAGGATTATGGCAAAAGCAAAGAACCGCAAGCGTCTTGCCCCCTTCTGATTGTTTAAGACCTGGCCACCGCCTGAAAAATCATGCTTTCGTACCATCCGTGTCTTCTATTTGACCATGTCGTGCTATTGTATGGGATGACAGGGCACTGAAGCATCTGATCTTGCGCCGTGTGATCAGTCAATTTGGCAAACCAGCTATCTTGGGCAGCCTTGCGTTCTCTGTGGTTTCTCCGCTACATCTTCTGCTAGCGCCAAAACTGCTGCTAGCTCCTGTTGCTTTGCTCTCCGGCTGTGCACTGAATGGCTGCTAGATAGGAGCCCAGCCCTGCCCCGCAAAAGACATGCGCCTTTTGGTGGTGACATCCGCCACCGACGCAAAGCCACACGCCACCCGGCTCTGTTCGTCGATGGCCGTCGCGATGGATTTGGACTGGGCACCAAATGCTGAATTCGATGACAGGCATCTATACTGTTCCCAAGCTCGCCTTCTTTTGGCCAAGTTAACATGAAGGTATTGAAAGAGAGACTTTACACAACAAGGGAAGGATCCCCCACAACCCCTCCCGCCATCTCGAAGACCATCGCATCCCCCGGCAGCGCCAGCGAGAGGTAGAAAATCGCTTCAATGAGCTCCGGTCGCAGCGGCGAGTCCCTGTCAAAACGACGCGAAACTTTGAAACACTCCGAATAAGCGAGACCGTGATTTCTTCTTGGCTAGCCTTTCATGCCTTTGACGCCTTCTGCATCTAGCACCTCGATAACTTGGCCAATGCAAAAGGGATGCGCCATGGCGCAGTGCGCGGCGAGCCTGGCTTGTGTAGGGCTCTCGGCGCGTGTGTCAAAGACTTCTGGCAATGCATCGTGCTTCTTCCACAGGCTGTACCTGCAGGCTATCAAAAAGCCAGACCAGGCCCTGTATCCGGGGGCAGGCCATTCTTGCAAGACAGCCTTCCCAATCCGTTGCTGCAACAGGCCTCCAAAAGGCTGCCCAAAGAAACAGAAAATTGAGCTCTGAAATACCGAGGTGCCAGTACAGGACAGACCGCAAGCCACTGGCGACATCTCCGATGAGCACTTGCAGTGAGGCCCAAACGCACGCAAGCGGCGAGAGGTGCGTGTTCACCATCAAACCCTTGTTCATGTCCTTGCAATTCAAGTCTCTATTTTTCCCGGCTTTTCTGGCAGAAAAAACAATCTGCCGCCCGCACGAGCCCACCCCATGCAACGTCTCTCAAGCCGGAGGGCCGCCGTCCCTTTCTTGCCAAGGAGCCACCGTGTAGGTGAACCCTTCAAAGGTGTGGTGCTGCTCCACCTCGGCCAGTGGTGTGTCTTGTTAGGGAGCCTAAGAAACCAAAAGGAAACCACCAGTTCCATGTCGGGACCCGTGCCGCCGCATAGGCGCTGAGGAAGATGTCCAGCAGCTCCAGATCCTGGAACAGGATGTAGCCTTTCAGCAGGTACTCGAAGAAAGAATCCTGCCTCAGCCGGCGAAAACGGAAAAAAAAGAAACCCGGCCAAGCTGGCGGAAAAACTGAGCCTCGACTTTTAGAAGTGGCCGGCAAACCACTGGCTGGTATTGAATCTGGTGTACCACACCCAGTTTCTTGGGGTCTACGGTAGCCCCATGGCGACTGAGGGCGGGTCCCCGGTCCAGTGGTGCTCTTCTGGTCCACAAAGTTGCCCGTGTTGACATCGATGGAGGTGCCCACCAAGTCCAGCACATTGCGCCGACCTCGCGACCAAGGCGGAGGTCAGCCAAACAAGGTACCCCAAATCCAGATGTGTCACGCTCAAAGAATTGCCTTCCCCCAAGCGGGCATGGCACGTAAAGGTTCCGTCACCTACTCTTTCGTGGAAAAACTGGTTTGCCCGATGATGCTCCCGTACACTACTAAAAATTTGGACCAAGGCTCCTACCCCAGAGTGGCCAACCTGCAAAATGCTAACAGAGAAGTGCTTACTACTCAAAGGGGGCACATCGCATGGATCAATGAGGAGTTGATTAACTTTGGGTTGCTATGCTGTCGAAATCCAGGCTCATTCCAAAGAAGGTTTGTGGGGGTTCCCCTTCTACCTACTGTGGCTAAGAATCCATTACTTGCGCGGCGCATCTCAGACTGCAGCTGGTTTCTGAGCCGAGTCATATCTATCCGCATAGTTGAAGACACATAATACACATTCAAATCAATGCCTTCAATGCCGCTTTGACCCAGCAACTGCAATCGCAGAACCCCGTCTACTAGGATGGAAACGGGTCCAAAATCATCGCCAAGGCCAAGAAACCCCAGAAGGAGACCAGCGAGCGCTTCGCCGAGTGATAGAAGCGACTCTGCCCGGACAGCACGGACAACATGCCAAATTCCAGCAAGAAGGATCCAGCCTCGCATAGTTCTGCAGCGCAGCTTTCCGGCCAAGCAAACAATTGGCTAAACCAAGCTTTGAACCCTTGGTGCCTACCGGTCTGCACAGATTCATACAAATCGCCAGCCCCGGCCTCTGCAATGGTCACCGTGGAGGAGGAACCCTGAGCCAACGCCGAAGCTGACGAGTCAACGCCGAAGCTGACACAAAACACTCTGCTGCACTAATCGCTGTACCTCACCAACGTCTGCCTCAGAAAGTCCGCCAGCCATGCAAGCTTGCTTTGACGTTCGCATGTGTTTGATGGGCCTTTGCGGGTGAGCGCGGATAACCCCCATGTGAGCTTGCTTCGATAAGTGTGTTTGATGGACCTTCATGGGTGAGCTTGGTCTACCCCATGCGAGCTTGCCTTGTTGGGTGCAGGTTTCCCATGCCAGCTTGCTTTCATGAGTACATGTGTGATGGTCCTTCACGGGTCAGCTTCGTTTCCCCCCATGTGAGCTTGCTTTGGTGAGTGCATGTTTGATGGACCTTCATGGCCCAGCTTGGTTTACCCCTAATTACGTGCTCTCTCACTATGGCATAGTCCAGGCACCTTGGGAATGCCAGACTGCAGATTCACCCGCGAGCGTGGCATGCCCGTGGGCGTGTCGAATGCCCGCAGCAGGCGGTCTCCCAAGTCGAGCGCCTCACGGGCAAAGGTTGCTCAAGGGTCGAAACAATTGCTTGCTTCCTACGTAAGAATTGACATACCCTGCCTGTGAGGAACGTATGAACATGGTTGTTGGGTATGCTTACTGGTTGGGGGTGTCCATTTGGGCACCAACAAGGTCATGCCTTGGAAACTGAGTTGCCCCATGGCCGCAAAGAACCACACGCAAGCCCTGCGCAGCCCTACCCGCCGAGTTTGATTTGGCTGGTTGCTGGCCTTGTCCAACAGTCCCCCCTTGTACCGCGGAAGCAGTTTCACCGCATGTTGGTGTCCGCTCAACAGACCACCAAGGATGCCTTGGCTTGAGAACGGGCTGGTCGCCAATCGCAAGTGATCTTGCCGGCAGGCTTGAACATTGTGCATGGCAATCGCAAAACCTTGGCCCAGGTGCGGATGTTCACCTCGAAGGTGCTCACTTCAATATCTTTGTTGAAGTGCACATTGTCACCAATGTAAGAAACTGCTACCTGGCAAGCGGGGCCGCGAAGGGATCACAGGCCTCATGCTGAAACATGCTGAAACTACATGGTCCCCAAGGCATAATGATGCGGATGTTGCCCATTAAGTTCATAGCCACAAAGGAGCATGCCCCAAGTTCCTCGTCCAGTGGCAAGTGGCACACACCTCCACTGTACTGCCGGCCAATCTAGCCTTGGGTGCCTTAGGATGCACGGGACTCGCCTTAAAGGCTGTCTTGCGCTTGAAAATCACCAGCGAGTCCAGAGCGTCAATGAGGGTCCTCAATGCGAAGGGGAGGACACAAAACTGCGGACCCCTGCAGTTGTTTTTTTCAACAGGTTTCCCTTTGCAGCAGCTCGAACCTGGGTACCGACAAAAGAAACACCCACGTTTCAGTCCCAAACCCTCTCGCCCGTCGGCCGAGGGGCATGGAGTAGTTCCCCAGCATTGCGTCGAGGTCCCCGCGCTCCCGCTTGAGACGGCCATCGCAGGTCAGAGGCCGCAGCTCATCTGCCGGGAAGGCGTGGGTCATGTAGGAGTCCTTGGCCCAAAGCCCCTGGCTCCCAGTGGAAAACATGCGAACACCCCCCCCTTCGCACATTGGAGCCACGGAGTCACCTGGTGTAAACGCGGAAGCGGCAGGTCAGACCAACAAGCATGCCCTGCTTGTTCTGGAGCATCTGCAAGCGACCGACACTTGCCGTTTCGCCCTGACGGCTGCAAATGTAGAAACAAGCTTTACTCTGATGCTTGACTGAATCAGGCATCAGGGCTCTCGGGCACTGCCCATAGGTTCCGAGCTCAGCAAATACTGGCCAAGCTTCAAAGGCGTGCTTGTACATCTCCTGCACCTGGCAGTGGTCGCACCACATGTTCAAATATCCCACGCACGCCAATACACAATATAGAGCCCCGATGCCCCTGTCCATATCTCTTCCAACGAATCTGGAGTGAGGGGTCCTCTCCACGGGACCGTCGCCTTCTGCACGGCAGAATTCCGCTCGTGCCGCGGCACCGGCCCCGCCCATGCCGGCAGAAGCGGCGCAAGTGCCCAGAGCCGCATGGAGAGAAGCCAGCCAAGGCCATGGGCGGCAAGAAAAGGGAAATGAAAGGCGACTTTTGAAAAACTAAGATGAGTGAAAGGTAAAATGCCCAAAGCACTGGTCAAACTTTGGGGCAAACAAGTTGACAGGCTCAAGGCTCATGCTCGAGGAACACCGCAGGCAAACCTGGGTTCAGTGGGGCTACGTGTTTGCCAAGTGCATGCATACTGCAAAGTCGCCAAAGGGCTCTCTGGCAAAGGTGACGTGGCAACCAACTTCTGAAAGTCTGAAGGGTACTCGGCGATCACCTATGCTCTGTCAGGCTAGAATCTCATTGGCGCTGCGTGCCGTAGGCGTCAATTTGAGCCAATGCGGGGAACGGACCATGTCCATCAAGCAACAAATGTTCCACCCTTCACTCGGGCCCTGCTATGGCTTCTCACGTTCAAATGCCTCTCCAGTCAGCCCAATCTGCACCTCGCCACACGCAGCCAGTTTCTCCTTGCGACGGACCTTCGTCAAAGCATCCACCTAAGCACAGACTGTACTTGCACGGCTGGAATCTGGCAACAACAGTTGCTGTTGCGACTGGCGTCAGTATTTGACCATCAAACTCCCCCCTCAATCCTCAGGTACATGACCACAACAACCCCTAAGACTTCAAGAGTTGGGCTCAGTATGAAGGGGGCCACTGCAGCACAAGATGCACAAAGACTTTGTGGAGCAGCGACTGAGCTCCCCGCGTCTTGGATCTGCAGTTCAGGCCTCACCCCTTTGAGGTGCTGCCACATGTGAAGACTGCGGAATTAGGTGAGACACGTGTGAGTGCTGAAGCATGGGCCCCGCAAGAAGCAAAAAGTGAGCCCAATGTGGAAACTAATAATGCGACAGCATCTCAAGCACGACATTGGTTGCATTTTGCCACGGCAAGCAGGCATCCATCCGCTAGCACAACACATTCGTTGGCGCCATGCTCTGCCGTAGCACGTGCTGATCTTCTTAAGCACGCTAAGCTTTGCAACGATCTACGATGACAAGTGCCCTGCGGACATGTTGAGGGCGCTGACAAGCCCAACCAAGGGACTAAGCCCGAGTTGGCGTGTAGATTTCCAACTGGAACAGCAGGCACACTCTGTTCAATCAAAGCATGCTGGTGGGTGTCCATTGGCCTAAATTCAACGCATGGCCAGCAAGCCAAGTTGGAAACCTAGACGTCAGAGCTACAAGGCCAGGTGCTGCGAATGCCATTTCTCGGCAGCACTTCTGGTCATCACTGGCTTCTGAAGGCAACGGGCACAACGCACGCATCTAACTGGCCTCCCTTTTTGGGTCTAGGGACACTCTTGGCGCAATTAACCTTCTGAAGTCAGCCTGTTGGCGCGCCGGTTCAGCAATTTTCCGGCATCGGAAAGGATTGTTACACAGCAGACCAGCAAAGCAAACTAGCTACAGTACAGGGGTCTGTCAAAGTCATGCCTGATCATCCATTCATGGAATCTTCGGGAATTCCACAGGAGGTGTGTCCTGTGCGCACATGTTTCCATCAGTGACTGATGTTGTGCGTGGCTTCAAACCCCGACGTCTGTCTCCATTACACTAGAATTCGGGCATGACTCTGGGAGGGTAAAGCTGGCACCTAAGGAAAAGAAATACTGCCATCTTTGGCTGCAATTCTGGCCAGCCCGCCTGCCAACATCCAGGCAGGCGAGCTTCCCGCTCGCATTTCGGCGTCCTTGGCACAACGGCAGGAGAGGCGTTGCCTGCAACATGACATGACCCACGGCACAAAGCATTTGGCTTCAACTTGGCTATGTCAAAAGCAAATACAAGCTGTTCAAAATTGTGCCCCAAGCAATGGAAAAAGATCCCAAATGTTGGCACGTGTTGGGCATGGTTCCTTGTTTGCTTCGCCTCGTTGGGGCCATCGCTGCTGTTACACTGCGCCGTAGTTGCTGGTTGTTTTGCCAAAAGTGACCACATTTTGCCAACTGCCTACCAGACTACAAGGTCATGCAACCACCTGGAGCTGCCAGTCAGCTGCCAAGCTGCTATCAGACTCGGAAATTGGGCAGCGCTCACGAACTCTCACGTGGCGTCTGTTGATCACCTTAGCCAACAAACCGGTGATCCTCTTGCCTTCATAATCTGTGCATGCGCTGGCTATGGCAGCACTTGGTTCGGCCATGCCGCTGGCCAGAGCGCCTGGCAGCTCAACTGGCATACCTAAGCTTGCACTGAACCAGTCGTCATTTCGCGCTGCACTGCCTTATTGCCAAGTGCACAGCCACTGCTTCTAGGGGCATTGGACTGCGGCCCAGGTGCTTGACGATGTTCCGCCTGTCAGGGCTCTTTCTAAATGTCCTGTGACCCAAAAAGCCACGCTCCAACTAGCTCCTGCCTTTGGGAATAGCAGGCGGCTGCAGGGGCACCTGCTTCGGCACGGACATGGATAGCCTCAGCATTCTGGAAACTTGCAGGAACGTGCCACCTTGCCGGCCTGGGTTCAGCCAAGTTGCTGTGACCCCGACCCCAGCGAGGGGGGTGTCAGCGCGGAGTTTCGCTCTGCCGTCATCTCCGGTGGTGGAGGCGGCTGGGTGCCGTCGGAATTCGCCTTGAACCACAGCAAACCGCGCATTTACCGGGCAAAGCGGGAAACGCAAATGCATCCAACGCATCCAAGGGACGGATCTCCTCAAGGGAGGTTGCAAGTCATAGAGGTCATGGGGGTTTGAGGACCCCCTGCTGGGTGGCACTGGCGGCGTAGGCGGCGTGGCCTTGCTGGAGTTGCTGCCACGCCTATCGATCGGTGGCCGCGGAGGCGGCAGGGGCAGCTGATTTTGCACCCTCCTCGGCGGAGGAGGCGGTGGCGCGTCCTTGGGCGTAGAAGGAACTGTTGAAACGGCGTTGACGGCACTGGCCGTTGCAAAGTCATTGGCCCAGTCAGAGAATGCCTGGTCCACGCGCACGTCAATTCGCTCCGCATTGGTCAAAGCCGGCGGCAGCGCCGCCAAAGCTGCTGGGCGGACGCTGGACTCGCGAGAACGTGGCGGGGGCTTTGGAGGCGGCATAAGGACCGTGCTGACTGGCGGTCGCTTGGGTGGGGGAGGTGGAGGGCTGCTCGGGCGGGATTCCGGTGAGTCAGCAATGCCGGGCACGCCTGTCCCTACAATGTCTCGAAGTTCCTGCGCAAAGTTCTGGAAGTACTCCTCCTTCTCCGCAACAGGCTTTGGCAAAGAAAACCTTGGGGGAATGTTGGGTGGAGTCCCAGGGCCTGGCCGTCCCCCAAGGGAAGAGCTGCGCACCACTGCAGTTTGCTGCCCCTCCTGTTCCTTCTTGGCCAGGTCGGTGGCCCAGTCCCAGAAGTGGTCTTCGGCGTCTTGCTGGGTGTGCCGATCTTCCGTGGCAGAAGGCTGGCCGGGCTTTTCGTCCCAAGCGCGCGTTGGCTCTGTGCCCGGGCCTGTGGGCCCGGAGGGCTCAATGTCCACTCGCTTGGACTTCCAGGTGAGGGCCTCCTGCAACTTCTGACACGACATACTGGGCATCTCCACCTTGATCGGCTCCACGTTGCCCTGCCAACACTGCCAGGCGATCAGACCGCAAACGACGAAGAGAGCAACGCCAGCCATCGACATCCCAACCACGATGCCGGTGTCCGGCGGAGCGTCCTCCACGACCGGCGCCACTGTGCTCCTGCTGGCAGGCATTCTGTGTGTTTGGGTGCGTGCGTGGGTGTGCGGGTGGGTGGGTTGGTGTGCGTGGAAAGGTGTGTCCGTATGTGTGCGTGTGCATAAATGTGCATGTGCGCACGTGCACGCGCACGCACGTGCGCGTTTGCGTGTTGTCGCGCGCACGCCACCGCGCATGCGTGCGTGCCTGCGAGTGCGCGTGCGTGGCCTGTGTTTGTGCCAGTGCCTGCGTTTGTGGCACAGGCAGCAAGCGCGTCGCTCTTAAGGTTCAGTCATAGATCCGTGGCGCAATCCCCCACGCGCCCAAAATCGTTAATCCGGATTGCCTAGTACGGGGAAGTACAGCCGCCCACGCACGTCTCGCTCGGGAGTACCTGTGCCTGGCGGTACAACTGCGCACGCACATCTCGCTCAAAAGCGCCCGTGCCTGGCAAGTACACGGGCACACGCGCATCTCGCCACACACACACACACACCGGCGCTGCCCCTCTGGCCGTTGCAAAGCGGCGCAGCTGCCCCCGCGCCGTTGCGAAGGGGCGGACTATCGCTCAGGTTTTTGGGCATGGTAACCTTAAACTTGAGCTTGAAATTCTTACGGTTGAGATATCTTAGGGCGACGCTGAAACCGTGCTAAGGAGTAACGCAGATCCCTCTTGATTCAAAAACGATCGCTTCGCTGAGGCCAAAACGCGATGGGATAACATTTGGCGAGCCCCCTTGCGTGCTGCTGCTGCTGTTGCTGTTGTTGCTGTCGCTGTTGTTGTTTGTTTGTTTGTTTGCTTCTTTGTTTGTTTGCTTGATTGCTTGGTTTGTTTTGTGTTGTTTTGTTTTGTTTGCTTGCTTGCTTGCTTGATTGCTTGTTTCTTTCTGATTTTCTTTCTTTCTTTCTTTCTTTCTTTCTTTCTTCATTTCTTTCTTTCTTCATTTCTTTCTTTCTTTCTTTCTTTC